TCGGAATGTTTTGGCATGTTAGAGCCTCCTCAAAAGTGGGCGCCCTTCGAAATTGGGGATACTCGTTGATTGTCGGTCGGTCGTGACAAATTTGATGCCGGAGAGTGAGAGAAGGAGAGAGAGAGCGAGGGGGAGAGAGCGAGAGAGAGAGACTGTGCGAGAGAAATGAATTGAAAAAGCGAAAGCTGCCCGTGTATTTCCAGCCCGCTTGCACGGGCATTATGCAAAGGGCGAGCGCGGGAGGTGGCATGTGTAGCTTGTCGTAGCCGGTCGGATTGGGCATGTGTGTGCCGTGGGGGTGGCTCTAAAAAATGGAGGATCGAGGAGGGCAGATCGGATCTCATCGCCGCCGCGCGCGACGACAATCTTCATCTGGGAGGATCTAGAGGCGCGCGCGCGGAGGTCCATCGAACTTTTCGGCCTCCAAGAAAGGATTCTGGGTTTTGGGACCGGATTTGGGAATTTTTTACTACGGTATCGATTTCCTAAAGATATCTTCTATTTGCAAGGAATCCACCGGGTTAGGCGAAAGGAATTCATGGCTCCTTTAAAAAGATCCACTCGCGAGCCTGGTCCCCACAAAATTGGCTCAATCCATCCGGGGCGGATGGGCGGTTTTTTGGGGCCCCTCTCTGGGCCCCCGGCAATTTGGACGTGGCCCATTGGAGATTGGTGCGACGGGACGACGGTTTCGGGGTCCCGTCACGAAAATTTATTGGCTTTTTTGGCCCTAGAAAAAAAACATAAGCCTGTTCACAAGCTAAGCCTAGGCCTAAGCCAAGCCTAAGCCTGCACCTAAGCCAAGCCTAAGCTTAACTCAAGCAAAGCCTAAACCTAAGCAACCTTAGACTTACAAGCCTGTAAGTCTAAGCCAGGCCCCGGCTTCGAAAAAACATCTTTTCCCCTGTGTTTCACTGATCTCTGCTCTTCTTCACCTTCTCTAGTTACCGAGCGGGGAATACCCTTACTCACTAAATTATGACTCATTTCAAAAAGAAGCCGCCAGGGGCCCCACGTGCCTATTTTTATCTCTATTCTCTAGGCGTCATTTGGAGTGACGGGGAACAGCTGAGGGGTGCGGGAGGGGGAGGGGGCCTTTCAAATTCTGCTGTCGATTTCAGCGCAGTCACAGCAAAATGGGGTGATTCTTGGGGCCGCATGACTGTCTTGCTCTCTCTCTCTCTCTCTCTCTCTCTCCTCTCTCTCTCTCTCTTTCCGATCATAAATCCATTAGCATGTTTAGGTTCAAAAATTTTTGCAATCGCTGCAGACCTCGGGATCTCTGGACTTTCTGGCTTATATAAAGTGCCCCCAAAATCTGGAAATTTGGCTTTTAACGCCGTATTTTTCTCATTTTTAAGTATGAAATTTGTTTTTAAACATATTTTACGAGTCAAACCCCAATATGCCTCAAGGCATAATTGGGGGTCCGATTTAAAGGGGCGGGGACAGATGGGGGGCCACCATCTGGTCCTGATCCCTGCTGGGCCCTAAGGGCATTGCTTACAGGGTGTGCAAAAAAAAAAGGACACAGTTTGGGTCGAAATAACTCGCGAACGGTAGAGAATCGAAGGTACGTTACCATGCCAGAATGCTTAAATATGCTGGGCATGAAGATTTAACACAACTTGATTTTTTCGATTTTTGAGTACGCAACTGTACTATTGACGCTGATTACGACCGAAAATTGTGCGTTCTTGAACGGGAGGTGGGAAAATTCTGATTTTTGGCCTAAAAATAGTATAAATTTGTAAAAATGTAATGGCAAAATCTTAGAATTTATCGAGGTAAATTTCATTTTTTAAAAGCAAAACAATTTTCGCGATTTTGCGTTATTTTTGTTCTTTGAGTTATAACTCGCTTATAACTCGCTGCCCATGGCTAATATTTTGTCAATGACCTATCCAAATATTAATCTCGGATTCCACACCAAATTCCACCACAATCTATGGTATTTTTATATTGCTTGCTAAAACGTGCCCCAGCGGGGTACTGTAGGTTTCGATTTTCCCGCTTTTCTCGGGGCGCCTAGCTTCGATTCGGCTAAAATTTTCTGGGTTGTTAGGCAATAAGTGGGGGCACCTTGCTGCCAAATACGAGAGCGTACTATCCACAAACTTTCATGAAAAACACCAAAAATGGATTTTTTAATTCTGCGGCAGAATTTTGTAAATTTTTTGGTCAATTGGTCCAAAAACTGCTACTATTGGTTTTCCGAAAAGATCGAAGCGATTCCATGGCAAAAACACCACGAAAATCGCAAATTTCGGTTTTCTACAGTAACCCACGTGGAGCGCGTTTTAGCATGCCATCACAAAATTCCATAAAGTGACGATTTTTCTATTCGAAGGCCTTCTAGAGTTGATTGTAAGATAACCTGTGAAAAATTACTGATTTTGGGTGGTAAATAACAAAGTTACGAGGCCAAGTGCAAAACAAGGCCAGAGAGCCGATTTCGGGTCCGAGTAGCCGGGTCAATTTTCGAAATTTTAAAAATAAAAAAACCACCTGCATCTTATGGATACGATTATAGCTTTGATGTTATTATCTACGCCCGTAAAATTTGGGGGCAATATGATTCATGATCATGGTGACTTTCAGCTCAAAATCGAAGATCACCCTATTCCAAAATCGAAGTTTAGAAATCTTCTTAAAATTTTTGCGACCTGAAATTGCTTTAATCTTTGCATAGTTTTATTCAACTGATGGCACTGATTTATTGCTCGAAATATCCCTACGACTCCACCTTCCAAAATTTTTTTACGCAACCTGCAACTCGGTTTATTTCGGGTTTTGATGAATTTTCCTGGCGCCAACCGCTGGTTAAAAAAAATTCATGAATGAGGCTTTAGGATGCGCTATTCAACAGGTATCAGATAAAAATAAAACAATAATTTTCACAGCGCGACTAAATTTTATAAAATGGTGACAAGATTCGGAAAAAAGCACGAACGAACCGTTTTGGAGGCCCTAAAAGACGCCCTTCCAAAGAGGTACGGTAGATAGAAATTTTGTAAATGATAGATAAACCCCAGTACTACATAGCTAAGCAAAGAAAACAGCTGAGTGCCCTTTGGCAATTTAGAAATATTTTTCCAAAGTTGGGTTTCGAGACCTCGAAAAATCCATGATCAGGGGGTCGTTGAAAAACGCGAAAATTCATCGATCTTAAAAATTTTTTTAAGATTTTTATGCGATTGTAACGGGCTCGTAGGTATTCCACAACAACTGATTCTGAGGTTTTCGCCATAGGTTTTTTCAATATTAAAAATTTACGAAATTTCTCCATACAAAATTTCATTCCTCTCTAACTTTTCAACCAGAACCTCAAAAATTCTTAAATTTTGTAGGTACATATCTGCTGCTTATATTAACTTACTTAATAAAAATTAGATGCCAGCCACCACAGGAAACTGAGAAAAATACAAATGAAGTTTCCCCCGAACGCACATTTTTCGGGTGTCATTTGTATGGGTACGTAGCCAAAAATCGAAAAAATCAAGTTGTGTTAAATCTTCATGCCCAGCATATTTAAGCATTCTGGCATGGTAACGTACCTTCGATTCTCTACCGTTCGCGAGTTATTTCGACCAAAACTGTGGGCTTTTTTTTTTGCACACCCTGTAGGGGGTCCAACGGAGCGATCGAATTTTTCCCAAATGTTCTTTGCTAACTGGCCTATGCCCAAGCCTATGCCTAAGCCTACGCCAAAGCTAAGCCTAAAACTAAGCCTAAGCTAAGCCTAGGCTAAGCCTAAGCCTAAGCTAAGCAAGCCTAAGTCAAGCCCAAGCTCAACCTATACTATTTTTCACCTACAAATTCCCCAAATTCCATATCAATCCACGGGACGCGACATAGGATGATCCGATTCGACTCTTTCTCGCTAGCCTATCCCTTTCCCTCGCTTGCCCGGAAAATGGGCCGCAGCTAGGGCGAGCGTTCTCTCTCTCTCTCTCTCTCTCTCTCTCTCTCTCTCTCTCCTCCCTTCCCCTCGCTCTCTCTCCCTTCCCTCGATGATTCACCCTAGTTGATCCCTCCGAGAAGCCAACGCCCACACCGCCACATTTTTCCATTTTCGCCGCTCTCTTTTGGTTCGCATTTCGACATGAAGAAAATTAAATGAACTTTAACATTGACAGATTTAAATTTAATAAACTTTTAGAGCCCAATTTCTCTCTCTGACCAAAAAAATTCTTCTCTTATCAGCAATTTGCTCTCTTTATGGCCAGTCACTGGGGGTCAACGCAACATGCCGTTTTCACGTCATCGAAAAATCGTTTAAACGGTAATAATGGTATACTATTAAATGGTTTTAACTTTTTAAATTGGTTTGACCTTTTATTACACTCACGTTTTCCTTCCCGTTTGGGCCAAACTTATGTCGAAATGGGACCTTGCCGGGCATTAAAAACGCGAAAATTTAAATTTAACTTTATTTTAAAGATATGGTAAACGGCAAGCTAGCTTAAAAGCTCTATTTAAAGCTTATGGCAAGCTAGCAGAGACAATTTGCGAGGCACCAGCCCTTCTGGGCTACAACGTGCTCCGTTCCGTGGCCAAGGAAGGCCGCTTGTTCCTAGCGAACGGCTTAAGGGGACCTTGCTCTCTCTCACTCACTCTCTCTCACTTTCTCTCTCTTTCTATCTCTCTCGCCCATTGTTTATCCCCTCTTGCTGCGCGCGCTACCCGAAAAGCGACACGACCCCTCGGGCGCTGAAAATTTGGAACCTTCCCCCCTCTAACTCTGTATTCAGCAGGCTAGCAGAGACGTTTGCGGATTTCTGAAGAAGCCAAACATTCCATATCCATCCTCCGATCGTTTCAACAAAAAAATTCTGAATCACCCCTGCCAACCACGGGGAAAAGAAGGCGCCTGCGTCAAAGCCTGCCCGGAAATCCCCCATATTTTCCGTGACGCTCCTCTGTACATCATATTTTGGACATCACGCGGCCTAAAGTAACTCGTCTGTAGGGATTGGAATAGCGAGGTATTTTTCAGCATGCAACTAATCCTGGGACGGGCTGGCAGAGACTCGTTGGGAGCCGAGAAAAATCCGGTTGACGTTTGAGGGATTTCAAAGTGTTCCAGATTTTACAAAACCATGGAGGGTATCTAGCAGAGATCATTGGGAAAATTTTTACATGATTCGAAATGGATAATACATTTGAGCATTGAAAACGCTGTAGGCAAGCAAGCACATACCGTTTTGGAGCTGCCTAAAAGCTTAGATTTTGAGGGTGCTCAAGGAGTTTCTCTCGCTCTATCACTCTCTCTCGCTCTCTCTCGCGCTCTCTGGCTATTTTTGTCCAGCATTGTTTTTAACTTCTCTGTTTTACTGTAGTTTTCCTGTTTTCTATAACTTTCGGTTTATCCCTCCCTATCACTCTCGCTCTCTCTCTCTCTCTCTCGCTCTCTCTCTCAATCGTTCTCTCTCGCTAACTATGCTATTTTGTAGGTGATGCAGCTGTGGGGCGAGTTGTTGGACGATTTCTACGCGAGAAGTTGGCGCTTCCTCCAGGTCGACAACAACACCGATCTCGGCGATCCTGGTGAGTAACTCTCCACACACTAATGAAACCCTAACTGTTACACTACCTTTAAAAACCTTTCAGCCATTATGCCACGCGTTAATGACTTTTCCAGACGGCGCCGAGCTTGCCCCACCGGCCATGCTCCAACTGTTGCGGGTGGACATCTTGGTTCCGGTGTTGTGCTACTCGGTTTTTTGGTATACGCTGAATGGGATTGTCGACGCCAACTTCTGGACGAATATGCCGGAGGGAATCAAGCGGAAACGACTCGTTAACGTCACCACCTCACTCATTCATTCGTCGGTATGTTTATAGGTGTAAAGCGTAGTCTTGCGGAATTTAAAGGACTGGGAAATCGAATTTGGTTCCGGAAATTCCTCAAAGATCTTTGCTAGCTTAACAATCAATTTTTTCAGGTGTCCGGCTTCTACTTTTTGATCTTCCTCCTCCGATTCCCGTCGCTGATGTTCGCGGCTCCGATGAACTACTATGGATATTTGGATACACACGTGGGTATCTGAAATTTTTAAGTTTACCGTAGCCTCCGAAAATTCCGAAAAGCTCCGCAAAACGCCTTAGAAACGACTTTTTTTAGATTTTGATGGTGACAATCGGATACTTCATCTACGACGCCATCGATCTGCTCATTAACGACAAGTGAGTTACCTTAAAATCTGCAAATTTTGTGGTAATGCGCCTTTGATATTTCCTTGAATTATGCCCTTCCATTATTTTAGACGAATTAAAAAACCACTAATTTCATACTGTAGAACGTAATTTTTAGACTATCCATCCAAACCGGGGTCCTCCTCTTCCACCACATTGCCGCCGTCCTCTTCATCAGCATCGCTCTCGCCTCGCACAAATTCGTGCTGTTCGCCTACTGGGCCCTCCTCATGGAGGTGGGCAAGCCTTTTAAAGGGACCGGCAAGGCTAGATTGCCATGGATTTGGTCGAAAAATCGAAAATTTTTTGCTAAAACTGGTTTCTTTTTAACGACGAAAATCGTTGAAATTCATCATTTCCGTTGATTCCGTTTTTCCGCCCAGCCCAGCGCTCATTCTCAAATTTTTAGGTCTCGTCGGTGTTCCTCCACCTCCGCTCCATCTTCCACTTCAGCAAGATGAGCACCAACCCGTGAGTTTTGCTCGTTTTTGGCGGTAGATTTCAGGCCTTTCATGTACCTTTAAACCCGCAAATTTCAGACGCTACTCCGAGGTGACGAAGCTGGTGTTGATCGGCAACCTGGTGTGCTTCATCGCCTTCCGCTTCTCCGTGCAGGCGTGGATGGTCATCTGGGCCATCGTCAATCGCCACAATATGCATACGTAAGTAGGATTGCGTAGTATTACTGACCTTCTTGGTGTTCTCTGACGAGTTATCTTCAAATTTCCAGCTTCTACCTGGTGATGGCCATCGTGGCGATGTCGGCCTTCTTCCTCATCAACATGTCGCTCTTTCTGCGTATCCTCTACTCGGACGGCTTCATGGGGTACGGTGATTTTGCAGAATTTAGAGGCTGTTGTGTACGGTTTAAAAGAACCGACATTAACGTACTGTAGCGTACGGTAACGTACAGCCTCGTACAATAGCATACACTAACGCGCATCCGCGTACAGTAGCGTACAATAGTCTACATTAGCGTAAAGTAGTGTGCAGCCTTATAAAATACCGTACAGCGGCGTACAGCCTGGTACATGGCGTATGGTGGCGTACAGTCACGCATCGTACAATAGCGCATAGTAGCGTACAGCTAGAACTGCGGCAAGGCGCGTACAGCTGCTTACAGGAGAGTACTGCCTCGTACAATAGCGTACAGTAGCGTACATAGCGCACATAGCGTGCCGTAGCATAGAACTTCGTACAGTTTCGTAATCTTGCGCGCACTAGCCTACGGTAGCGTACGTTAACGTACAGCGACGTACTCATTGAAAAGCATATTAATCAAAGACTCGCCTTTCCGGTCGATTTGACTCCCATATAAATTAGAGTTAACAAATATTCCATTTCAGCTCGACCAAAGTCAGCCGTAAGCAGCTCGACGCCCTCCTCGAAGACAACGAATACACGGCCCTCGACCAGGAAGGAGCCGATGATATCGAAGAATTGAAGAAGGACCCTGAAATTGCCTAAATACAATTTTTAAACTAAAAAACCTATACCTTCCGACCTTCTAGACCTTTCTAGAATCCCATTCTGTTGTTTTCCTCCCTCTTTCTGTACATCTTTGAGATTTGGCGGCCTTTCCCCTGCTAAAAATTGCTCAAACCACCACCGTATCACCTAGAGCTTTTTCAGAATCAACCATTTTTAGCTTGTAATTCTGGAAATTTCCTGTCTTCTGATCTCAACTAATACTTGCCTGTTTTTTTAATTATATACACAAATTTTTGCCCTTGCGTTCCTTTTAAGCTCCTTATCGGGCCTATGTATAAGCTAAGCCGAAGCTAAGCCTAAGCTAAACCTAAGCCCCGCCTAAGCTAAGCTTCAGGTCCAACTATGAAAGAGCCAAAACGGAAACGCAAGGAGCAGATTCCGTAACTGTACTAATAACTAACCGATTAACGATATATTTTCCTATTTTGTGCCCCTTCTCGAGGTCACCCCCACTAACCGTCTACTAATCCCTGTGAGCGCGCAAAAACGGGCTTTGCATTTGCATTTTTTGTGATCCTCTACCACCGATTGTCTAAATATAGAAAACGATGATAAAGATTTGCCTAAAAATACGAAACGGTGTGGCTCGCTAAACAATGCCCGGACGTCTTAAAAAGGTGGCAACCTAGCAGAGACGTGACCTTGGCTGGACCCTTAAAGGGACCGACAGGCCCAGATTTCTCATACCCTTCCGACAACTTTGGGAGTAGGACTACAGAGTGCTATTGATGTCTTTTAGGTACACTCTCGTTCTCTCAGCTTCTCCAGCTTCTCTCTCTCTCTCTCTCTCTCTCTCTCTCTCTCTCTTGCTCTCTCTTTCTCTCTCTTTCTCTCGCCTGCTCACTCGCTCTCTCCCCACGCTCTCCCACCCAGAGGGCCGCGTAGTGCTTGAAAATAGACGACAGGAAAAGGCGGCGTCGCCACGTTGCTTTGCCAGCGCGAAGCTGTGGAAATTCATGATCGAAAAGGTTGCCTAACAGAGGACTTTGGGGAGCTTTGGTTGGGTCTTTAAAGGAAGTGACAAGCCATAACTATCTCATACCCTTCCGACAGCTTTGGGAGTGGGACTACAGAGTACTATCTCTCTCTCGCTCTCTCTCTCTTGCTCTCTCTTTCTCTCTCTTTCTCTCGCCTGCTCACTTGCTCTCTCCCCACGCTCTCCCACCCAGAGGGCCGCGTAGCGCTTGAAAATAAACGACAGCAAAAGGTGCTAGCTGTAGAAATCGATGACCGAAAATCTATCCATATTCATGCCTTGCCCATCCCTTTAGTGACCTCAATCCTTTCGACAATTCTCATAAAATTCTTTATTGCCTTGGTGAGCATATTGGCACACTTGAGAGAATGCCATAATAAATATGAATATCCATTGATGGTGTTATTGATACGGTAGCCATGGGGGCACCATTTAGTATCCAGACGCCGCCTGTCCATTGTCAGCAGCCATATTCGATGTCCTTGGCGGGCATGGGCAGTATGCAGCATCACCGCCAGGCTCTCCTCGGCTTCCGGGTTGTCCGTAGGCTCCGGGATTTCCGGCAGCTCCGCGCTTTCCGGGGTTTCCTTGAGGTCCGTTCGGGCCGGGGTTTCCTTGGGGTCCGGGTGGGCCCTGAAATTCGGGGAGTTGTCATTTTTACTTTGAATGGCTTGTCGAAAAATTCCTTAAAAACCGCTGCTAGCATCTCTCTCTCTCTCGCTCTCTCTCTCTCGCTCTCTCTCTCTCTCTCTCTCTCTCTCTCTCTCTTCTAGATCAATTCTCTGCTAAACCAAGAACTGTCACAATCCCTTTAAACTCCAATCTCTCACCTTGGGTCCCTGGTTTCCAGGGTTTCCGGGATTTCCAGGCAATCCCTTGGGTCCAGGAGCAGCCTTGTATTTGTGTCCTCCCTTTCCAGGTGGTCCAGGGGGTCCAGGAGGTCCACGTGGTCCCTCTCCTCCGATATCTCCCATACATCCATCCGGTCCATCGGCTCCATCTCGTCCTTCGTTTCCATTTCCACCGGGGAAACCCTCCTCTCCGGGTCCTCCGATCGGTCCGGGTGGTCCCTGAGGTCCAGGTGGGCCGGCTGGGCACTTGATGCATCCCACGGAGCCGTCCTGAATTTTTTAATTTTTTAAGAATTTTTTCGAGTGGTTGAGTGGCTAGTGAGTTGGGCTATCAGGTAAGCGGGCCGGGTGCGAACCCACGCGACGCGAAACTTTTGCTTTTTGGCTAGTCGGATTGTGAATAGCTTTTCTGGAGTTTCTGAGGACCTAGACCGGTGGCGCAGTGGTTAGAATGCTTGGCCATTAGGCGAAGGATGCGGGTTCGAATCCGTGCAGCGCCAAATTTTTTGCTTTTTGCTCTGAGTCTCGTGACGCCTTTCGCTGAGCCCGACCTTACGCTTAAACCGGGGCCTTAGCCTAGCCCAAGCTGATGAAAGACTAAACTTCAGCCTAAGCGAAGCGCAAACCTAAGCCTAAGCCAAGGTCTAAGCCCAAGCCTGTACCTGAGTTTAAGCCTAACCATGAGCTTAACCTAAGCTCAAGCTCCCCGCAAACGTACCGAGAACTGGAATGGCAGAGCTCGTCCTCCATCGCGTCCCTTGTCTCCCTTCTCTCCATCCAATCCTGGTGCTCCAGGTGTTCCCTTGGGTCCTGGCGGTCCAGCCGGGCATCCATTTCCGCCGGCCTTGCAGTTGCATTGGGCTAAACGAAGCGAAATGGTCTCAGAATTCTGATTTTGCACTTACCAGCGGCCCTCTTGGCGCGGGCAAACTCGAACGGGTTGGAGGCGGGCTCCATCTCACGCCACGCGTAGTTGGCAATGTTCTGGAATCAGGAATGTTGCCAAGGTAAAGCCTACGCTTCAGCTAAGCTTAGAGCTAAGCCTAAGCCTAAACGAAGCCCAAGCCTAAGCCTAAGCTAAGCCTAAACTTATGCCTAACCCGAAGCCCCAAAATCCACTGCCCACCTTGAACTCGTCGAGCTCCATGAGGGCCTCGGTGTGGAAGTCGTAGAGGTCATTGTAGAGGAATGCGCACACCCCCAACGAGAACAGCACCGCCGCGCCCGACAGCGCCACCGCCGACACCAACACCGGCCGTTCCATTCCTGTAATTGTAAGTTATGGGGGGAGCCGAAAAAAAAAAGAAAAAAGTGTGGAAAACAAGGAAATACGACCGGAGGAGGATACGATAGTTAAAGGACCAGCGTTCATGGTGTATCGCGTCCTCGGTTGAAAAGTTACACTAGGGTTACGGTAATTACGTTATTTAGTTAATTAGGATCAATTTTCTACGGATTACGGTAGTTTTTCGATGGGTTGTGGTAACTTTTCTATGGGATACGGTATGATTTCTGAGGATTACGCTGACTTTCCTACGGATTACGGAAGCTTTTCTACGCACTTTCTGCCCTACGGAGCCGTTGGTCACTTTAGAGCGTACTGTAAGGTAAGCGAGCGGAAATTACGAGACCATATTTATTCGGAAAAGACTACGATAGCGTAGAAGGACGGGATACGGTAGCTTTGACGCAAAATATCGAAGTGGAAGCACATAATACGTTACGTTATTTTGCGCTAATGTTTATAGGATGAACTCGGAATTATTTGGAGGATTACGGTAGCTATTGGTAATCGGTAAGCATTACATCCGTGTAAAATCGAAACAATATTTTGAGAAGCTGGAATCCGGAAGCACACTAATGACACACCTCCATCCAGCAATCCCCCCATCAACAGGCCACAAATGGTATAATATGGCGGGGCTGGGGTGGGGGTGGATGGCTGCTGCCAGGAGGCCGAGCGGAGCGCTACGGACTCCAGTCCGAAAACTTGCTATCGACGAGGTGTCCGGGTGAGGGGAAGAGGGCGGAAAAAGAGGATGGCAGAAGCCGTCACTCCCTTCTGTCGGAAACCACGGCGGCAAGAAGTGGATTTTGAACATTTTGGATTGAAATTGAAGGGGCAGTGGTGGGACGGAGCTTGAGATATCGGGCACGAATTCGTTGCTGGTTTGGTTTGGCTGAAGTGTGGCTTGGGATTTGCTTGGCGCTGGCTTAGGCTTATGCTCGGGCTGGGCTTAAAAAGCTCAGGGCAAGCTAAAAAGCATAAAAGCCTAAAAGCTGCCCCACAAGCTACCGTAGCCCGACTTTCAGCGCACGTTTAGGGGTTACAACGTGTACACCTAATTACGTAGGGGTGCACGTAGGAATACCGTAGCAAGGTCAAAAGAAAGAGGCAGACGTTCATAGGTGGAATCCTACACCCTCAAAGCGTTAAAGGTATTACTTATTACTTTTCTTTGGGCTAAAAGCTGAACCGCAGCTACCGTCTCCCTAGGACCAAAGCCCTGGCAGCCACCTGTCGACACGCGAAAGGCTTCTTATAAGGCGCCCCCGGCCATGCACTTTCACCGATTCCTCGGGAAAAGTATGTAGACTTTTCGACGACGTATCGAAAACGCCTACCTCTTTGCGGGGGGGTACGGGCAGTTCCTCTGGACGTCCTTAGCCAGCTAGAGGGAGGGAGGGAAAGTCTCAAATAGACAGCGAGACAAATAGACATGCAGACAGACAGACACATACAAACATACATAGAGACAGAAAAACATTATCGCGCCTATTCAACCCCCAAGGGGGGGTGGACTGAAATTTGCATGGCGCCTGGGGGTTTCCGAGAGTTTTTGCACATCCCAGGGTCGTCTAGCTGTCCGGGTGGCTGTCTCGCTCTCTATCTTTTGCTCTCTCTCTCACTCCCCCACTCTCTCGCTCTCTCTCGCCCTCTGTGACCTCATCAACACCGGAACGAGAAGCACGCGACTGTACTATTGACACTTGAAGACTATAGTGGACGTTTACGGGGGTTAATGAATGCCCTAATTGGAACATTAAAGAGCGGGCAGTTTTCGGCAATGGACACAAAAAAATCTTTATTCCGAGGCAAGCGAAGCGCAAGTGTAGCCCATCAGCCGGTCCCTGATATGGGTACTGTTGCATTATCGGGGGGGGGGGAAGGGGCATTCAATACAATAACTCATTTTCTACTTTGATTTTCGCCTCAAATTTCAATGTTATCAATTTTTCTAAGTGGCTTTGGTAGTTTTTGATAGCTAAATTTACTAGCAAAGGCATTAAAACTGGACTGAGATTTAAAATGTCCTGTAACGGCGCGGGGCTATATACAGTGTCCTGCCTTGCCCGGTCCTTTAAAATGGCTATCAACGTTGTTATATCTTCGAAGCCATTAAAAAGTTGAAGGAGTCTCGACATCAGCTTGTTTTTCCTGCTCGGTGCTCAAAAATCATCCTAGCTCTCCTTCTCTCGCTCCCGCTCTCTCCCTCTCTCACTCTCTCTCCCTCTCCATCTCTCTCGCCCGTGAAAGTGCGAAGATTTTGATAAGAATCAGCTCAGCCTCCAGTGTCATCCTCCCCCCCAGGGCTGCCGGTCACGGATGGGAATTCTTTCGAAGGCCGATCGAGTGGTAGGTGGCAGGGGGAGTCGAATCGAAACTGTTCAATCCCTCCAAGCTGTCATCCCGAAAAAGCGGGCGCCACTCTCTGCCACACTATCCACTTTGCGGGGGTACGCAAGAAAAGCTAGCTGGGGGGGTATGTAGCTGACGGTTCAGGATGCTGCAAGGCAGTGGGATGGATTTTGTGGGAGGATTCTTACGGATTCTATCGTTTTTACGAAACGCAATGCGCCCGTCTGTCCATTCGCGGGCGTCGCGGATCGCGCGAAAAGCTACGGTTGGGCTGGTTTTAGGTTAGGCTTGGGTTTAGCTTTAGCGCAGGTTTAGGGTGGGCTTAGGTTTATTTTCGGGCTTGGCTTAGGCTTAGGCTTGACGTAGGCTTAGGCTCAGGTTGGGCTTAGCATAGGCTTAGCTTAACCCTTTTGGGTTTCCAAATTTCTGATCCTCGGTCATGTTCAAGGATTTGCGGGGGGCAGCGCTGAGGGATGGGCACTTGGGGTGAAAAACGGTGGATGGCCAGCTGGGGAGGCTGAGAGAGAGAGAGAGAGAGATAGAGAGAGAAAGAGAGAGAAATGAACAGGAGGACACTGATTACACTACCCGTTGTGAGCCTCGGCTTCTTGGCCCTGCCCTCGGGGGCTTATTTACAGGTTTTGCTGCCCCCCAGCCGACAACTGACTTTTGAAAGACGACCGTCCCAGTTTCCGGTCCCCTATTTTGTTAGTGTTTGGACCTTTGTACGTACAAATTTCTGTTCCAGATTTTCATTTATGCGTGATTTTATGTGGGCCCTTTCAGAAAAAAAAATGGGTGACCTGGCCGCCCTCTTTTCGCAACACGAAATTTGCCCGAACATCCTGGAGCAGCCGCCGCGGGAAAAGCTCAATGTAATCTGGGCGATTAGGGCGAGGGGGAGGCGTAGACAGTTCTTTATCGGAATCGGGGAGATGGGCGGGCCGAATTTGTATTTTTAAGCAGTGTTTTCGAGAAACGACCGCTTGGGTTTGCTTCGAAGAGACAGTGTGAGAAAGAGAAAGGAGAGAGAGAGAGAGAGAGAGAGAGAAAGAGAGAGAGAGTGAGAGAGAGTGAGAGAGAGTGAGCGACAGAGTGAATGGGGGAGCCAGGAAAAGAGAGATAGAGAGAGCGATAGAATAATTTTTCTTTTTTACAGCTCGTCTGGGATGGGATCAAGGTCGAGCCCGGGATGACGCTGCAAGTGCGCAACCTGAAGAACGCGCCGCGCTTCAACCTCCACGTTGACCCGGAGAGCACCTTCACCATGCTCATGATCGGTACGTACAGGGGCGTCTTTCTAGATTTTTCGAAATTCTTGCGCAATATCCGAGCTCTAACTCTTGCTGTAGCTTCGGATATATACAGGAAAATCCGGAAAATCGAAACTAAAGCTTTAAAAAAATAAGCAGTTTAGATCCGGACAACCTGTCGCGGAAAAACCCGTCGGTGTCTGAATGGTTGCACTGGCTCGTCTGTAATATCCCTGCCTCCAACGTGCTCGAGGGAATTAATGGAGGTATGAATCTACATTATTCAAGCTCACTCTGTGTCTAAGCTTAAGTTAAGCCTAAGCCTAAGCTAAGCCAAAGCCCATCCTAAGTCGAAGCCTAAATCTAATTGTAAGCCCAAGGGAAGCCTAACCTAATTTCTCATCCTTTTAAGCGGTTTTTAAACCCCCAAAACTATGCTCTCAGCCATGGCCTAGACATCTATCGGCCAGCAGGCCGTTGCGGGACCCAAAATGGAGCGTAAAATAAGAAAAAACTCGGGGCAAACATGTGCGCGTCGGGTGTTGTCGTCGGTGGAAAGTCGTTTTGCAGGCCAGCACCAGATGGCCTACGGGTCGCCGGGGCCGGGACCTCGCACTGGACTCCATCGCTACATCATTCTCATGTGGGAACATCAGGGACGACGAGTGGCGGTAAGCGAGAGAGAGAGAGAGAGAGAGAGAGAGAGAGTGAGAGAGAGGGCGAGCGAGAGATAGTGATAAAGACAGAGCGAGAGAGCGGGAGATGCTCTGGTTCTAAAAATCCCGAAATTCCAGGAGCCAAAACCCAGTACGCGGGCCAAGTTCTCGGTGAAGAAGTTTGTGGAAAAGCACAAGCTCGGTGAGTCCTTCCTAACTCACTTAAAGGGACGGGCAAGGCATATATTCTCTATGGCTTTCGCCACGCCCGCGAAACGCAAGGCGCACGCTGTTTGGCCGCTCTCAAGGGGCCCTAAGCCTTTACGAAATGAAAACGTTGCGTTGCGTATCGCATTTCTATAAGAAATCGATAAAATCCTCTCTAAAATTTAAAAAGCAACGTTTTTCCGTTTTTCCAATTTTCCCCTTTTTTCAGGCCAACCAATCGCCGGCAACTTTTTCTTCGCCCAAAACGAGACGCAATAAAGTGCAAAAAAACAAACGCCGGGCGCTGTAATTATACGCTAGGAATATGGTGCCATTTGACTGAACTATGTGCAAAAATTTACTTGCCGTATGTAATAAAGTTAAATATATTTTTTATTAACGGTTTTTATATACATGTCATGCGAGGGGGGCGAGGGAAAGGGGAGGCCCTACGGGTGGGCCATAATATCCTGGCCTTCCTGCAGTTTTTCGATGATCTTCTTGTGAAGGAGACCGGTCCACATTGTGTCGGAGGCCTGGAAAGCAGAGGGATATGTATTTATCGCCGTAGTTGATTTTCTATTGCTTTAACTGTATTGATTCAAAATTTTTAGGTAAAAAAGCAGATTTTTCGCCGGCCGGAAGGTTTTTGAGTAATGAATATACCTAAGAAATAATTGTAGACCCCGGTTTCGAAGCTTGTATAGCTTTTCCTACTTTATTTCCAAGTCTTTCTCTCGAAAAAAGCAGAACTATTAACAGATTGCGATGATTTATGGATTTACGTGAAAAAGGAACGCTTACTGAAAGACTTTGACTGAACTTGTTGAAAAGCTTGGTGTCCACGCCGTCGAGTAAAATCCTACCTGGCGACGGAGTTCGATCTGTTCGGGGATCAGCTGGTGCGGCTCGTCGGCCTGACTGACGGTGACGATGCGTTTCTCCTTTTTCGAAACCCGCAGATAGCGATTGGGGAAGTAGAAGCGCCCTTCGCCGTTCGCACCTCCTAAATGTGCATTTACGTAATGTCGGTTATTACTCGTTGGAAAACGTCGCTAAATCGGTAATACTAATATGATAGGACTAGCATTTTTAATAAGCCATTAGGCAATAGATATAAAAAAGTAGTAGCAAATTAGCTTAGCGCAGTTTCGAACTAAGATTAACCAAAGCACGGACCATAGAATTCTTTAGGCGAATCGGACGGGTAGTTGATCATCGAGATCATTGTGATATACCTGAAATTCGAAGTGGTAACTAAATGCCGAACTGAAAATTTAGTGAGACAGAAACTACGAAAAAGAAAACTAGACCGCATTTTTCAACGGCATAAGTTAAACAGTGGAAACTTAAGGCAGAAAAAAAACTTTGGAAATTGTTAGTTTCAAATGTCTGACATTTGCCATACGCCGGAATGCGATAAGATGAGGCTGAAGCGGCCATTCGGCCCTTTTATTGGTGAGCAGGAAGGAGGAGACGATGTTTACCCCGATCACCGTCTTCTCGGTCCCCCTATTCATAGAAGGGATGTGTGGGGGTGGAGGTGTCCGAAATGGCCCTCCTGGTCACAACCGGTCCACAACCACACCCGAGAACACACACAAACACGCATCCCATCCGAAACGAATTGTCTTCCCCGGCGGAAATTCCGTCTGAATCAGCCATCATATCCCTGGGAACGTCGACGAGTCACGTGGGGTAGCGCTCGGAATTTGAGGAATCCTGTGGGGAAAACCGTGCTCACCAAGACATGGTTGAGGCTGAGCTCGAGGTTATATAAAAATTCATATAGTAAAAAACATTCCGCTAGCCACCGCAAAGGCAAAGTAACCTTGCAAAACCCGAAAATGAACATTTCTTATCACTCGCACGAGGGATTACGAGCACAAGCCTACACGCCATCCAAGGCTTACGGCCATAAGACCCGGTTTGCCAAGCATTGCACTCAAACTCTCACGAATAACGCCTGCTTTCCGGTCAAAGTCCGTAACAATCCTTATTCTCAACAACACGCATTTCCTGCAAAGCTAAATGAAATCGTTTATTCGTAGAGCAAAAAGAAACGGCATGCAAAAGGGCTCCGCGTTAACGCAACAACAATAAACGGTGGATGTGGAGGAGCTAATAAGGCGGATGGCCAGCCAGAGGTGTTGTGGACCGCAGATGGGGCGGATAGTGCTGGAAGTCGACGGCCGTGTAGTTCGGCGGCACAAACGGCCTAGCGGCGGCAATCGAAACCTATAACCAACAAATTGAGAGTGGTAATAAAACCAGTACCTGAGGCATGTAGGCTTGAGGTTGGTACTGTACACGAGGCACCAATGGCGGTGCCGCAGAAGTGTTGAAGTAGGTGGCGGTAATCTGAGGCTGCTGGCAGAGGGCAGCCGTATAGTTTTGCGGCGTGTAAAGGACTAAAAAAAGACATTTTATTCCCGAAGAAGGAGCGTACCGGATTGCTGATGGACAGCAGTCATTGACGGGAATAGCGGCGGAATAGAAACAGGTGGATAAGCCGGATAGGTGTGCTAGAGAACCGCGAAATAAGATAATAAAGCGGAATTACCGTATAACCCTGCATCGTGGGATCCTGATAGGGCATCATCAAAGTGCCCTGCATAGGCTAAAACAGAGGTACTTAGTCAGCATAAGCCCAACCTGTTGGACAAAGCCCATACCGGGCATCGGCTGCACAGCAGGCGGTGCACACTGCCGATTACGCGGAGCAAAATTGGCGGCCGGCCCGCTGGATGGTGCTGGCACCGTCTGCTGCATGCTTCTCGGAACGAAGGCACAGGCATCGGCGTTGAAACGGAACTCCTTAGTCCTAAAAATGCGCTGCAAATCAAGAGACAGACAGTACTTTTGCTCAGGTTTCTGATCTTCAACAGCATCTTGTTTGGCAGCTTTCGTGCTTTCCAGCCCTTCTGTGTTCACTAGCTCCGTAGGCTGCTCGGCCGACGGCGGCTTCTCGACCAGCTTCAGCTCCGATTTTTGGCTGCTAAAATGCGCAATATAAAATGAAAGCGAAGAATATTCGAAAAGTTAACCCTGGATTACCTTTCAATCTCCTTTGGCTTGCACTGCTGCGCACGGTCCAAGATGGGCGGCGAGTTACGGGGACCAGCGGACGCAGATTTGTTCTTGTTTTTGGGTTGCTCGTGGTAGGGCTTGTTCCGCCGCGTCATTGCCAGCGACGGTTTCTTCCCCAGGTAGTTTTTGGGCTGATGCAATTCCTCGTTCACCGTGAGCTTGTCCAAGTCCTTCTCTTCATCGTCATTTTCCAGCCGGGCATTGTGCTAAAATTCGTAACAATTTCGAATTAAATACTTACTTTACTCATTGCATCGCCTTCTATCTTGTCGGCGAGTTTTTGCGCCTGCGCAATAGCTTCTTTGCTCAGTTTCGGCACAGCTACGCTAAAAATAATTTATGAAAAGCCTAAACAAATTGCGTCGTTATAAAACAAGGCAATCAGTATGCAAAACATACTTCGTAAATTGCGAGAGATCCTCTGCGAAGCTAGTCTTGACTCCTAATTCCGCATTGGTCGCCAGCATCTCGTCCACTGCCCATCTTCCATCGTTCACCTTTACTCGTTTAAGGGCCTTAATAAAAATACCAATTCCGTGGCTTCGCCGAGGAAATCGTCGAAAGCTACCAACTCCCGATGAGCAATTCCCTTGGTCTTTTCGTGGTAGGCACCATCCAGGCGGAAATCTATGAACATAGAAAAAAGAGTTTAGCAATACTTACGCTTCTCTTCATAGAGTTTGCCAGGTATGGTGATTTGACGGACATCCGAAATATGGAATGCCATCTTCGACCGCATATCATTTTCCGAAACAAAGAGGCTCTTCTTATTCTTCTCAGTGAGCTCATAGCATTGAGATATCCCGATCACAGAACCCTAAAAGAGAATTGCTTTCGGAAAGACGCCGACCTCGGTATCAAAGCAGCTCAAAAGTCCCCGGTAGTTCTTCTCATCCTGCGTAAGGATGCGAACCTCTTGTCCCTGAAAAGACCGAGCATGAACCTCGCGAAACTAGACAATTACAATACGCAACGAAGTAGACCAGTTATAAACTACCGACCAAGCATGAATTCCATCTCGATAGTACTTCAAAGGACTTGACATCGTTGATCAAGGGCATCTCAAAAATAGGAATACCCAACCAGAAAGACGGCCGTGTAAGCGCAAGAAACCCATCGGAAGTAAACCGCAGGCTAAATGTAAGCCGATCAATGCAATAAAATTTTTATTCGAGAACAAGTACTGCAAGCAAAGAAGCGAAAAAACAAGGCAAAATAGGTCAAATAGAAAGGCCACCAAATTGAAGTTAGCATTGAGAGAGGATGTAATATTTAGTGGCAACTGATGGAGGCTTATAGTTCGATCGATGCTGTGAAAGCAAACATCGGGATGTCTTCGTTGGCTAGCTCCGGCCGTGAGGCGAGCATTGTGCAGATATCCCGATAGAAGTCGGCTAAACGATATTGTTGATGAAACGAACAAGTTGTACATACCGTAGTTTTCGGCAACTGTTAGCTCGGTGGCTTTGAAGAGCTGGGCTGCGCGTCGGCCCAAGGCGAGGGCTTCCCCTTCCGACAAATCAATGCGCACGCACCGACGGGCCTGGGCCGCAAAGCGACTGAAGCTTTCTTCGAGACGCAGCAGCTAAATGGAAAAATGAAGCTGCAGAAACAATGGGGGTCTTACCGTGATATAAACAGCGATCCGGTGATAGTCAACAAAAAACTTCTTCACAAATGCCGAGAGTTGACGCGTCTTGCAGGCCTGTGTCAGGGCTTTGAGCGAAGAGCGCAGGAGATTGCGCTAAAAAAAAGTTCTAGAATGCATCGAAAATTTACTATAGTTTTTCCTGGTGCTGAGCCAAGCAGCTTGGAGGTCGCCATGCGCAAAACCGGTGTGGAACTTGCTGGTAGCTCGTCCTAAAAGCAAAATGAAAATAACATGAAAACCTCAAACCAGGGATTGCGCCATGTAGATGAGAAGGCGAACGATCTTCGAGTGGCAACTAAAACAGGGATATATTTCAAATCTCGACGCGATACATGAGTATAAGAGCCCAGCATTTTGCAGCACGAGGGGCGGTGAGCACGTTGTTTTCTTTCATCTGATTCTCCAACGCCGCATTCACGCCCATCAGATCGACGAAAAGCTGGTCTCTGAGCATCTACAAAAAACAAATGATTCAATAAAACAAACATACCTCGCCTATAAATTTGTGTGCTTTGCTGAGATTTCCCAAAAACACAGCTTGCAATTTGGGCATCTCCCATTCATGCTTCGCGACTTCTTGCAACAAATCAACGAAGGAAGCTCCAATCTCCTCATCCTAAGCAAAACGTAGGCGGTTTGTGTATATTTACTCGAATGACCGACACAAATGTGCGCGGGGCCTCGTCGTATTTGTCGCCTTGCATGACCGGTGTACGTACAACTCTTGGAGCGGCAGGCTAAAATGAGTATATCCAAGCAGAATTTACTTTTACCTTGCTGAGCCCAATGCCACGCAAAGCGTTGGTAATCATCCGCATCGATGGTGAAATGGTATCTCGGGCACTCTGACGGGTCCTTGGGTCGAACTTTGCCGTGCGGGGAGTCGGTGGAGCTGATGGAGTACCAATCGAAGGGACACTTGTCGTATCGAGATGGTCCAACTGCTTCCCATCGCCAGCCGCGAACGATAAGTCGAAATCCACGCTGTGAGAAGTCCCGGTCTCGCTCGGAGCGCAGATTTCGCGAACATTCTAAACTGGGATGGTAGAAATGGAGGATGTGCATACCAGTGAAATTGGCTCGATCTCCATGATGGTGATTTCGGGGACAGGAGGCGGTTCCTTCTGCTCAAGTGGAGCCTCAACTATCGGCAACACGGGCCCTTCTTCCTCGTGTGGTGTCGGTGTGATCACTTCTATTTTGAGCTCTTCCAACGAGAGATCGAGCTCTTCATAGGAATCGGTTGGTAGCTTCACGCTCTGGGGATCGGTGCTGCTGATGCTCACAGGCTGTAAAGCAAATTGACGTAGGCGAACCAAGACTACCTTATTTTCCATGTCGCTTTTCGACTCGATGGACTGAACCATTAATGGCGTCTCAGCTGAGGACATAGCTTCATGAAGGCGTTCACGTGGCCCATCTAGCGCAGCAACCAACTAAAGCGCGAAGTTTTCAACAGAAAAATATCGATACCTTCGGAATCAAGGAATCCCCACACTTGTGCGTACGGGCAAGAAGCTGCTTGACTGGATAGAGGCAACCGCAAGTGTTGACCGAGGATAACTAAAAAGAAATGCAATAGAGCGAGCAAATTCACCTGCTGGAATGCAGCTCCTGATTCAGCAACGGTGTTGTTGTTGTTGTACGAGGCAGCAAAACGTGTGCAAGCATCTCTGCAAGAGATTTAGGGAACAGAGCTTGGAATACCGTAGCTGCTTGCCGGTGCCGTAGGCGAATTCGGTGGCCACAGATCCAGCGATGGACAACACTTCTTTTCCAATGACCACTACTTCTTTTGAACCGGCTGAAAATTTCCTTGCAGACGAAGAAAAGCAAAGATCGAAGAACCGAGAAGGTTGCAAAACCCACCAATGTCATTGATGACTACCAGAATATTCTGCTGCGTCTGCCCATTGGCGAAAACGCGAGCCTAAAAAATGATTTGGCACTAGAGGGCTAATAATACCTGTTCGATCGAGGAGAATTCGCGGAGAGTGTGATCGTCGTTGAGAGCGATCCCGAGGTTGTTCAAGTTGTTCCGCACGAAGCGGGCGATCTCACTAAAACATGGAATGTGAGAAAGGAACTACAAGAAAACCCGAGGAAGTGATGGTTCTTGAGCGCATTCGAATGGTCGCCGACCTTGATGACTTCAAGACATTTGGGACGCTAAAAACAGTTACGAGACCACCGAAATTCCGAACCTGTGGCTTTGTCAAGTACATAGCTGCAGCAGATAGGGAACAAGAGAACCCTATATCTAAAAACACCGTAAAGCAACAATTAGAAATTGGAAAGTGCGAAGATAAATTCTGAGAACAGGGCTATCGGCTTCGAGGCGTGTGATTGAAGTTTCGGCGCTACTCCGGTTCAGCGGACCCAGTGGTTTTCCACCGATTTTCCATGTTTTTCACCGGCCATGTAATTTGACGCGCTGTACTCAAACAAAACACCAGGTTGATTTCAGCTCAGAGATTCAAGTTTAGCGCGTCAAGCTACTCTAGAAACGAGGCCAAACCGTCGATAAAAGTGCGCTCGCTAATCCGAAATAGCGCCGAAGTTTCAATTATAAAAAACCAGATGGTTACAGTCGCTTCGCGACTGCAACCATCTGGCCTTCGGGCTACCCTACATGTCCAACTCCACTACATCCTTTACCACCTCCATCAATACCCCCGATAGCCGAAATCCCCTTCAAAAACTACCTAAATACCTTCCCGATGGCTTAAGATACCTCCCCTAGCCGAAATCCCCTTCAAAAACTACCTAACTACCTTCCCGATGGCTTAAGATACCTCCCCTAGCCGAAATCCCCTTCAAAAACTACCTAAATACCTTCCCGATGGCTTAAGATACCTCCCTAGCCGAAATCCCCTTCAAAAACTACCTAAATACCTTCCCGATGGCTTAAGATACCTCCCCTAGCCGAAATCCCCTTCAAAAACTACCTAAATACCTTCCCGATGGCTTAAGATACCTCCCCTAGCCGAAATCCCCTTCAAAAACTACCCAAATATCTTCCCGATGGCTTAAGATACCTCTCCTAGCCGAAATCCCCTTCAAAAACTACCTAAATACCTTCCCGATGGCTTAAGATACCTCCCCTAGCCGAAATCCCCTTTAAAAACTACCTAACTACCTTCCCGATGGCTTAAGATACCTCCGCTAGCCGAAATCCTTTAAAAAAACGAAAATACCGACCGACCGAATGGAATGAGAAAAAAAAAAGAAATGAAATCCCCCGTGAAAATTTTCATCCACGAAACGCACGCCACCTGGCTCACTATGTCCAAAATCACCTCAACGTCCGTCCCCCACCCCTTTTACTAAGGAAAAAACTTTCAAAGTTAATTTTAATAATTTAAACTAAAACTTTTTCGTACTTTTTTTATCAGTTTAGGGGTTTTTGATGGCGCTCTATCCGAATCCGAAGAGAGCTAAGCTCTAGCTCCTTTCCCCTTCGAGTTGAATTCGGGACATGACGCACAGACGCACAGACACCACAGCAAAATTATTATAGTAGATTGCTAAATTCAGAGGTTTGTGCAAACCATTTTTTCGAAAAATGTAAAAAAGTCTGAGAGGGAATCCCTCCGTGAGCTTCTCCTCAGTCCACAATACAACAGTTGACGGTCGTAATATACGGTGGAACATCCAGCGTATAAAATTCGATTCTTTGATCCGATGCTGCTAGCATCGATATCGATTGAGTCTGTTCGTAAATGCAGGCATCTGACGACGTCGACCAAGTAAAAATCCTTCTAAAATTGTAAATAGCGTTGTTCTGCAGTAAGAGACTTCAGAATCAGTGGCTCCACTTCGTGTCGTGCATCTGACACAACGGAACCATTCTATTCCAGTTTCCCTTTTATTACGGCAGTTATTCGTTCGTTTTCGTTGCAAATTTGTAAATTCCGAGCAGCGTTTTACGTATTCTAAAACGCTGCGTCCTCTGTAGTTCAACCTATAAGAGAACCTCCAAGGCAAATTCGGCACGCTTGGGCAGCTTACTAACTTGGAAACTTTAATTTTAACGCTATAATACGTTATAACCGAGGTATAAGACGATTGTATCTTTAGTTGTTTGCATTTTTTTTCTTTCTAGATATGCTGTTGTAACTACTGAAAGCGCTTTTATACTCTCTTATGATCATATGGACCATTTCTGGCTGCTCGATTACAAATTTACCCGAACGCTCGACCTATACAAGTTGCCTATCTTGCATGACGTCGAACGCGGTGCTGGAAAACTTTGAGCCGTGGCTCCCCGGACCAACTCGTTCGACTTTTCATTACCCCCCGCAACTCGGGGGTGCCCGGGATCGCAGACGATTGATGGAATGAATGAGCCCGGGCGGATGGGGGCGGGTGGAGAAAAAACGAGCACCATCATTGACTGGCCGATAGCAGCCGGGGGTTGATCGCGGAGGGCGGGAGAAGCGGACCGTGGAAATCGGCCTCTCCGAGACGATATGCGCCGTCGACGGGAAAGCCGACGAAAGAGCCCCCTACACGATTTATCCCCCCGCCAGTTACCCCCACGATCACTTGAACCCCAGTTGTGGATCCGCCAGCTGGGCCCATTTTTGGGTACTGGACTGTTAGCGGGGGGGGGGACACTTTCTGTTTTTACACCTATACCTGCCTGTTGATGATAAATTATGTATTTTTATAGTCCTTATTAGTTTTTGATTGCTAGAAACATAAAAATATCTTTTACACTTTTGAAAATTCGAAGTTTTTTACCTTTTTTTGGTCGTTTCTTAAATTTTTGAACAAAAAGTCGAACATTTTCGAAAATTTGTATGTTTTTAATATTGTTTTTTATCTAAAACTATGTAAATTGTTCTAAAATGTTTTATATTTTGTGGTAGGGCCGTAGAGAATCACAGGAAATTATGGTCCAGAACCCTTTTTGAGGCTTGTTAAGACTTAAAAAAACTGTTGAGCCTTTTTATAACGTTAATATAACAAAAAATATCCATTTTCAGACTCTTTTTCTTGGCCGGTCCCGGTTTTCTACAAAATCAGATGAGCGCGCCGAGTCGAGATGAGGGTGGGGAAAAGACCTACCCGGTGGTTGATCGAGCCCCGGCGGCAATGTTTCGAATCGGATCTGTGGACGAGGTGGGCGTTGCCTTACCATCGCTTTACCCTATTTAGCAACCGCAAGTCCTTACCCCTCAAGCCACGCTCACGCGGCCACCGCTTCATAAGCAAGCGTCGTGCACCAGATCCGAGGTGAGTCCTGGCCTGCTTTCTAGGCTGCATGAAATTCTTTTCAACCCATAACTTCAGGGCTATATTATACGGAAAATCTATTTGATATCAGAATGTCAAAGTTGACATTGGAATTTCATTGTCGAAATTTCGGTTCTTTCCTATTAGCGGGGGGGTTGTAGAATTCTGAAAATGCCTAGTAACGTAATAGCAATTATTTTAATAGTTTATTAGTAAAATTTAGTTATTTTGAAGGAAAAGTATCTAGCAAACGCTTAAAAGTACAAAAATTCTAAGTCGAAAAATCGATGTTTTTTTCACATTTATTGGCTAAATTTGCCAGTTTTTACGGTTATAAGTAGGGTAGGGTCTTGTTTAGAAACAAAAAAGCATTGGATACTGAATACCACCCCTCCCCCGATAATGCAAAAGAACCGAAATTTCAGAAGTGCTAGATTCATAATGCCGAAATTCTAAAAACCTGTTTTTGAGCAAACTAAACTCCCTTCCAGGCGGGCGACCTCTCCGAGCCGACGGCCCTGTTCCCGTCGATGCGGCTGGTGCTGGCGGCACTGCTGTGCTGCTGCTATATGGCCCTTTCAATCAGGTACTGCCGTAGCCAAGGGCGTCCCGAGTTGTACCGTGTAGTGCCTCAGCACGTCCAACATCTCGGTGGGCATCATTTGCATGAGTTCATGTCCGCTACATCCCGGGCTTGGCGGCACGTTGGACTGGAAGGCATCGCAGGTGTCTGATGTTAAATTACGAGTAATTCTGGGTTTAGGAAGGCTACGTGCTGGCAGCGCAAAATGCGGGCCACCTGTTGATGTTGTTGACAGGGATGTGGGCGGATCGGTTGAATGGAAAGTGGATGGTGTTCGCCAGGTAAGAATAAATATTATTTTGATTATTACATTGTTCTCGTTTAGCCTTGTGCTGTGCGTGTCGGCCAACGCGTTGCTACCATTGGCATCACCGGTCTCATTTTGGCTGGCCGTAGCTTGCCGGATGGCGGTCGGGGCCGCCGATGCGTGTCTCATCCCCGCGGCAAATTCTCTGATTACAAGGTAGGCCTACGAGTTTTTGTTTACAATTTTTTCAGATGGTTTCCACAAGCCGAACGAGCGGCAGCGATTGGGATAATTTCTGGGGGGCGGCAAATGGGTAAGTCGCTACAAAAAACCTTTCTTGACCAACAAAGTCTAAAACAGATAGAGTGTGGCGGGCAAAAGCAAGCAATTATTTCGTTTCCCGATAAAGATTTAAAAGCGTAATGAAGCATATTACTTTGCGTTTTTAACTTTTCTAAAACACCTATTCCTTGCAGGCGGTCTCTTCATTCTTCCAGCCGCCGGTTGGCTGTGCACGCAAAAGATTGCCGGCGGCTGGCCGGCCATCTTCTACCTTTCGGCGTTGGTGTCGCTGCTCGTCATGTTCTTCTGGCTGCCATTTGGGGCGGATAAGCCCTCGAAACAGTGCTGCATCTCGGAGAGGGAGCGCCTTTTTGTGGAGAGCAGGTGGGTGAGCGTTTGGATACGTCGCTGTTTGCGTTGCGTCTCTAGGTGACCAAATTTGGTACTGGACCGTTAGCAGGGGGGACTAATCACTGATTTTCCCTTACATCAAAACAAAAACATTTTTATTATCTATTTTAAACTTTTTTTAACCTCGAAGATTTTGTTTTTTTGTTGGTTTTTTAAGCGTTTTGACGAAAAACTGAAAAAAGTTTCAACCCCCTTCCCCCCGATAACCGTCCAGCACCCAAAATACTTTCAGAATAGCCTGCGAATCGATCGGGAAACGTACAGACCGAAGTCGACGTGTCCCGTACAGGGCAATGTTGCGTAGCAAGCCGCTGTGGGCGAGCGTGTTGGCGATGGTTTGCCACGAGTACCCGCTTGTCATCATGTTGCAGGTTAGATTTTTTTTAATTTTGCAAAAAGTATTCCAGTTCCTGCCTAATTATCTTCGTGACGTTCTCGAATTCCAACCCACGGAAAATGGGATCATTTCGGGTGGGCTGGCAGTGATTTTGAGGGAAACACAAGCTAGATAAAGTGTATAACTTTTTTTCAGCCCTCCCGATGTTATGTCTATTTCTTTCGAAGACGTTCACCTCATCCCTCTCTTCGTATCTAATCGTTCAACGCGAGTTCGACAAGACTACGGTGTGCAAGGTGTGTTTTATAGGACCCACGGTTCTAGTTTTTCCGACAGTTTTTCGTTTCAGGACCAACTTTTTCTAGACGTCCTGTAATGCCTAGTAAAGTAATCGTAACTAATTTAAGAGTGTTTTTAACATTTTTCAATTGCTAAAACCATTAAAAAATCGAAAATTAAGATTATTTATCATTTTCGATACTTTTTGACGATAATTTTCGATATTTTTCAAAATTTTGATAATTTTTTTATAAATTGATTAGCTGTAGTGATTTAGTTTTAGGTCTTCAACGGTATCGCCTCCGCTGGGTTGTCGATCTGCATCGGCATCGTGCCCTTCTTCAAGAAGGACCACGCAGCGTTGGCGGTGCTGTCGCTGTGTGCGGCCATGTTTAGTGCAGGTGGAGATTTTAATTTATTGAAGGGGATAGGAAGCGGAAAACTAATGGGGGATTTCATGTCGTAATGTGCTCTAGGGCATGTAATTTCTCTAATGTGTATAAAATTTTCAGGAATGCACACGCCAGGCGTACAAACAGCCCTCGTCCAGTTGGCGCCACCCTTTTCGGGGATCATCACCGGCTGGACGTACTTTGCCGTCGCCTGGTTCGGTATCGGCAACAAGATATTGACAAAGAGGATTGTGCAACAAGGTTGGTATAATTGATTGTTATCTACATTAATGGCAGGCTAGCAGTGATCGTTTAGGAATGGGGAAAACGCCAAAATCCCGACAACCAGAAACCCAGATTTTAAAACCGGAAAACAGGTTAAACGACCGGAAACATCACATTATGGCTGTCGGGATTATGGCTGTCGACATTTTGAATGTCGGGATTATGTCTGGAATTCTTTAGCAATAGCTTACGACTCTATTTTTCAGGTTCCCCCACCGAATGGGCCATCGTATTCCAAGTGGCGTCGGTGGTGGCGGCCCTACCGGTCGTTGTTTTTACAATTTGGGGCTCGGCCGATCGTCAGGTTTGCATAGAATCCTGCTTTTTTCGGGCTAAACCAATTATTAATAATGCTAAATCATTAATAAAGATAATGCAGAATGCGGAACAGAAAATGGCTAGCGCTTCAGATCTGGGCCTCCCCCTCGTCAAAGCTGTCCGTGGCGTCGATGTACGTGCCGAATCGCGTCGCTTCGGCGAACGGCGCCCAGATGAAGCGGGTTAGTCGAAAAAAGGGGGTTTGCTAGTTGTTTTTAAGGTATCTAGTCAAGGGTCCTGGAAGTCGGCGTCACTTCCGAAACGGGCAACCCCACCTCCGATAAGGTAGGAGTTTCTACAGCGGCATCCCAAAAATTAAATCCTTAAAAATCACTAATGCTTCTAATAAACTCAAGGGTTTTGGGTGTAAGTTGGTTCCCTGCGTCTCGAAAGTAAGACTACGGGTAGCTCCAAAAATCAGGCGAACACTGTGCGCTTATAGCCTGTTTTCCATTAAACCATTAAAAGCTTTAAAAAACCTCGAAATTTGTGTCGAAAAACCTGTATTTTTGGCAAAATTTGTAAATTTTACGCCGAGGAATAGCAGAAACATTTTAAAAACTATTTTTATTAAAAAAAATTGGAGGCTAAGACCCCCTCCCCTTACAATGCAAAAGCACCCAAAATTTTAGTGCTTTTACCTAGTTAATATTTAACTGGATCAAAATTTAGTGCTGTTTCTTAGTCGCAGTTTAATTTGTTTTACTTTTGACCCTCATTTCAGAAAAATCTCGACAAAAACACCGCTCGGCCCGCTGGACGCCGCGCAACTCCGGACGGAATAATAATTTATTCAGGACAAAGAATTCTGGAAATCTCAAGAAAAGCGAATAAATGCTCTGCGGGAGGATTCTGGGGGGACGAGACAATGACACAGTCACTACACGGTACACCCGACATTTCGAGTTTATCAGCTAGAATTAGCGCGGTTGGGGGGGTGAAAGACGTAGAACATAGTAGACACTCGTAGCGTACGGCGGGATGAAGGAGGAAAGGAAGGAGGAGCAAGAGGTAACAATCACACTTATAAATAGGCTGCAAAAGGAGTATCACCGGAACGCAAATAGTACACTGGCGGAAAGAGGGGGGCGTGGAAATGGGCGGTAGATTAGCATTTGCCGCAGCTCGCCTTGCAGAAAACCTGTAAAGGCAGTAGTTGGCAGAGAAAAAGGTTAAAACCAGATTATCTTTGCTGGCTTGTCGTACTCAAAAGTCTGCTGATCCTCCTGCCTTGCTCAAATAATCTCTGCTATCTCGCCATGGTCGGAGGTTTTCTGCTAATTGGTCTTGTTCAAATAACCATTTCTAGCTGGTCTTGCTCAAATAACCTCCGCTAGCATGCCTTAAAATTCGGAATTCGGATAAAATTTTGTTTAAAATCTGGAATTTTGCGACTTTTTTGCGTTAATTTGCTTCAACCCGAACTTAAGCCAAGCTAATCTGAAGTCTAAGCCCAAGCCAAGCCAAAGCCTGAGCTCTACCTCCTACCTACCTTCATAAATTTGCTCTCGCTATTGCACTCTCCAATCTTGGCCCAGTAGGAGCAGAAGAGGTTCTTGTCCTCGCACACCTCGCCCTTCTTTCCACGTGGCTACAAACAAAGCACCTTGAAACCCAAACTCAGCGAACGGATATACCTTTTCCTTCTCCTTCTCCTTGGGCTCTGGCCTCCTTGTTGTTGACCATCTCCCCCTGCCAAATCCTCCTCCCCTTGGTCGTGACGTCGTCGGGTAGATCTTTTTGGTGGTGGTCGACGTTGGTCTCGAGGTTGTCGTGGTGGTGGTCGTCGTTGAGGTCGACGATCGCTCGCGACTTTTCTTTTCCTTTTCCTCTTGCTCTTTTCGAAGTCTGGAAAAGCAGAGATTTTTTGTAACGTTCGTTAGATGGAAATCTGCAAATTTTCCCTGCTAGCTTGCCGTGATTTCCAAATGAGTTATTGCTAGCTGTCGTCTTCGCTGAAAGATACCCAGCTCGTCTGCCTTGGTGCCTCAAAGAAACTCTGCTAGCGTGCCGCGAATTTTTTATGGTATCTTCTGGCATGACGGTGCTCCTCAAAAATCTCTGCAAGCATGCCGTGATTTCTTAAAGCATCTCCGCTAGCATGCCATCGACAACCGGCTGATGCGACTTTTTGCTTCAGGGAACTCACCTTTCCTCCTTCTCGCGTCTCTCTTTCTCTCTCCTCTCCTCGACTCTCTCCCTCTCTCGTTCCTCCTTCTCCTTTCGCAGCTCTTCCTCAATCTGATCCTCATCATCGCAGAATCCGCATGCCTAAAGGGAACGCGTAAAGCGTACAGTACTGTATCCTAATCCCTGACCTTTCTACAGTAGTGCGACATGTATTTCAGCGAGTGTTCACAATGGCCAAGCTGTTCCCACATTGTACAGTGGGCATTCAGATCCTCGCATTCTAGAATTTGGGATTTTTAAAGGGGCCAATAACGCAGGCCTATGGATCCCAATGGAAAACCTTTTTTTAGCCAACTTTTTCTCTTTTTCTTTTTAATAGAACTACAGGACTGTTTGTTACTGTCTCTATGCATTAAAATTTTACAAATTTTTAGCGTAAAAACCAAAAAGATCGATCTTTCAACCAAAAATGGTTGATTTTCGACAAAATTACTAGCCTTTTGGATAGTCTTTCCAATTTTTAAAGTTATGTAAATAAGCTTTAAAGCTTTTTATTTATCTTTTTTTTTCAAAAAAAGTCCCGTTAAAAAGCTATCGTTTCACCTTGTCAATCCCTTTAAATAAACCCGAAAACCCTATTGGCAGTACCACTTCAAAACCTACTTCCTTTGCGTGCTCCTGGGGCGCCAGTTGTAGATTTGGGGCGGGGCTAAACCATTTTAAAGGGACCGGCAAGGCATGGATACCTTTTGCGTGGTCGTGGACGGGGTTCGATCCTCGATCACCTTGTTGCCGGTCGTCGTCGTCGTCAAGGTGGGCTGTGTCGTCGTGGTGGTCGTGGTCGTCGACGCATAATCCCCGCATTTGTACAGTTTGTTCACCTGGAAATTAATAGTCGTGAGGTGTGTAACGTAGCCGTGATGTACGGTATTTGATTTTCAGGTTTTCTGACTACTGTCTACGCTAATATATGATCAGCCTAACCTAAACCTAAGCCTAAGCATAAACCGAAGCATAAGTCTAAGCCTAAGCCTAACTGTAACCCTCTTATGTTGACCGTGGGATTTCGTTATGCGAGATAGCACATCTTGTGCAGAATTTTTCGCTGATTCCGAATCCGTTTTCAAAAGTTGCGGAACCCCTCGGAAAACAGGTTAAAAATCTAATTTAAATTTGGGCGAATCTGGTCCATCGCGCCCCTGGGGGATTCAAAGAGGCTCCCCAACGCCAGCCTCCCAGCAACTCGACGGTACAATGGTTAGGCGCTGGTTTCTTGAGCAGGCTGTCACTGGTTCGACCCCTGCCGCGGTCGGTTTTTTTGCTTTTGCATTTTTTTTATCGGAAACTGGTGTGACGCTGTGCCGCAACACTGTGATATCTTTTTTACAATTTCTTTTTCTATTTTCTTATAACAATACAGGGTGGCCAGAAAAAAAGTGCCTGGTTTGCACTGAAATATCTCGCTAGGGGAAACGAATCGGACCATCGTTACCTTGCCAGAATCCTTAAATATGCTGGGTATGAAGAATAAACACAAGTTGTTTTTTATGATTTTTGACGACCCACTACTCGTTAAGAATTTTGAACATTTTTGAAAAAATAGAAAACTTTGAAGAGGAAAATCATGGAACTTTTTATGAGTTAGGGGGACATGAAGGGCGATATATCGTTTCCCCCAGCGAGATATTTCAGTGCAAACCAGGCACTTTTTTTTTCTGGCCACCCTGTAGATAAAGATTCACACCAACACCACGGCGCAAGTTATTCTAGCCATCGCAAGCCAATTTGTAGTTCCCGACGACATAAACTGCTCGTTCTACGTTCGCATAAAGCAATTTAGAAAAAGGAAATTGTAAAAAGATATCACAGTGTTGCGGCACAGCGTCACACCAGTTTCCGATAAAAAAAATGCAAAAGCAAAAAAACCGACCGCGGCAGGGGTCGAACCAGTGACAGCCTGCTCAAGAAACCAGCGCCTAACCATTGTACCGTCGAGTTGCTGGGAGGCTGGCGTTGGGGAGCCTCTTTGAATCCCCCAGGGGCGCGATGGACCAGATTCGCCCAAATTTAAATTAGATTTTTAACCTGTTTTCCGAGGGGTTCCGCAACTTTTGAAAACGGATTCGGAATCAGCGAAAAATTCTGCACAAGATGTGCTATCTCGCATAACGAAATCCCACGGTCAACATAAGAGGGTTACAGTAAGCATAAGCCGAAGCATAAGTATAAGCCTAAGCCTACGCCTAAACCCGAGCCCAAGCCTATGCCTGAGCTTGAGCTAAGCTTAAATCTAAGCCTACGCCTATGGAAATGCCTCTGCGTAAGCCTATGCGTAAGTTTAATTGTAAGCATAAACCGAAGAATAAGCCTAAGCCTAAGCTTAAGTTTGAACCTAAGCCTATACCTAAGCCTAAGCCCAAGCTTAACCCTACGCCTAGGCCTAATTCCAAGCCAAAACTCACCTTCTGCGCATCGATAAGACTGAGCTTATATCTCTGCCCAATCTCCGCCCCACCCTCCTTCGGCACGATCGTCGACTTGCCATTCTTCGAAAAGGCCAGCTTATGGTAGTGCATCACCTAGAGTACGCTACGCTCCACCCTGACTACCGTATCCCACGTACCGAGTCGTAGTCGTACGGCATGCCGAGCGGGTCGATAATCTTCTGGGGGTACTTCTCAAAGTTGCGCATCATCCCTGTAGGGGTTTTCATAGCGTAATTGGATGGAATTACCGGGCCTAATGTGTTCCTCGACAATGTCGACGTAATTGTCGCGATCGGTGCGTGAATGTTCGTGGAAGAAGCCGATCGCGTGCATCAGCTCGTGTGCGATGATGCCCTGGAGTTTTTGGGTTTTTTAAAGGGACTGGGAAGGCAAGACTAAGGATCTCGTCCCTTTAAATTAGGCCCCAACGATACGGTGGTCGGCTACAGTACCCAGAATACAGGACAGTACAATACCCACCTTGCTGAAGCATTTGTCGACCTCGAGAGATACGGTCTGATTCCCGCCAGCACGGCCGACGTACGATGAGCATCCGAAGGCGACGTTCCTCTTCACGTAGATGTAGTCAAAGTCGTCGTCGCCGCGCGGGACAAAGCGGATGCACGTCTTCTGCTTGTACTCGTCGAACGCCTGCGCGATGGCGGCGCGTTGTCTGGAAGGGAGGCCGTGAAAATGGCGAGGAGGGAGGCAGCGAGCCACAGAGAGAGAGAAAGAGGGAGAGAGAGAGAGGGAGAAAGAAAGAGAGAGAGAGAGTCAGAGAGAGAGCGAGAAGAGAAGGTGAAAGTGAGAGGGACAGAGAGAGAGAGAGACAGAGAGAGAGAGAGAGAGAGAGAGAGAGAGAGAGAGAAAGAGAGAGACTGAGAGAACGAAGCGACAGAGACAAAGAGTCGGCGATACTGAAGGAAATTTATCGCTGTCGCTATTCCTTTAGGTTCAAAGCGAGAGTGAGACACAGAGAGAGAGAGAGAGAGAGAGAGAGAGAGAGAGAGTGAGAGAGAACCAGAGAGGCAGAGAGCCAGAGACAGAGTGAGAAAGTGAGGGAGAGCGAGAGAGAGTGCGAAGGTGTTCGAGGATGTTTGCGGAATGGATTATGGTCCGCAACACTCCCCCCGCAAATATTTGCCCCTCCGGGTGGAGATGCGCGCGCCACAAAATTGGCTGCCGCGTCCGTTCTCGCGCTTGCCCAGAGGACGTTTTTTGCCTTCGATGGCCCGTTAAAGGGTTATGCAAGGCCAGACAATAAATCTCCATAGCCCTATAGCTGGTCCCTTGAGCCAGACGACTAGACTTACTGTGCGGTCATGCCCTCCTCGAGCATGTAGGGAACGACGCCCTCTGGCCACAGCTTGTCCGGATACGTGGCGAGGTTCAGCGCGGAATTTAGCTAAATAAATAGATTGATCGGGTTTAGGAGTTGGCTTCACTTAAGCTCAGGAATCAAGAATTTAGGCTCAGCCCTTATTGGCAAACCTAATTCGGTTTGAGACGGGCTAAAGATATTTTAAAGGGGTTAGCAAGTCATCGCTATTGATTTTTCCCTGACTCTCGTCAAGAGTGTAATCGATTACGCAAGGGAAAATGCGCGTACGCGCCAAGTTTGACAGGCTTTCTTATTCAAATCCACATATTCCTACCTTGCCAGCCCCTTTAAAACACAAAATTTCACTTCTCTAATTTCCGCAGAAAAGCTAGCGTGCTAGCCGAGATTTCATTGGACCTGCACTCACCGGACGCTTGAACAGCTCGTCCCACTCGCCGGGGATCGGCTCGTCGCGTAGTCGATGGTTGAGGGATGGGGTGGCATCTGGGGGGATACCCTGGATATCACCCTCGAAAAGCGCCGAATTCTGGACGGCGTCGAGTTCGGCAGGGGTAGGGCGGGCCACTGGAATTTGATTCGCGATAATTTTGTCTCGCTCTCCGTCAGTCTCTCTCCGTCACTCTCACTCTCACTCTCTCGCTCTCTCGCTCTTTCTTTGGCTTTCAATCTCTCTCTCGCTCATGGCTCTGCTTAGTCATAGGCGAGCATGAGCGTTGCGTGTCGCGCCAAATCCATGGGGATCATGACCTCCAGACTCCTTTAATGACACTTTCCGGTCCGGAATGGGCCTTTTTCCATACGGCCCACCCCGTATTTGCTGAAGAAAATGAACGAGACAGTAGGGCGGCTCCGGGGGCTTGAAAGCTGAAGGTGTCAGCGACACACACACAATGGATCCCCGCGATCCGGGGCGTCGATCCAAATATGGTTTGGGATTCGGACGAGGGTGGTTAAACACGCGTTTAGCTCTTTGCTTTATCAAGCTAAGCCTATGCCAAGCCGGCTTAGGCATAATCCTAAACCTAGGCTCAAGCCAAACCGGAGAACCCGTACCTAAACGTACCCAGAAAAAAAGCGCGTCCGAAGTGTACGTAAAAAATTAAATCCAAGCCTAAGCTAAGCTAAGTTTAGCCAAAGCTTAAGCCAACCAGCCGGACACATATACTAAAGCCTGAGCTTGACTTCCGTGTCAGCCAAGATGCGCAATCATGTTAAACCCAAGAAAGAGCCAAGCCGGTCCCAAACCTGAGCCCACGCCAAGCCGATCCTAAGCCTAATTAGTAAGCCTAACTATAAGCTCTGCGTGTTTAAGAAAGTTATCTAAGTAGTAACATGGAGAGGCATCCAAGTTGTACCAATCGCTTTTTTTCACTTTTCCGTCACTTTAGAACCCCCAGTAAAAAGCATAAAAAAAGACTAAGACTTACCGGGTTGTTTGGCGGCCAGCTCGAAATCGTCGGGAGTCAGGTATTTGGCGGAAAGATCTGGAAAAGGTAAAGTGCTACGGTGCCGCAACAATAGAATCTATAATAGACTCTAAAATATCCCGATGTGGCACTACAGTAACCAACGCACCATCAAATTGCTTCTTCTCGTAGAGGGCCTGTTGATTGGGGATTGGAGGGAGACGCGGGAGGAGGAGGAGGAGACTGGGATACTGTAGATCAACGTGTACAACAGCACCAAAAATGGCCCGGTGCCCCATCGTGTCACCATGCCCTCCTGGAAATGGCTTAGGCTTGAGCCAGAAAAAAAAAACAGAAAAACAAACGGTTCTTGTGCGTTATCGAGGGGGGAAGCTCCCGATAGGCCCCATACGGCCAATTGGAAAGGAAAGCGAAATGAGTGTGGTCTCCCCCCCCCCTGCTAACAAACCAGAACCGGAAAATCTAGAGAAAATTGGTGTGTGAAGGCCAGTAGGGCAGAACATAGCTTTTTTAAAGGACTGACAAGACATGTCTATGAATTTTTCGCCACTCTGTTTCGCGTCCGCGACGCAACAACACGCGACGAATTTGTCGTGCAGCCGCCGTGAAACTGGCGTAATCGATTACGCAATGGAACAGGCAGAACAGCGGCCGAGGCTTGCCTTGCCAGTCCCTTTAATAAACGTTTAAATATCCCTAAACTACTTGAAAGTAAGTTTAAAGGCACCGGCAAGGCATTGCTATGGATTTTGTGGACCCACGATGCGCATCGCGCAATGGCATACGGCCCTTCTCCCTTTTAAAGGACATTAACGGCATTCGTAGCCTTGCCTTGCTAATCCCTTTAAAGCGGCGTAAAAGCTAAATTTCTGTGACGTTGGAATACAAAATACACAACCAAAAATTCGGTTCCGTTGCCCTAAAAAACAGGCGAAACCCGGCAGAAGCGAGGTGTTTTGGTCCGAGGGCGGAAAATGCCTTGGGGTGGCGCGCGGGGGTCTGCAGCCAGCGCGCCCGCGCGGATGGGAAGTGTTTGTGGGGTGGGCATTCGGAAGAGACGCACACAGCAGAGATGGACCGGATGGCTGGCCAGCCCCGGGCCCACCACCACACGGCTTTGCCCCTCGCCTTAGGGCCCACAACTCTGTGAGGCGGACGCGGAAACGGGGGCATGGCGAGATAGAGAGAGAGAGAGAGTGAGAGAGAGTGAGTGAGAGTGCGCGAGAGAGAGCGAGAGACAACGAAACACGTGTCTCGCGTGTGGAATCTCTCGAATGGCTGAGCGTGCCCTGGCCGGAACCGGATGCACCATCGCTGACTCAGCGCATCGGCATACATTCCGGATGGCCAGGCCGTCTGATTGGCGACAACCGTCATTAAAGGAGCAGCCAAGGCTTTTATATAGATTTTCGCCAAAATCTCGACGCACTTCCCTCCGCTATCGCCATCGTAAACCTGCCGCAATCGATTACGCTGCGAAAAAGCGGACTCTCCAAAAGGGGACTGCCAAAAATATATATAGTCGTGCCTTACGAGTCCCTTTAATAGCCTTTTCACCCCGTCTTGGTATTTGATATCGAAGGACATCTCGGCGGTCGCGTCATGTAACGCGCCTACTACTGGCCATTACGTTACGCAGTGGAAATCTCTAATTAGGCATCGAAAAGTCTAAACCTCACGCGTCACGCGTTTCTAAGCCCAGCAAGCCTCAATGGCGGCAAAAAAATCGAGTAGGGTGCGTTGAGAGGCCCTTTAAAGGTCGAAATCGCCAGGATCTAACCCTTCAGGCGGCTAGGGCTGGCCAGCTTTGAGCATGCTAAAATACGCAAGCAATCACAGTCGGGGAAACCATTGGAAACGCGACGTTTGATCAATCAAAAAAATGCGTTACTGGCGACGTCGTTTGGTGCGTCGCGTGGTAGTCGAGGCCTCGTTGAAAGGTCGGTGATTTCGAGCTTGTTTGATCTCTTTCAGGGTTAGAAATGTTAGCCGCTTCGAAAAGCTCACAGAAGGTTAGAAAGTAAATGGCTGGCATGCCGCCAGCAAAGTCATTTAAGTAAATGTGCAGTTTAGCACGCCAAACAGGATCAGGGTCGTTCAGATTTGCTGGAATTGTGTGAGGGGACCTCGGGATTGGCCGAACCGGAGCCGCCAGATCCGAATCCGGGCTTTTCGGAAGGAAGAAGATGTAGAAAAAGGCGGGAGACCGCCCCCCCCCCGAGGGGAAATGGCGAGAAGAACTGTGAAGAAGAGACGGACGCTGCGGACAGGACAAACACGATGAAAACAAAGGATCCACACACCACCCGAAGGGGACCCTGTGGCCCTGTGGCCCATCCCCAACGCTTCGAACCGAACGGAAACCGCCGCCCCGACGGGGGCTCGATCGGTGGCCGAGCGAAGAAATTCTGATTTTGAAGGAATTGTTAGAGTATCCGGGGTAGCTCTGCTGCCCCTTATGGTTTTGACTCCCCCAGGCGGCCCAAAATGTTGAAAAGGCTCTAAAATTTTCCAGAAACATTTTTTGTGTTAGGAAGGAAAGAAAGCTCGGATAAGTTTCAATACAATTTGGCAGAAATTTCAGAAACCGTATTCGGAAGCAGCAAAACCTTCTGCAGAAGGTGGTCTACGTACCATCCGAAACCTCAGAGCGACTAAAACACTTGACAGCAAACACTACTAAACTTTACACTTTACAGCATCACCATCAGGCATCTGTAAAACATCGATCCCACAAATTTTTTAGGGCACCCAAGAACGCGATGGCTGTCATAAGGGCTCGTGCACTTAATAGCATAGCTTTCTTCTGATGGCTAAAGATGTATAAGAAACATTCAATTCACTCCATCAATTTCGGTCGCAATATTTATGCATACAACGTAAAATGCCGAAACGTAAAAGTTGTCAAAGGAAGTTATTTTTGCGCCTTGCTCTTCTTCTTGGCAGGCTTGGCGTACTTCGAAGCGAGCTGATCCAGAAAGTCATCGAGATCTTCGGCGCGCTGCTGCCTCCGGGCAAGGATCATTCCCTCCAAGCTACCGCCCGACGCCTGTTCCTGGAAAGAAACAAAAAAATTCAGAATCCAGGAACTAAGTTTAGCTCGATCTAAAAACCACAGAAGCTACCTTTTCCTGGATCTCTTTCAAGGCCTCTTCTGCTTCCTCAGCTTCTCGCTCATTCTTTCTCTTTCGCTTCTTCAGCGCCGCTTTCGAAGTAGACTTAGTATATTGAGCAGTCTTCTTCAGCAGTCCTTTGTCGATCATTTCTGGGAAAATGGTAAATCGAGTCCCAAAAGGCCCACTCACCATCAATGATACCACGTAGTCTGTCCTCTTGATCCATGCTGCAGCCCATCGTGTACTCCATTATTTTGTTGAAGTTTCCCGAGAAACGCTCGTAGTGAGTCCGAAGGTCGTTTCGTTCCTCCTCGCTATCTATGACAATTTTTAAATTAGTAGCGTGATTCCACATACTGCGATATTCATTGTAGAAATTCTCGATATCTTCGACAGTCACTTTCTTGAACATGCCCTTCCACATGCGGACCGCTTCTTCAAAGGTGGCATCAAGACCTTCTTCGTCGCCGCACGATCCTGATCAAAATTGTTAATTGTAAACAGCTAAGAACCCGATTCGTCGTAGATCTTGCGCTTCTCCTTATCGGACAGGATGCGGTACACGCCGGAAAGGGTCTGCAAAATAAAAGCTCGTAAATCAACCACAGGGGATACCTGGAACTTCTGAGTAGCTGTTTCACTTTCTTCCTTATTCTCTCCCGAGAATCGATCGGGATGCCATAGCATAGATTTCTTATAGTAGGCCTTTTTCACTAAAAAAAGGTTTCAAGCGGTTTCTCAAATACCATCGGCAGCTTTGCAATCCTTCTCCAACCCAAGGACGTCGTACAAATCCTTGGTGCCGAAGTTCGTTTCACAATCGGTCACCAGCATTATCGAAAGCTAAGGCTAGAACGCAATTCACTCAGAGCGCTAACAACAAAATCCCGACCGAGTACAGGAGGTCCTTGACCTGAAGAAAAGCGGCTTGGCTGGATGGCAGAATCTAAGGTTTATCTTCAATCATGTTATAATCACAAACACATCAGCAAATGGAATGAACAGGAGATCCTACAATGGAAAGCACATTTGGGGGGGGGGGGGTACTTATTTCTTCGCTTTCTTTGCTCCAGTGCCAGGGCGTGAGGTCGTGGGTTGGTCGTCGTCCTTCTCATCACGTTGGGCCCGCTTTCTGTTGGCAGCACTGGCATAGAGCCCGACAACATCTAAAAGGCGGTTAAACTAAAAATCAACAAATCCACCTAATGGCTTAGCGGCGGCTGTCGTCTTCGTGGCACGAGTGGCGCGCTTTGGAGTTGCCTAAAAGGTGATGATTCTTTAAAATAAATGAAAATTTACTATTTCGTCGTCCTTTCGCTCCTCTTGGACCGCATCGAGTTTGGTCTTGGTGGCGGAACGTAGACGAGCATTCTTCATGGACACGGACGAATCGACAGACGGCGTTCGAGCTGGTGTTTTCCTCTCCGCAGTCTTCGGGGTGGCTCGCGCGGCAGGCTTCTTGGGCGTCTCTTCGGCCTTTTCTGCCTTCTTGACGGTGCTGGCCGATCGGCTGGCGCGCTGCCTTGATGGAGTCGTAGGCGTCTTCTTATTTTCGCTTGCAGCGCGGACACTTGTCTTTTTAGCGGTGCTAGGCACCTCAGGGATCGGCGAAGCAACCTTCGGAGGACGACCACGGCGAGTGGGCGTAGACGGTGTCGCAGCGCCCTATCGGAAAGTCGAATAAAAAAAAGCAATCAAACCTTTGCAGGAGCGGCCGAAGCAGATCGTTGAGCGCGGGCTGCTGATTTGGGCGTAGCTGCAGCGGAGCTTTCGGCCTGCTGCGATGCTGCCCTTTTCGGCCTTCCCGGCTTATTCTTCTTGAGGAGGGCTTCGATATTCACTAAACCTAGATAAATGAGGAAAGAAGGAACTCACGCAGCCTGTCTTCAACTTTGTTATCCTTGGCAGCGCTGGCATTCCTTGGAAAGAGTTGACGCGCCGGGGTCGCCTTCTTTGCTTCATCGGCCCTCGAAGCTCGCGGTGTTGCTTCCTGGGGTGCTGCTCGAGTCCTAGAGGACGATCTGCGACTGGTAGAAGCGGTTTGAGCGGCATCCTCCTTCTCTTTTTCCTCAGCCACCTTGCTAGCCGGACGTCCGCGCGATGTCGAGCGTCGGCTAAAAAGTAAATTTTAATTTCAGCAAAGGATTGCTTACCTTTTCGGCGGCGGTTGCTCAGCGACAGTCTCTGCGCTGGCCGATGCCTGGCTGGTAGTACGGGTCCGCGAAACGGAGCGCCTACAAAAGATTGGATCTTGCACAGTAAGAACCGATACCTTTTCGGCGTTTCAGAGGCGGAAGCTGTCGTGGATTCTGTCGTGGCGCGGGTCCTGGATGAAGAGCGCCTAAAACTGGTTATGACGACAAATTATGCCGGACCGTTTGGGTGGTGACGGGGTTCTAGTTTTAGCAGTTTCTTTGACGGCTTCGGCAGCAGGCTCTGCAACGTCCTCGGTTTTGGCATTCTCAGCAGCGGGCTGCTTCTCAGGCTCAGTCAGCACTTCTTCACGTCGAATGACAAAAGTCGTGGAAGGGGAAGCCTAAGACAATATAGGAATTGAAAAGACCACACACCAGGTTTTCCAGTGGTCGCACTTCGGCCTCAGGCGGCACCTCATCGAAATCCTCGTCCCCTTGCTCTTCAAACGACCGGAGCCTTTGAGACTAAAAGGGTCCGTCAGCAAAGAAATAAGGTCATTTCGTAATAATCCAGCTTGGAAAGTACCGTATTGAGCTCCGGAGTGCCAGTTGGTTCAGCCGCTGAGGCGTCCAGGTAGATCTCAGTAGCACCGCCCTCGTCCTCTACTTCTGCCGCAGGCAGTGTATCGTGGAATTCTTCCTCTGCTTCTCCCGCAGGCAATGTTTCGTGGAATTCTTCCTCTTCATCCTGCCCTTCCTCGAAGCTGCGTTCCCTAACCGGTTGCTGATTGAAGCTGGTGCTATAAATAAATAAAAGCACCGAAACGTGCAGTACCTGGCAACTGAATTCATCGTAGTATCGGCGATCGTATAGTCGACGAGTTGATTCCTCGGAGTTTTCTTGATCTCGCTCTCTTCACCTTCCATGTCATCATCGCTATCAAAGTTCGGAAGGACGGGGATAGGGAGGGTTGGGTCGGGTTGAATGGAGGTTTGTTCAACAGAGTTCTAAAAAAATTTTAAAGTAAGAAGATGAAGCCAACCTCGTCACTGCCAGCTATCTCCGGGTCCCAACGGATGTTACCGCGAGTAGGTGTCTCTAAATCAAATATCCTAGAATAGAAATACAAAATGATACGTTTATGTGCGCTTCGCAGGATGCTAGTAGGTGCTGGACGATCACGGTTCTGCTCTGGAGTCACCATGTTTGCGTGAAGTCCTTCTGCACGTGCGGCCGCCGAAGCCCGAGCCTTGGGAGTGCGAACGATTTCGCGAAGTCGCTCCAACTCCGTGTGCGGGACATTGCTAGGAAAACCCATAAGAGAAAAAGAAAAAAAATTACCTAAATGCAATAATCGACTCTTCGTCTTCTTCGAGTACCAGCTGCCGAGTGATGGGAGGGGTGACGGGCTGTGCAACAATTTGTTGGACGGTCGGCGTCTCCAATCCAACGATAGGCTTGCTCTGCGAACGATTGAGGAACGCAGGCTCGTTAGTCTGAAAGCATTGCTGACATTCGATCCCACGCCAGCATCATCAACGTTGTGATTCGCTAGCAAAAAAGCGAACGATTACGTAGAAAAAAATTTTGTGTGTTTAAAATATACCAGTGATTGCCGCTTCCTATTAATATTGGCCGTGCGGAAAGCGCTCAAACGTGCAGTGTGTTCGCCTTCATGATGGACTTCGGAATTTCCTAATTTCCAATAGAGTTTGGTAAAAACAAAATTACTTTTCAAGTGATTGGTGAGCGTCTCGTCGGAAAGCTTATGCCTTGCGCCTAGCGAGCCGCCCCGGACTTGATGGCGGATTTGATTGGCGACAAGGAGGTAGCGCTCCACATAGGCATCCTTGTGCAAACCCTCTTCAACGTAGATCTAGAAAAAACTTTGATAATATGGAAATAAAACACCTCGGTATCAAAATCGTCGACAAGCCCGTGGTCGAAGAGAAGAACATTCCAAACTATCTTATCCAGCGGCTCGCCATATACGCGCCGGATGAGCCGCTGTATCTTGAGCTTTTCTTCTGGCAAATAGGTGTCTAGCCGCTTCGACACCATCTCCATCAGTTCCACTTTTGGGTCGCGGCCTGAACGCAACGGTATGCATACAAAAATATAAAACCTTACCTAGGGGACCATTGTCGAAGGAATCGGCCAAATCTTGATTTGGCTCGCCGGCGCACCGCTCGAGCGCCGTATCGTTGACCCATCCTTGGTAATGGATTTTGGCCTCGTCCCACGTCAGCTTCAGTTTTCGGCCGACCGTCGCCACGAATTCTTCCATCTTCAGCGCGGGTTCGGAGCACCCGTTGCAGCTGTAGTAGTCGAGTAGGTAGTAGATGAGTAGGGCACGCTTGCACCGCTCGCTCGTCTCGAACAGCGGGAACAACGAAACGATGTCCTAAGAGAGGAATAGATCGAATCTTAAAAGTTACCAATAACGTAGGAGGGTAAGAGTGGAGGCCGTCGGTCAGCCAGAGCATGCCGCTATCATCACTTTTCTGGTCTGTTATCTTGGCGATGATGGACGTCAAGTAGAGTGACTTGCTGGAAAATAAATATATGAGCGTTGATAACGAGGAAATTGACGGAAGACTGAGATAATTAACAAGGCCATTGACAAGAGCAGCCTATGCAAATAATCGATGAACTCACTTCTTTTGCTCAGCCGCCCGAATCCTTTTACCCATCTTCTCCCGCATCAAATTCGTCGTGCGCCTCGTCTGCTCATCAATGGGCAAAAGGCGATTGTAAATGAAGGCGTAGACGAGCGACAAGTATTGCAGGAAGCTTTGTGCCGCGTGTGTGCGCAGTTCCCAGATTGGTCCTTGGTCCGCGGGGTAGCGCTTGTAGGAGGAGAAGAGCCGTTGCGCAGCGCGGAAGGTTGACTCGCAGGCGGTCAGGGAACGTTGATCCGCTTCATTCATTTCGGCTGTAATGCCGCGGAAGAGAGGATCCGCTGAAAGCAAAAGATTAAATCTTTCACATAACTTTTGCCGTTACGATTAATGAAAAGAATGCAAAAAAATGAAAACTTACTAATGTCTTGCATCGTCTGGAACTGACGCTCCGTCTCCCTCCAAATCCAGCAGAAAATTTCTTCAAGTAGTGGTGGCGGCAATGGATCGTCGAGGCTGTTGCACATATCCACGATCTGGCTAGTGTCGAGGTGCTGCATAACGTTGAAAAGGACACGCGCCCTGCAGCTGCCGATGTAGTTGTTCGCGTCGACGCTCGGGGCCTCTAGCAGCCCGATCGCGCTCAGCCATTCGCTTGCGGTTTCGGGGGCGCAGACGTGCGTTCGCAGATTCTTGGCGATACGTTGCAAGACCTAAAGCTCACTGAAGCTAAAAAAAACACAAAGAAAATACCTGTTCGTGTAGCGGGTCCACAGCGTATTGGGCCAGTTTGCGGCCGTTCGATAGGTAGATGTTCGGGAAACGGTAGGTCGATGGATAGAACAAGGCCAGCTCTGTGCTGACATCCGAGACGAAACGTGAAACATGGCTCGGGTCGATTAGAACGTCGTTGAGGGTGAGAGAAAATTTCTGGTCGTCGTCACCAATGTCTTGCTTGAAGAAGCAGACGAACGGGCACTAAACTGATCTATGCTGAAAAAGCGCGAAATATATACCTGGGCCGCCAGTGAGCCGTCACCGAGCATCTTTGGAATTTGGCGTTTGAAGTAGTGCTGGTTCAGGTCGTAGAGGCCACCCATTAGACGCAAATCGCGTGTGGTCGAGTCGCGGGAAAGGTAGAAGAATGAGAGCAGGGTACGAGAATGCGCCGCACTTGGTCCTAAAACAGGGGGTGTCAACTAGCTAGAAATCGTCGCAAAAATCTTACCTGTATCCAAGGACATCGTTTCGTTGGGATCGTTGTGGTATTTGCATTCGTTTCCGACAATGCATCGCATCGACAGCCAGACCCTCATATCCGGCGTGGAGATTGTCAGATACGGGAACGCGTGCAACTCATTGTACTCCCAGGTTGACGGATCGTTGATACGCTCCTTTTCGTCCTCCGGAAATTCCATGGCAAAGATAAACACAGAACCGGCAGCCCTAAAAAACATATTAGTACCAAATCCGTTAAATACCTGGCACTTGCATCGAACGAAACGGCGAAGTAAAGCCTCGGCCGTGGGTCATTTTCGGGCACCATCGACACGATGTGCTTCGGCACAGATCCAAACATCGGGTGCGGTACCGTTATACTAATTACGGATGTATAATAAAATAAAGTATAAATTACATGCTGGGGCAATAGGAGAGGCTGACGAGCACCAGCCCTCCAAAGTTGAGGCCGATGACGAGGGCTCGAGCGCGGTCCACGAAGCCCAGAGAGCTGACGGAGACTAAAAAAGTATACATGTGCGTAAATATTTTTCCTACCTTCATCCACAGGCTTAATCACCGTATTCCGCATCCCGGCGGCATCGTAGAGGAACTCGGCTTTGTCGTCTCTACTGTGGAAGTCCTCTGAAAAGAAATAGTTTAAAAAAAAGGACGAGAGTCACCCACTTAATGCGTCCGTCCACCGGGCTGTTTTTTCCTCGGCTAAATTCTCCTCATCGCCGAATGCTCCCACGATGGTGTTGGCCAAGTAACAATGCCCATTCTCCGTGCCCACCTAAAAAACAGTGATCAACAAAAATTGGCTAACCAACCGCGATAATGTTCGGCATGGCGCCCATTTTCGGATGGAGTGCGCCTTTGACCTTCTCCATACGGAAGCTGCTGATCAAAGTACGGACGGTTGTAATCTAAAGCCGGATTGGAGCAAAAAGTCGCTTTCAAAAACCTTATGCTGGATGACGATGCGGCTCAACAGCTTGGCGCTACCATTCGGCACCAGGGCCAAGAGGCAGACAAGATACTTTTTCTTCTCATCGTTGTTCACAGCCACAATCACGCCGGGGTGCCCAGCTGAAAAATCACCGAATTTACGCCAAGATTAAAAAAATCCAAACCTGGATCCTCCGAAGTCAAATGATGGTAGAACACATCCTGTACAACGCTGCCCTTCTCAAAAGCATAGGCAGAAAATTGGCTCTTCGTAAAGACGTCGTAGATGGACAAGTTCTCGCTTCGCCAGACGGCCAGGAAATCCTTGTAGAAACCGCCACAATCGATCAGGAACGCCGATCCGCCCGCATCTTCCCCTTTCAAACCGATCGGGAAATCCGGCTCGTCGGTTTTTCGAAAACACTGCCGCAATTCAGGCGGAGTTTCAGCTTGCATCTGCAAAAAAGGACAATTAGATGCGCCACAATCTTTCTTTAAGATAAGAAAAGGAAATCAAGATAGAAAGTAAGCTTCCCACATAACACAAAATACACAACATTTCAGCAAAAAGATTTGATGGTGTCGTGGTGTTTTTGAAGAGGTTCGGCGCTCATCATGTTGCTTGGCGTGTCTCGCCCCCAGCGTTCCCTTTGGCGGGATTTTTGTGAAGCCCATCGCCAGTCTCGGAAAGGTGTCCTAATACGAAAGTAGAGCGACTGAGGGGAAAGTCATAGCTCTCGAATATAGACTGAGGGATTCTTCTAGATTTGGCCCTATATATAATTTCAGATTTAGAGGTGGGGAGCCTGCCCTGTGAACAACAACCCTTTCTTTGCCTACAAGTCGCCAGGAACTGATCAGACGCCTTGCAGACGGATGATAACACGAAAGCATTACAAAAAACCTATTTGATGAACTGCCTCTACTTGTCCCTTTTCCAGCATATCTCAACTAAAGAAATAGAAAGGTAAAGGATGAAGGTACCAGAGGAAACCGTTATCAATTGTCTTTATGAGTTTCCGCTGAGATTAAAAAGGTTTGCAAAACGGTTTAACGGGCATGAACGCAAAAGTGAAGACCCCGTCTCACTCCCAGCACGAACCTGTCATAAATCGAAATCATTGAGGTGCGGCTGCGCTGGGTCGCTACGGTCTGCTGCGGTCTGACGCTATGCGGAATGTTTCGGAAATCGACTAACCACTGACGATTTTTCTTTTGGATAACTCGGTTAGTAAAGCGCCAGCGGGCGCGCCAACTTCGGTGATATTAGCGGACGCGCAGGCGCGCCATTAGCGCTTTTGGCAAAAGCGCCCGTTGGCGCGCTCATTTGTCGGATTGCGCTCATAAAGCGCCCATTTCTTTTAGCTGGTCGGACGGGGGTTGTCGTAAAATAGTTTTTATTATTAAAATAGGGGTGTAATAGCATCGCTTTTGCGATGTGGTACACTAGAAGAGGCGCGTTCGACGTGTAAGCCCAAAAATTGTCGGTCTGCGCATATAAATAGCTTGTCGAGAGGCAAAATCTTTGTAAAACCTATTTTTTTTTGCTTTCATAGCGCCAGCGCGCGTATTTGACCTAAAAGCTAGCTAACGTACCTTTACTCATCTAATCGCTCGCTACGAGAAGTGTTCTAAAAGTTTAGAAACTGACGCAAGTTAATCTAAATGTTTCTTTTTCAAGGAGCCGTTTTTTACTCTTACTTACTCATGTAGGCGCGCGCAGTTCCCAACTTCATGGTTGCCTGAAAATGTAGCTTTGTAGCATAGTTGGTCAAAACCTGCAATGGTTTGGTCATATAAAATAAAACTTACGAAGCTGTAAAAAAAACTTTGTACCTGGGTCCTTGGGAATTGCGATAATGAGCAGATAGTCAACGTTTCAACAGTTACTTCTAACAAAACAACGGTGATCATACATTGTGTTTAATAAAATCTACAAAGTGAAGAATTCTAAATTGTTTCATAATTCTAGGGACTTAGTGAAATTTTCGAACCGTTGAAAGGTGTTCAAGAATTCAAATGCGCGAATGGGCGCTTCCTTTTCATAGCAATTGCGCCACTTCGCGCTTTTTTTGTATAATTTCGCGCGTCTGCGCTAGTGGCGCTTTCCCTTCCCGATAAGCGCCATTGGCGCTCCCACTCTCCGTATTGGCGCGCGCCCGCTAGCGCATTGATGAAGTTGGCGCGCCCGCTGGCGCTTTATTAACCGAGAATAATTGAATTTCTTTGATCGATTAAGGCGCTTTTAGCCTTTCCACTATTTGGTTGACGATAGCTTTAAATTTATATTTTATTTATTTATAAATGCAATTTTGATAACCTGCTCTCATATGTTTGTCTGTCGGCGAATGTCTATTTCCTCATATACCCGACTTACAGCCAGTCGTCAGATGCCAGGCTAAACTCCCGCCTACGTTTCATCGGACTCAGATCCAAGTCAGCCCACGCGGATGCTACGCTTGAGCTCAAGCCTGCCCATACGAGCAGATTCCACTGCATCGGAGATGAGCATCAAACCAGAAGAGGAGGCTTGTAAGCATTCTCCGGCGGGTTACATAATTTCCTGAAATCCGAGCCGTTGGGGGGGGGCCTCCGATCCGCGCCCTCTCCTCCAAAAAACGGGTCTAGTGGAAAATGATTTCTCCGTGTCCCTGACGGTCCGTTTGCTCGCCTGTGAGATAGAATATGCAAATCGTGGCACCTGACTCCACTCCTCCTCTTGTCCCCCACCCCATTCGATCGGCAATTGTTTCGACCGGGTATTTCCGAAATTTTTTTTGGGTGATACAGCGAAAGCAAGGATTAGGCTTAGGTTTGTGCTTAGGATTAACTAGTCAGACATCTACGCAATTCAACTCTACGCATCGTTTTGACGCCGGTCTCGTATCACGGGGAATGCCCTTTTACGTTGGAGTCTAGTTCTTGGTCCTAGTCTCTCTGCGCCGCTAGGTGCTTCCGTTAGAGCCAAAACGTCGACTTTAACGGTATGGGAAGGCTAGCAGAGAACGTTTAGGCAAAATATGAGTCTGGAACAGCCCGGAGGCGCGCTTTCCAAAGAAATTTCCGCTAGCATGCCCTCGAGACGTTGAGACTAACACCGTAGGCCGTCGATAATGATGAAAATCATACCCTTTAATCGAAAAAGGCTTAAAATCTGTTGCCCTGCTCGTTTTTACCCTCTTCCCAAACCTGTTTTTCGCTCTATTTTCACGTTGCTTTTTGGGCGGCTCAGCAGGAAGTCCAGGGCCGTTCGAAGGCACTAAATTTCCCTCCCTTTCCAGGGCGGTGGCCATCACCACCATCATGCCGGGCTTCTTGGACAAGGAGCTGGCATGGCGAAGCTGCTCCCCGCGTTATCAGTACATTTTCGTGTTCGACCCGTTGCGCAGGTGGGTGACTCTTGGCTCCGTTCCTTTAAAGGGGCCGGAAAGAGAGGTGTTTCTAAACTATTGTTACTATTCTTAAACGTAAAACTGTACTATTTTATTAAAAAATACAAAAGATATCGATTTTTCGACCAAAATGCCAATTTTTTTAAAAAGTTTTCAAAGTTTTTAGGTAGTCTTTCTAGTTAAAATAAAGTTTTTTTGCTAAAGGCATTGTGAAAATATCTCCTATCAATTTACTAGGCGTTTCTAGACCATATTTAGACTAGCACCCCTGCTAACAGACTTGCCCCAAATTTTTTCATTCATGAAAAGTAAACGACAGTTTGGAAAAACTCCTCGATCGGCCTTACAGATTCATCCTGCAGAAGGTATTTCCCGTGCAATTCACACTCGGCGTCCTCGGCAATTCGCTCATCTTTTGGGTGCTGACCTCCGACGATGCGGCCAACATCGCCTCGGATTTGGTACGGTAATTTGGGGCAAAAAAGGGCTGTCTTACCATATCCCGCTTTCCAGTTGGCCGCCGTCTCGCTGTGCGACACCATGTTTCTCTTTATGATGGTGAGCATAGGAAAATGGAGATTCCACATAATTCAGGTGCCCCACTCGTTGGCGTCATTCGATGGGCTGGCCGGGATGTATCATTTCCGCTTCTTCTACATCAAGACCAAGCAGCACATGGCCGCCATGGCGAATTGGATGAGTGCGGCTGCGATATGGTAATTAATAGTTGCTATGAATGCGATATTATGGTTGTTATAAGAGCTAGAAGTTCCGCGGAAAGCTAGCAAAGATTCTTGAGGAAAAAGACTCTGAAGAAAGTTTATAGAAAAACGGATTCTTGGCGCGTGCTAGCAAAGGTCCTTTGAGGAAATGCCGTACCAATTTCAGCGATTCAGGCTAATCCTGGCCGTGTCTCTGGAGCGTTTTCTGATCGTCCGATCGCCGTTGCGCTCGAAACTCTATTGGGAGAGGGGGCGGATGGCGTTGGTGTTGGGCAGCGTCTTCCTCATCACCGGCAAGTTCAGGAGTAGGCTTATGGGGAATTGAGCTTGGGCTAGGCTTAAGTTAAGTCCAGAGACTGCCGGATCGGTCAAGTACGGCAGAGACCTTTCAAAAAATAGTTCAGGCGTGTTGACGATCTACCATCACTTCGAGTATGACTGTCAGATGGTATCGTTCTGTAATGGGACCCAGGTGATGGATTTCTGCTATCCGACAACTGAAGCGCATCCGGCAGAGTTTGTGATTTTAGAACTGACCCATACGAAATTTCCGCTCAGATTCGGCTCCCGAATCGAGTACCGCCCTTCGAAGATGGTCCAGCTCTACATACGATCATCTACGTTTTTTAATGCGGTGCTGGTGAGCATTTACAAAGCGACTCTGCGAGCCTACTGTCAGAAATTTTCCTTCGCGACAACGGGCCCCGTTTCCAGGTGGTTCTTCTCCCCATGGTCCTGGTGGTGGTCATCAACATTTCTCTTCTCCGTGTTCTGCATAAGAATGACCAAACCCTGGAGAACGGGCTTCTCACCTCATCACTAGCACGGACTCAACAGGTACGTCAAAAGCTTCGCCCGATGATTTGGCAACTCGAAAATTTTAGAAGACTCGCCGTCGCGTGACTGCTACCGTTGCCGCAATCGGATTGTGCTTTGCCATCACCCAGGTCAGGCCTAGGCTTAAGTTTCCTAAGCCTATGCCGAATACTACACTCAACCCAAATTTTAAACTTAAGCCCAAGCCCAAGCCTAGCCTAAGTCTACGTTGAGCCGGTTGTCAGCCTAAACCTATGCCGCAACGTCGACCGACCGCCTAACCTAGCCCGAAAGCCATTCTTTTAGGGCCCATCGGCCGTGATGGCAATCTGGGAACTCGTCGCCGGCTTTGACAACGTCGGCCCATTTTTCTACAAAATATCCAGGTATTGCAGTTTGGCCGCGACGCTCAGGCATGATTCCCGCTCATTTTCAGCATCACGAACAGCCTGGTGGTGATGGGGAAGAGCCTGAACTTTGTGCTCTTCTGTCTCTCCTCCGAGCATTTCCGCCAAAAATGTCTTCGCTCGTTTGCCCGCACATTTCCTACCGTAAGCGAATGCGTGGTACGGCAAAATAGCGCCTTTTAGCTGTCCCGCTCGGTGTCGCGCTTCTCACGGCATCGTTCGTCGGCTCGCGGCTCGCTGCAGGGTGGCGGCAGCGTTCATCTACGGCCGCAGCCTGGGAAAATGTGAGTGGGCGCTTTCTCCCCGACCTATTGCTGTCACCGTCGCGACCCGCAAGCGACACGCGCGCCCATGCGTCGCGTAATCGGTTAGTGCTTCTTCTTCTCGAAAGAGTGGAGCATCCGTTCATCCGTATCCGAGCATCGCCGCAAAATCCAAGGGTTCCAAAGCCTACAAATGAGCCGACCGTACCTCGCTGCTTAAGCGCCAGTTTATGACATTTCAGATGTGAGCGCCACAACACCGTCAGCTGAACGTCTTGAAGATGCTGGCCCAGCTCTTGCCCTGGCTCTTCCACAACGGGTTTTCGATAGAGACTACCAAATTTTTCATTTTGCTCCATGAATTGACGGAATACTGAAATTGACGGAAAAAGAAATTACACTGTGATCAAGGGTTCTAGTTAGCATATTCCGAGACAAGCAACGCACTTATTTCAATTGCGTAATCGACAGCTACCCTTTCCAAGTTGGGGAAACAGCGCGAACAGACAAGAACAGCTAGCAAACTAACAAAAAACGCTAAGGAAGCTGATGACGGAGAGGGGGTACTAGCAGGGAAGTTCGAAAACGTGTTATCAAAACACGGGACTCCAGACCTTGCACCTCGCTTCGCGACACGCAACTCATGTGCCACTCTTTCCAAAACATTGCGGATACTGTCTTTGAAATACGGCGGAGTGGCATGGGCGTAACCTAACGCGGGTGCTGAAGAGCTGACATCCATAATGTTAGGCGCGCCTTTTCATTCCCATTAAAATCCCCCGAAGACCACGCACCCGGCGGAGAACCAGAAAATGTAGCACGGTCCGCACGGTGGTGGTCCGCGTGCTAAATATCGGATCAAAAAAATCTATCTCAAATGGTTCTATAAAGTATGCACCGTCACGTTAAATTACTCACTACAATTTATTATTTCCTGGTTCATTTAAAAGCTCGTTTAGACTATGAAATAATACAACGAAGATAGTAACAATAAGGTATCAGAGCGTACTTTATGTGCCAAAAAAGCTACCTTCGCGCCAAATCCAAATAGTGTTCAAAGTAGTTCAAATTCAATTACCTATTCAGCTGATCCAATAAAGCCTGAAAAAATGCGGCGCATCCCGCACGGGGTCCCGACTATTCAGGAGGGCGCGCACGAGGGACGGGGCACTCCACGGGACGGGTGGGCCGGCTGCGCGCACAGCGAACCCTGAGACCCGCAAAAGGCCTTAACAAAAGGGGCAAAAAGTGACAAATTTTCGCGCTTTCAAAATGCGATAACTTTTTTTCTAGAAAAAAACTGTCGAGGCGGCTTTTCGCATATGATAGAACAGACCCTAAGGCACCTTTTCCAAAAGAGCTCGGAGCAAATCTGAATCAAAATAAGGAGTTCAAAACTTTTTTAGCGAGCAGAAGACCGAAAATTCACCCCTTTGTGCGCAGCGCTTTTCTTTGAATATAGCCATTTTCTGGGCTCCCTTTTCGTATATTTGCATCGCCTACGACTTGCCAATGATCAATTGCTTGCTTTTTCGGGGTTGGGCGGCTGTAATAGACGAGATTGAGGCCCATCCATTTTGAGCAATTTTGAATTCTGGAGTAGTACTGAACTATTTGGCTTGAATCTACTTTATATGACTATCTGTCTATATATTCAGCTCTGTTTTATATCTATGTGACTTAAATGAGTACTCCAGCACCACTATTCACGATTTCCTTGTTTCTGACTCAGGAACCATATAGTTTGTTATTTTTCGGCATTGGGTACACTATAGAAGGGTTGCTGGCACCTTCAACCACTTTTTGCAAAAAAGAGCAAAACGATCTGACGGTACGGGGGGGGTCAGAGGTATCGAACCAGCACCCCCCTCCCTGTGGCCTGTGACCGCCGCCTTAAACCACTCGGCCACGTCCCTCCCCACCCCCCGTGCGCGCTCTGAGACCCCGTGCCCGCTAACGGGAGTTTGCTCGCAAATGCTCTCTCTCTCTCTCTCTCTCGCTCAAATTTGCAAGGGAGGTAGCTGAGTCGGACAATCTGAGCAATTGACGTAATTTGGTAGTATTTTCTATTATAACGGGCCTACTGCTATTTTAGAAGCTAAATAAGATAAGAAATCCTATATTACATAATATTTGACAATATAGATAACCATTATAGGCAAAATAAAAGATCAGGCTGTTACCTAGCTGAACCAGCTCCCCATCAAACCGTCAATTTTTCAGCAGAAAGTATATGAGAGATGAGATCCTACTTCTTTGTTTAGAGGCTTTTAAATTTTGCCAGCGTGCCTAACGCAACAACTAACACTTCAGGGAAAGACGACCGGCTCACAGAATCTACTAAAATCATAAAGGCTGCTAGTTGCATAAAATAAAAGTGCGCGCCGCTTACCGCACCGGGGGAAACATGAGGGCGGCCGGCTGATGACCCGATTTCCTAGCAAATACTCTCCTCTCGAAAAAAAGTCTCGAAAAAACCGTAACCTTCTGCTGCAAGCCACTCCCTTTTCAGCTGGATAGTGTTGGCGATCTGCGGCGTGATCTACGTGAGCAGTTTGTACTTCTTCTCCGAGTTCTTCTACAACGCCTACAGCAAGAAGCGGTCCCCGACGAAGGCTCAAAAGGCAGAGTAACCACAAAGCACCGTCAATGCATCTCAAAAGCGGATATCCGCTGGCTCAACTGGGTGGACAATAAAAACGTCGTCAAACACACTTTATTCCATTTAAAACCTTGAATCCTGTAAGCACATTTCAAGACAAATCAAGTTCATGCATTAATGGTTTAACTTTGGCAGATTTGTTTGAAGAGTCGTCGTATCATTTGTGACGATGGCCCGAGCCGCTCGCATTCTTCTTGGCGCGCCCGGAGCGCCGGGAGATCTAGAAAACGATCAATAGATAAATAAAAGCTTGTTATGAATCTTAATGATAAAAGTAATATCGTTATTTTAAAGAAAAAAGTTACCCTTTCAGGGATGAACTTGGTTGGCGCTTGCCTCACTTGCTGATGGGGAACTGGGTGGGCCGGGTGGAGAGGGCCGTTTGCGGGCGTTGCTGCACATTTCCGCACCGAGTTCTGCTGGTCGGGCGGGCCGCGCTGCGTCAGGGCTTCCAGCTTCAGTGCGATCTAGAAAAGATAGTTAAATTAGAAAAAAGTGATCCGAATAGAAATTTCCAAAACCCACCGCCGTCATCGTGATGCGCTTCTCGACGTTGACCTCCCAGATGTCGGCGGTGACGAGGCTCACGACTTCGGGAGGGGTGCCTTCGGGGAAAACCGGTCGTTGGCCGCTCAACACCATCTGCTTCGTGGCGGCCACTGAGACGCCGGGATACGGCTCTTCTCCGTTCGCGTAGATCTCCCATACTAAACAGCCGTTAGTTTATCATATAAAATCGACCCACTCAATACGCCGTACGCCCACACATCACTTCTGCGCGTGAAGATGAAGGTCGTCAGCGTCTCCGGCGAGAGCCACTAAAATAGGAAAGTAATCGAGACAACTGGTATCCAAACCTTGATGGGCATCTTTTGCGCTTGTAGCAGCTCAAATTTGTCGCCTTCCCTTGACAACCCGAAGTCCGAGATCTTCACAAGTCTGCCGAAGAGACTGTTCGCGACTAGGCAGTTGCGGGACGCGATATCGCGGTGGATGATCTTCTTGTGGTGGAGGTATTCGATGCCCCACGCCGCATCCTAAAGAAAGAAATTTTCCATTTACTGATTACATTTTAAAAATTACACATTATCAATTACAATTTTTCAATTAATTACAACGTTTTCCCACCAAAATCATCGCCAGCTTGTCGACCCGCTCGAGCTTGTCGCCGTTGAGCTTCAGGAACTTGTCGAGCGCGTTTCCATCGACCTAAATTGAAATATATCGCTAGCTTTTCAAATTCTTACCAATTCCATGACGATCATAACCGGCTCCCTGAGCACCGCTACTCCGTAGATCCGGACGACGTTGGGGTGGGCGAAATTCCTCATCAACCGCGCTTCTTTCATCAGCTCCTTGATCTGGAAAATGAAAAATTTGATTCGTAAAAATAAAATAATGCTACCTTTTCCTTGTCCATGGCTTGCGAGTGGGCGAGCTTGATGGCGACCTCGATCTCAGCGCCGTCGTGCATCTTCAACTTTCCCGAGTAGACGTCGCCGAATGCACCTAAAAAAGCATAATTTTTAAAACAAAGAAAATTATACCTTCTCCGAGTTTCGTTTCGGTCTTGACGTGCTCGTGCCGGAGCTCCCAGGGTGCGCGAGTGACGGGGGTGACGAGGAGGGTGTTCGGCACCTAAATTTAGAATTTCAATAGATCGTTTTTGATTTTGGAAGGGATAAGGAAGATTTCGAAAGTTTTAATAGTCAACCCAATTCCTCACCTCCTTCTTCAGGGGAATACGTCGCGTGCGGTAGTTCTCCACGAGGTCCCTGACCGTCTCCCCCTTCAGCGTGTTGTCGATGGTGTAGTGGTTGGGCGGGTCTTTTTCTTTGACGATGATGTAGTGGCCCAACTAAAAATTCTTGTTGTTATGCGAATAAGAAATAGTAATCTTACGGTGGTCTTCTTGTCGTTGATGTACGCGAGGCTCAGGATGAGCTTGCGCTCCTCGGTGGGCTTCACTTGGCTGATGCGCAGCAGGTAGTCCCCTGGGTTCCGGAGCAGGATGGCCAGGTCTTCCCTAAAAACAAAATTAGCATACGAGAAAAGGACTCACCGGGGGAGCAGACCGTGGAACCAGTCCTCATCTTCATGCGCCATCTTAAAACCGGGCCAAGAAGATATGCCATCCGAATAGTGTTTTTTTTTTTCTTGAAAAAATTATGCAAATTTTATCGGAAATTTATCTGGATAAAAATTAGCCGATGATCTATCAACTACAAATTTGTAGCTTTAGACCGCGTTGCTATGAAGATTTTGATCTATCTGATTTATTTTGGTTTTTTTAAATATTTTCTCTTATCCTAATCCTTTCGTTATTTTCCCTTGGATCTCCTTCGGCCGGGCTTACGCGAGCAAAATTGTCAGATGGCTATTTGCCAGCTGCTACAAACTATATTTCATAGGAGATTCCGCAACGATACTCAATACGGGGCCGGATCGTGGCGGGACCCAAGTCGAGCGCCTTTAATTTTACCTGTCGTCACCGGATGATTTATGAATCAAAGGGGACCGTTTTACTTTTTGGGCGACCTGGAAAGTACTGTCCCGTACTACCTAGTTCCGAGCTCGGAGATAATCGGGGAGTCAATCGGCGAGCCAGTTAGATTTTTAGCTTTATGCGGCAATAGTGTTTTCTCCTTCCAATTGATTTTTTGGACTATGGGGGCAGGGGCGTAGCTGACCCCTAATTTCGAGAGGGGCAGCAAGAAAAAATTTTCGGAATTGGAGCGCCGCATGCAAAAAATTGAGCTAAATGAACAGCGCCGCCGCTTAATGAAGGGCGGACTTTGTTTTGTATAACTAAAGTTAAATTTGGGTGCTCTAAAGTGTCAAGTTCGAATTCAGCACCCAAAACTGTCATAGACTGCTCGTTTTCGCCGATCTAGCACCATCGATCTGCAGCATTTTGGAAATTGAAATTTCTCAATCATTTGTAATGTTTGATTTAAACTTTTACTAATGATAAAACGCGTCCGGAAATCATTTTCACTTACACCTTTAGATTACCAGCGCCATTTTATGCGCCCAGTGCCTGCAACAGCATTGCAGCTGATGAAACGCGCTCACGTCGCGACGAACGTAGCCGTCGTGACAAAACGGGAAAAGGAAGAGGTGCGTTGAAGTTTTGTTCTTGAAGTCCGATTATAGATATCCGTCCCTTCTCATTATGGAAGTGATGGGGAGCAATCGACGAGTACAGCTTTCAAGAATATTTTCAAGGTGTGTTGAAACCTAAACCTCGATTTTCGTTTTGCACACCTTGTTTCAAATCAAACCAAACCTCGTTTTGCAGCGCTTAAAATGGTCCATTTGGATCAACAACGCTTCCGAGCAAAATATTCGTTTTCCAGAAGTTCAAACGACGCGTTCCACCGCCGGATTTCTCCGATGTTGTCGATCCAACGTTAGCCAACGCTTTGAAAGGCATCGTCGTTGAACGTCTAGGCACGAAGGTATTTAGGTGCGAAACTAACACTTAATATGAATCTTTTTAGGATTTCCAAGCTAGCACCGACGACGCCGAGCTTCTGGGCCTGAAACCCATTGGGGAATGGCGTATCACGACGATTAAAGGGCGCGAAGGCCTCTACATATTACCGTCTATAATTCGGTATTTTTGTTGCCAGAATTATGATTGGAAAAATTCCAGGGAAGAGACTCACCTCAAATGGCTGCAACGATGCTTCCAATACGCAGAAACACCTAATATCACAAACCTGTCGGCGCATGGCAATACTCCAAAAACGTGAGAAGCATTGGATTGAATGGTTATGACCTTTTTAGCGACTTTCTACGGAGCGCCGCCAAAAGCTTACGCTGGACGACGCTGGGAGTTGATTATAATTGGACGACGAAGGAATATCCGCTTGAAGGAAGGCCTTTGCCGATCGAATTAAAGAGGTTAGCTACGGTGAGTGGTGTAAAATTACTTCTAAACTCAACACTTTAAAAATTTATCATTTCAAAATTCGCTAATCCGAAAATCAATTTTTTCGAAATTATCAAGTTTTGGTTATATTCGACATTTTTTGATCTGTTTTGATAATGGCAGTTTTGTATTTTGTTGCAAATTACTGTTATATTTAGATAGTCTGCGATGCAATCGGCGTCGGCAATATGGAGGCTGATGCGGCGATCGTCAACGATTCTCCACCAAAATCTACATTATCGCCTCATCAGGATGGGTTTGTTTGTAACATCCTTATTTCATTTTATACTAGGCGCCGTTTGTTACCTCGGCCAGCTTCCAATTCAGGTCTTCATCAACATATTTGCGGATTTTCTTGCAGCTGAGACCTTGTAGTAGGGTGCGAACGTTGTTGGAGAAGCCTTGCTAAAAAATTTATTGTCCTTTTGATTGGATCTAGCTACTTTAGAAATGTTTAGAAATTTATCTAGAACGATCTTTAGAAGCGAAATTTTAGACCAGATTTGGAGAAATATTTAAAAAAAGAAAAATCACGCAAAGTAAAGACAAAGCAGCCTTCACTTTCTTCGAATGATTACTTTTTCACGCGTTTTCTCAAACACCTCAATAATTTCTAAAAACCCCGTTATGTTCTTTCATATATAAATGTAGTTTTATAGCTTCTAAAATATATATAAAAACGACGTAAATATGCCTAAAACTTAATAAACCACCTTAAACATCGTGACGGCCAACCCGAAAAGCCCGCCATTGTGGTTGACGACCTCGACGGAACGGATCATTCATTGAGTGGCAGGCGAGGCTGGTAACGCAGGCGCTTCCGTTATTTTCCAAAAAACCTTTTTGGGATAGCTTTAATTACAAATTCCCACCCTGTGCATTCTCGATTGAAACGACAGCCCTTCGGCGAGAACCTCGGCCTCGCCGGTCAAGTCAAACGGCACCAAGATGTTGACTTGCCCGTCAGATCGCCGATTAATCTAAAGAGTTTTTCCTAGCCGGGCCCAGCAATCGTAGAGTAAGTATTGTGATAGTGTTTTAATAAAATTCACCCTTGGAAAATTTCAAAACCAGCCGAAAAATGCGACCTATTGGTCGAAAATTTACCCTTTTTTATATAAAACCAGCGCTGACCCCCGCTACGCGGGTGTTCAGCGCTGGCCCTCCCCCCAAACAATTCGAATTTTGAATTTAAATGCAAAATTCGGCTGAATTCCGGGACGGTGTGGTGTGGTTATATAAAATGGATATATTTATATTCTTAATAAAGTTTGTTGTAATTTGTAGCTTTGCTGCTTTGAAATAGTAATAAACGCAGCAAGGCTTCTCTTTTTCGACATTTATATTTGCTCAGGGAAAAGTTTGTTCTCCCCCCCCCCCCGATAATGCGAAAGAACCCAAAAGTCATAAAGTTTAACGCTAAAGTAAAAAATAAAAGCATACGGCTACCAAATATTGATATTCTTGATCAGCCACAGCGTAATTGGGCCCGTTTATCTGAATTAGGGCCCGTTTACCCGAATTAGGGCCCGTATAGGGAATTCCTATTGCGTTCTCCTATTCTTCATGAATCTCTGCTAGCCTGCCCTCTCCTATTCCTCATGAATCTCTGCTAGCCTGCCCTCTCCTATTCCTCAACAATCTCTGCTAGCCTGCCCTCTCCTATTCCTCAATAATCTCTGCTAGCCTGCCCTCTCCTATTCCTCATGAATCTCTGATAGCCTGCCCTCTCATATTCCTCAACAATCTCTGCTAGCCTGCCCTCTCCTATTCCTCATGAATCTCTGCTAGCCTGCCCTCTCCCATTCCTCATGAATCTCTGCTAGCCTGCCCTCTCCTATTCCTCATGAATCTCTGCTAGCCTGCCCTCTCCTTTCCTCAACAATCTCTGCTAGCCTGCCCTCTCCCATTCCTCAGGAATCTCTGCTAGCCTGCCCTCCTCTCCTTCGTGCTCTGATCCACATAAATCATAATTTGCATATAATCAATTAGAATCCGGAAACGAGACAGTCAGCATTGGAGTGCCGGTACAAAAGCCGCGCGCTTTGGCTGAAGCTCATATACTGACTTCTAACTCACAACCCTACTTACCCGAATTGATGACAACTTCTGAATTGACGGTACGTGATGCAATGCTCTTTCTCATCGTCAAGCCTTTGACCAGGGGTGTTCCGCCGGAATTATCGTATTTTAGAATGAAAGTGAGCTGATGAGACGGGTTGAAGCCGCCTACCTCGAATTCGGGAGGTGCGCTGCCGAGGAAAGCGCAGCAACTTCGGATCTGGCGACGGAGGTATTGCATTATTCACCTGCTAAAAATTAGAAGAGGACTCTAGATAACCCCCCCAGCCGGCCCCCAACTTTTATATCTCGGCTTCTGTTCATCTACAGGTGTGTAAAGTATACCAAAATACTCGCGAGAGCAAGACGAACATTTTCGTATACTTTACACACCTGTAGATGAACAGGGAGCCGAGATACAACAGTTTGGTGCTGGCTGGGGGTGGGGGGGTATCTGGAGTTCAGCCTTATTAGAAGAATTACAGCTAATTAGCTCGGGCAGAAATTCGAAATTTTTGCTTTTTTGATTAATATTGATTATTATATTTATTTATAGGCGAAATTATATTGACTATGTTGATTTAACTCAAAATATTGTGATTGTATTGTAATTGAAATTTTTGACGGAAAAATCTTCGCAATTTTGAAGTTGTTTGTTATTGGTTTTTGTATATTTAAAAACTACAAAACACAAACATTGGCGGTTTTTTTACCATAAATGGTCGACTTCTGACCAAAATTTCAACAGAAATTTTGTGTTTTTAGGTTTTTTTGACGGTTTCATTGCATTTCGTTTCATTGACAGTTTCCAAAAAGGTTACATTTTGCAAACTAGACGTTTCCGGACGATTAGAAAAATAGATGCGAAAGCACCAGACGAAGTTTCTTACGTGTTGTTGCAGACCGCTCATCTCCTCTGCGCCGACAAATTCCTCAGGCTTGTGACGAAGGAGGAGGCGGATGCGGTGCTGCTCGAGTGGACGCAGCAAGACAAGGAACGGCTGAAGAACGGGAAGTACGCGACGTGCCCAGCATCGACCATCGACGTGGGGTTCTTTTCGCTTAACGGGGGGGGGAGGAAGGGGGGTTACAGGGGGAATTTTCTGACTTTGATCAAAAATATATGAAAAATTGCAAAAATGGGTCAAAAGCTTCGCATTGTGGCACTTTAAAAAAACCTTTTTGATAATTTACCAGCGACATTTTGCAGACGCTCACATCCGCTGAGCATGATGTGCCCGTGCTGCCCAAATGGCTCCAGATGGCAATGTGGACTGCCGAACGTAACGCCCGGGAGCAGTACGAGAAGGTTACCGTCAAGGACCTGGCCAAGGTAGCTTTGATCGATTGACTAAATTCGATCCTGGTACTTTCGCGATTTTTGCTGTATGGCCAGAAATGCTTAATAACTTAGTAGTAACTAGTTCATAGTGTTTTCACTAAAAGTTCACGATATCTCAAGTAGAAAAAAGCTTTGAACCTCTTTTGCAGTCGGTCAAGAAGACGCTGCGGGCGCGCGTCGACGACGCGAAAGAACGATGGCAAGACGCCCGGAAAGAGACGTTGGCCTCATACGAGCGCTACGAAGAATTCGTGGGTTTCGGTCCGCTGGTGGCCCAAGCCTAAGCTAAGATTAAGCCCGAGCCACGCCTAGACTAAGCCTAAGCCTGAGCCATGCCTGAGCCTGAGCTTAAGCCTAAGCCTGAGCTTAAGGCTAGCCTAAGCCTAGCCAAAGCCTGAGCCAAAGCCTAAGATTAGCACTTACGTGGCTGATAGGAAATGTTCGTATTCTCCCTCCCCCCCCGATAATGGAAAAGGTTTCAGGCATCGGCGGCTACGGCGCAAACGTTAGAGCAGGTGGAGACAAAGCAGCAGCTCGTCAGAGACTTCGAAAAGGCCAACCACGGGAAGAAGACCACGACGGTTGCCCGTCTCGCGCAGGTATGTATTATTTATCTGGAATTTTCCAAGTTTTAAATATTTTTTTGAAACTTTCTATTTGCCATAGAAAGGGGCGTAAAATGAAATGAAAAAGTTCAAAAAATCCCTGGCCCTACGGTTAATCTTATATTCATTTCAGGTGCCGTCGGCCGTCGACTTCAAGCCGTACTACCGGAAGCGGGACTTTGACTTCGGACCGTTCTACAGGATGCCCGACGACCTCGACTCCGAAAACACCACGTCTGAAGTCGAGGAAGCGCTGCGAAGACCGCCGTGCGCCTGTGACCAAACGGTTGGAACATCATTTACCGACTTTCCCAGCGCCAATAACAAAACCTCGGTGCTGGACTGTTAGCGGGGGGGCCCAACGTTTCTCCCGTCATACACGTACCATCCTATAGCGAAATGTAAACTTTTTATGCGTTAGATGGTGAAAAGCACGTATTTTTGTCATTTTCGTCAAAAATGACGCCCAAGGTAAAATCTTAGAGTTTCAAAAAATGTTCAATATTGCAGTTGGCCGAAATCTCGGCTTCGGAGGACGCGCGTGAGAAGAACGAGACCAAGCCTCCCCAGCCCGCCGGAGAACCGGATGATGCGACGCGCATTGCCACCGACCCTACGCACCCCCCGCTGGACATCTCGGATACGGTTGGGGCATTTACTGATAAAATTCAATTTAATAAAAATCTCGTTAGACTTGTAATTTTCGCTTTTTTAGCTTTTTTAAGGCTTTTCTCGACGACATTCGATATAGCATTGAAAAATATAGTAATAATTGTATAACGAAATTAGCGGGCGCAAAGGGAAGCTCTAGACAAAATTGTTCCCCCCCCCCGCTAACGAGTCAGTGCCAGAATCCCACCTTTTGGGGGCACACAGTAAGGGCACCGTGACGCTCCCTAATTTGCATACAAAAAAGGCGTACTTGTGACAAAATATGAATTGCAGAACGTGCACAATGGAGATGCGGGCGAAGGCTCGACAAAGAAGGTGGAGAAGGCGCAAGAATCGGCGGGTGCCCGCACCATCCCACGGGTGCTTTTCGACGGGATGCTCGGCCACTTTAACCTGCTGACGCCCCCCACTGATTGATTTTCTTATCTTTTGTCATTGATTTTCCTTCTTACCGGCAATAAACGATTCACAGCTGGGGTTCTTTCTTAAATCTCCGAAAATCCGGTTCTTTCGCAATAACGGGGCGGGGGGACCAGCTTCTTTTTCTAATGATCTAATTTTCAAGAATAAATAGTGGAATTGTTTCTAAACGGTTTTTTCATTTTTACAAAGCTTTTATATAGTTTCAATCGTTTCATATAGCTGATTTTACTCACACTATTAAAGCACTTTCAGGTCCCACTGCTGGACTTATGAAAAAAAAGTTCGCCCCCCCCGATAATGCGAAAGACCCAAGACCAGAATCCGTATTCCAACCTTTCCACATCAATAATTTTCAGCTTTCGCTACTTTTCCGATTAAAACATAATGATTAGACCTAGCAACCGGGCCGGGGGGGGGGATAGACTAGATTCTTGCCGCAGTCAAATCCGGTCACCTGGCGATGCCCTCTAAACTTCCTTATTGCAGACTGAGCTGAAGGCTGAACGACGTGGTCGGCATGAACAATATACGGTAATTCCGGTCCATTCCATCCAACTCGTTTCAGGGCCGTCATGTGTGCACAAAATGTGGACCGGAGAAAGGAGTGCAAGACACCACAACGAAGTTCGGACCGCCGCTGTGTAAACCGTGCGGCAAGGCCTACTGGTTGGTGCTTAGATGTAGAGCTTAACCCATAAAAACGCGCCGGCCTGCCACACACGGCGCCCCAGGCGAAGGAAAAGGCGGTCGCTCTCAGGATGCGCACTGGTTGGCCTACGCGAGGCTCCTATGTGCGCCGAGTGAAAACTTCGAACCCTTGTAAATTAAAGCCTGTGACCCTTGTAACCCTGCCGGCTTAAAGCTACGGACTCATAGGATAGCAGGGGAACAAAATAGAATAGACACAAAAATTGAGCAAAATCTATGGGCAGCACATAGGATAACGGGAGTGAGGGACATATTTTTGGCGTTTTGAATATTTAGATATTTTGAAAATCCCATTCGATAGAGGGCCGAAAAATATACTAAGAGCTTTTTCTATAGCCCGAAAAAAGCATATTTCAAAAATACTTTTATCATAAAATAACTTTGAGTGCCCCCCCCCCGTTATCCCCCCTCGCTATCCTATGTGTACCTAAAGCTACAAACTAAAAGCGTGGGATTGTAGAGCTGATTTTTCCGACAGAAATTCTGGTGGGGCGGTGGGGGGAGGGGGGGGTATTAAGGTGATCAAAAAAAAGAACGGCTTTGTGCCCACAACTTCTAAATACAGTTTAGAAAGCGCTTCGCGCCAAATGAGGTGACGCATCTTGCCCTACAACTTTGGAACCACTTTTTGCATTTACAATCTGCTATGTATAAATTTCTAATGTCCGTGCGCCCGTCCGTCCAGGAATTCAGCTAAATTCTGCATTCAAATTCAAAATTCAAATTGTGGCGGGGGGAGGAAGGGCCAGCGCTGAAACCCCGCGTAGCGGGGTGTCAGCGCTGGTTCCATTACAAAGTTACAAGGCTCTAAAGTTTTTCTCCCATACATTTTTTTGGCTTGAAGTTTGTAGCCCTGTGCACAAGCAAACATATCCATTGGGGTACTGGACTGTTAGCCGGGGGGACTGACATAGGAAACCAAATTTTCCACAATAATCCTGACCGACCCATTCCAGTAATGCCCGCTCACGCGCCCAGGGCCGGGCCCAATGCTCCGGTGAATGGTGCAAAGGAGAACGTGTGTTTGCCTTAACCACCGATCACCAATTCTGAACTTTTTAGGCCTTTGTGGCTTCTGCGTCTTCGAGAAAGTATGGACCGTCCTCGGCTTCGAGCTAGTGCCTAAGAAGACCAAGGCGAAGAGTCGAGTCACACCGGAAGTAGGCGAAGTTTCCTCGGATTTTAAAAGGATTCAAAAGGAATAAAATTGTAGCTTATTAATCTTAAGGAGCCAGAAAGCCAAGATTTCATAGATAAACCTCCCCAAAGAAGTCGGACCAGAGCTCCCCCAAGAAGTCGCCCAAGTCGTCCAAGTCGTCCAAGTCGTCCAAGTCGTCCAAGTCGTCCAAGTCGTCCAAGTCGAGTCAGTCCGGAAATCAGCGGAGTTTCCTCGGGGGCTTAGAGCAAATGGAAAGACAACTACAACGATGGATTTTGGAGTTGTGGTTGATAGGGCAAATGAATAGATATGTTGCATTTAGAGCGAGTCTAACAGGAATACATTAGTTCCTCTGCCTCCCATCAATGAGCCTTTTTGCAGCAATTCCCCGAGGAAGACGACAATGGCGGCAGCGATCCGATGATGCGCGCATAGAGCAGCGACGACTCCGAGCCGTTCAGCCATTCCCTTTTGCTCCCACCATCCATTACTGTGCAATAAAGTTGGCTACACTACTGTACTATTGACAGAATGCAAAATACACCAAATGACATACCGGAACTGTGCCGTCTGGCTTTTAAAGAGGAGCACAAGCGAGGTTTTGGCTTTCAAGTAAGAAGCCAGGCGGTTAAGCAGGCAGGCGTGACATGAAGAAACCAGCCGCGTCGGAAAAGAGTTTCAGCTGGCGTTCCCTCTCCTATTCCTCACGAATCTCTGCTAGCCTGCCCTCTCCTATTCCTCATGAATCTCTGCTAGCCTGCCCTCTCCTATTCCTCATGAATCTCTGCTAGCCTGCCCTCTCCTATTCCTCATGAATCTCTGCTAGCCTGCCCTCTCCTATTCCTCATGAATCTCTGCTAGCCTGCCCTATTCTATTCTTCATGAATCTCTGCTAGCCTGCCCTCTCCTATTCCTCATGAATCTCTGCTAGACTGCCCTCTCCTATTCCTCATGAATCTCTGTTAGAATGCCCTCTCCTATTCCTCAATAATCTCTGCTAGCCTGCCCTCTCCTATTCCTCATGAATCTCTGCTAGACTGCCCTCTCCTATTCCTCATGAATCTCTGCTAGCCTGCCCTATTCTATTCTTCATGAATCTCTGCTAGCCTGCCCTCTCCTATTCCTCATGAATCTCTGCTAGACTGCCCTCTCCTATTCCTCATGAATCTCTGCTAGCCTGCCCTATTCTATTCTTCATGAATCTCTGCTAGCCTGCCCTCTCCTATTCCTCATGAATCTCTGCTAGACTGCCCTCTCCTATTCCTCATGAATCTCTGCTAGACTGCCCTCTCCTATTCCTCATGAATCTCTGCTAGCCTGCCCTCTCCTATTCCTCATGAATCTCTGCTAGCCTGCCCTCTCCTATTCCTCATGAATCTCTGCTAGACTGCCTGCCATTGGGTAAACGGGCCCTATTTCCCTTTATTTCACTGTTTTTGAATATTTCGCGGGAGGTGAGCATGAGGCGGCGGAGGAGGCGGAAGGATTTTGCGAAGTGTTGATGAGGCAAGTTGTTATTGCTGTATTCCCGGGGGCTACGTTCCGCTTCTTGTTCCGGGGTGTCATGGACGCTGCCTCTCAGGTCGCATCTGAAAAAGGTAGCAGTTGATTTAGCTTCTTTTCACGTCGTAACTGGTTGTGAGATAATGACAGCTTAAGCTCAGGCTTATGTTTTTTTTTTTTTTTCAGAGATTCATGAGGGATACGAGAGGGCAGGCTAGCAGAGATTCATGAGGAATAGGAGAGGGCAGTCTAGCAGAGATTCATGAGGAATAGGAGTGGGCAGGCTAGCAGAGATTCATGAAGAATAGAAGAGGGCAGGCTAGCAGAGATTCATGAGGAATAGGAGAGGGCAGGCTAGCAGAGATTCATGAGAAATAGGAGAGGGCAGGCTAGCAGAGATTCATGAAGAATAGAAGAGGGCAGGCTAGCAGAGATTCATGAAGAATAGAAGAGGGCAGGCTAGCAGAGATTCATGAGGAATAGGAGAGGGCAGGCTAGCAGAGATTCATGAGGAATACGAGAGGGCAGGCTAGCAGAGATTCATGAAGAATAGAAGAGGGCAGGCTAGCAGAGATTCATGAGAAATAGGAGAGGGCAGGCTAGCAGAGATTCATGAGGAATACGAGAGGGCAGGCTAGCAGAGATTCATGAAGAATAGAAGAGGGCAGGCTAGCAGAGATTCATGAAGAATAGAAGAGGGCAGGCTAGCAGAGATTCATGAAGAATAGAAGAGGGCAGGCTAGCAGAGATTCATGAGGAATACGAGAGGGCAGGCTAGCAGAGATTCATGAAGAATAGAAGAGGGCAGGCTAGCAGAGATTCATGAGGAATAGGAGAGGGCAGGCTAGCAGAGATTCATGAAGAATAGAAGAGGGCAGGCTAGCAGAGATTCATGAGGAATAGGAGAGGGCAGGCTAGCAGAGATTCATGAAGAATAGAAGAGGGCAGGCTAGCAGAGATTCATGAGGAATAGGAGAGGGCAGGCTAGCAGAGATTCATGAGGAATAGGAGAGGGCAGGCTAGCAGAGATTCATGAAGAATAGGAGAGGGCAGGCTAGCAGAGATTCATGAGGAATAGGAGAGGGCAGGCTAGCAGAGATTCATGAGGAATAGGAAAGGGCAGGCTAGCAGAGATTCATGAGGAATACGAGAGGGCAGGCTAGCAGAGATTCATGAGGAATAGGAGAGGGCAGGCTAGCAGAGATTCATGAAGAATAGAAGAGGGCAGGCTAGCAGAGATTCATGAAGAATGGGCTTCGCTTACACTTCCGAAAATCTGATTCCCGAAAATTCGTTTCCCGAAAATCCGATTCCCGAAAATCGAATGCCCGAAAAATCCGAATCCCGAAAAATCTGAATCCCGAAAATCTGAATCCCGAAAATTCGGTTCCCGAAAAATCTGAATCCCGAAAAATTCGTTTCCCGAAAATATGTTTCCCGAAAAATCTGAATCTGAAGAATCTGCGGTTTGAAACTGAAAAAAAACCCTGGTACAATTCAACGAGGCGGGGGGAGGGAGATTCAGGCGGGGGGCAATCTGCGTCTCAGCGCCCGCCCTGCTCTCTAGGCACCCCCTCTGCCTATAGGCCCACCTCCCCCCCGCCGAAATCCTCACCCCCGCCTATTTGAATTGTACCAAAACCCTTTCTAAAGTTCCTGGGCGACTTCCAAGACGGTGAATTCAATAAAGTTAATTTTTCAATTTGTTTTCTTCGAATTTGGCTTTTCAGAACGCGGTCTTTCCAGGGTTGGATTCTGGGGCTCGGATTTTTCGGGATTCAGATTTTCGGGAATCGGATTTTCGAGAACCGGATTTTCGGAAAACGGATTTTTCGGGATTCAGATTGTTCGGGATTCAGATTTTCGGGAATCAGATTTTCGGGAAACAGATTTTCGGGATTCTCATCGGAAATCATGAAGAATAGAAGAGGGCAGGCTAGCAGAGATTCATGAAGAATAGAAGAGGGCAGGCTAGCAGAGATTCATGAGGAATAGGAGAGGGCAGGCTAGCAGAGATTCATGAAGAATAGAAGAGGGCAGGCTAGCAGAGATTCATGAGGAATAGGAGAGGGCAGGCTAGCAGAGATTCATGAGGAATAGGAGAGGGCAGGCTAGCAGAGATTCGTGAGGAATAGGAGAGGGAACGCCAGCTGAAACTCTTTTCCGACGCGGCTGGTTTCTTCATGTCACGCCTGCCTGCTTAACCGCCTGGCTTCTTACTTGAAAGCCAAAACCTCGCTTGTGCTCCTCTTTAAAAGCCAGACGCCACAGTTCCGGTATGTCATTTGGTGTATTTTGCATTCTGTCAATAGTACAGTAGTGTAGCCAACTTTATTGCACAGTAATGGATGGTGGGAGCAAAAGGGAGGTGGCTGAACGGCTCGGAGTCGTCGCTGCTTTAGACGCGCATCATCGGATCGCCGCCGCCATTGTCGTCTTCCTCGGGGAATTGCTGCAAAAAGGCACATTAATGGGAGGTGAACGATTCACTTACGGGATGTCATTAATGCTAGAGGGAATCCCTAATGATGACTGCTAGTTGGCTAGTTGATACCTTTGTCTGTTGGAACATGTTGTCGTGCGCCTCGTTCGGGTTGACGGGTGGGGGCCTCGGCTTCTTCGACACCTTCGGATTCTCACCTGAAATGAGTTCGGTTGGGGAGCCAGACTTCCAGGTTCCTTGAAGATCCGAACTCTATCGATTCTTGCCTTCGCAACCCCTTTAACCCGCCAGGAAAGACTGCCTACTTCCGGTGTGACTTGACTTGGAAGACTTTGACGACTTCGTAGACTTTTTGGCTGCCTTCTTGTCTGCCTTCTTCGACGAGGTCGACTTGTTCTTCTTCTTCTTCTTCTTGCTTCCGTGCGTCATGCAGTAGATGACTAAATAGTTTCAGTTTCCTCGACAATATTCGTCCATACGTGTGACAACGATGATCAGCACCAGACAGCCGACCAAGCCGCACACGACGATGATGATGATGAGGAGGACGTGGCCTTTGTCTTCGGTCGGGAGAGCTAAAAAGATGACAGTAGGGAGAGAGAGAGAGGAGAGAGAGAGAGAGAGAGAGAGAGTGATTCAGAAGATCCAACCTTTTTCCGTGGCTCCATTCTTCTTTTTCCCCTCTTGCTCCCATGCCTGTTGCTCCGCCTTTGAATACAGTGTACACAGTCCGTCGTCTCGAATCGACTTGATCGTCATGTACGGCGTGCAGATGTCCGGATGACTGGTGTTGATCGCTTTGCACGGGTGATGGCCGGGCTTGTCGGTGCATTCTAATTAAGAGTGAATTCTCGCTCTCTCTCGCTCTCTTTCTCTCTCGCTCTCTCACTCTCTCTCTATCTCTCTCTCACTTTTCTTCCATATACAGCTCTGCGTTTGACCGTCGTATCCATGCAACTTCGTGTTCGACACGCACACTGCCAGCCCCCTCTTGCCGCAGTTGATGTTCATTATCGAGCAATCTAAATGTATGAACTTGTTATATTCGCTACGAGACCCACTGGCAAATCTCCAAACGGCGGGTGTTGCGTGATTTCCTTCAATGTTGCCGAGTAGATCAACAGGGACACAAGTATCAATCCCATTCAAGCTGATCGGCACTTGGCCACTCGCGCAATCTGAAAATTCGATTCCTCACTGGTCTCTGCTAGCTTGCCCATCCCAACCAGTGCGTAATTCTAATCTGCGCCCAGCTACCGTACCTGCCGCCACACACGTCTTGGTGTCCTTCTGGGCGCTGGCACCGCTCAAACACACCAGCTGGCCGCCCTTCCCCTCGCATGGGATGTCACCGGCATGGCAGCTGCCTAAAAAGTACCCAATTACAGTAGTCCAGAAGATAGAAGAATCGAAGTGAAAAAAATCGAAATCCTCGCCTTGATCCCCTCCGGTCAACAGCAATACCCCGGCGCTGAGCAGTGAGAACAGAAGGAAAATCATCATTGTGATCTGCAAAGGAAATATCAAAATTTTGGATAAAATTTCGACGAACCTTAGAGTCTAGAGAAAAGTAGAAATTCCAATTATGATATGAATTTCCTGTTAGAAAGAATCCCTAATGATGACTGCTAGTTGGCTAGTTGATACCTTTGTCTGTTGGAACATGTTGTCGTGCGCCTCGTTCGGGTTGACGGGTGGGGGCTTCGGCTTCTTCGACACCTTCGGATTCTCACCTGGAAGGAATTCGTTTGGGGAGACAGACTTCCAGGTTCCTTTAAAATTAAGATCCGAAATCCATCGATTCTTGCCTTCACTCCCTTTAAAATTAAGAATGCTCCAGCTTCGAAATCCGTCGTTTTTGCCTTCACAAGCCCTTTAAACTCGCCAGGAATTTGCGCTTACTTCCGTTGTGAGTAGATTTGGTTGACTTGGACGACTTCCCGCCCATCTTCTCGTCCATCTTCGTCGAGGAGACCGACTTGTTCGAACTGCTGGGTAGTTTCTTGCCCGCTTTCACCGACTCCTTGTCCGTCTTCTTCGACTCGTCCGCCTTGTTCGACTTGTTGGGTGATTTGCGATCCTTCCTCTTCGGGGAGGTCGAATTGTTAGACTTGTTGGCGTTGATGATGGTGGGGATAGGGCCGACGTTGAGACCACCTAAAAAGCGGGTTTATGGGGCTTCTATGGGAACCTACTTTTCACGGTAGCCGGCTTAACCGAGAGGGCTTCTTCATTGGTGGCAGCGGGCGGGGCGGGCAAGAACTCGTGGGCGGACATCTGAACGTCGGACGAATCCGAATGGCTCGAGAAGGACTGGTATCCGAGCCCGGCCCAAGCACATTCTTACCTGCACCAATCGGGCCTTCGGCTCCGGAAGAAACATCTCGTTGAAGTTGGAATACAGCTCCAGAGTGTCTTTGCGACAGTCGGCTTGCTTATACTTTACATTGCACATTGCCCGCCAGGTCGCCGATTAATCTAAAGAGTTTTTCCTAGCCGGGCCCAGCAATCGTAGAGTAAGTATTGTGATAGTGTTTTAATAAAATTCACCCTTGGAAAATTTCAAAACCAGCCGAAAAATGCGACCTATTGGTCGAAAATTTACCCTTTTTTATATAAAACTAGCGCTGACCCCCCCTCCCCCGCTACGCGGGTGTTCAGCGCTGGCCCTCCCCCCCCCAAACAATTCGAATTTTGAATTTAAATGCAAAATTCGGCTGAATTCCGGGACGGTGTGGTGTGGTTATATAAAATGGATATATTTATATTCTTAATAAAGTTTGTTGTAATTTGTAGCTTTGCTGCTTTGAAATAGTAATAAACGCAGCAAGGCTTCTCTTTTTCGACATTTATATTTGCTCAGGGAAAAGTTTGTTCTCCCCCCCCCCCCCGATAATGCGAAAGAACCCAAAAGTCATAAAGTTTAACGCTAAAGTAAAAAATAAAACCATACGGCTACCAAATATTGATATTCTTGATCAGCCACAGCGTAATTGGGCCCGTTTATCTGAATTAGGGCCCGTTTACCCGAATTAGGGCCCGTATAGGGAATTCCTATTGCGTTCTCCTATTCTTCATGAATCTCTGCTAGCCTGCCCTCTCCTATTCCTCAATAATCTCTGCTAGCCTGCCCTCTCCTATTTCTCATGAATCTCTGCTAGCCTGCCCTCTTCTATTCTTCATGAATCTCTGCTAGCCTGCCCTCTCCTATTCCTCAATAATCTCTGCTAGCCTGCCCTCTCCTATTCCTCAATAATCTCTGCTAGCCTGCCCTCTCCTATTCCTCAATAATCTCTGCTAGCCTGCCCTCTCCTATTCCTCAATAATCTCTGCTAGCCTGCCCTCTCCTATTCCTCAATAATCTCTGCTAGCCTGCCCTCTTCTATTCTTCATGAATCTCTGCTAGCCTGCCCTCTCCTATTCCTCAATAATCTCTGCTAGCCTGCCCTCTCCTATTCCTCAATAATCTCTGCTAGCCTGCCCTCTTCTATTCTTCATGAATCTCTGCTAGCCTGCCCTCTCCTATTCCTCAATAATCTCTGCTAGCCTGCCCTCTCCTATTCCTCAATAATCTCTGCTAGCCTGCCCTCTTCTATTCTTCATGAATCTCTGCTAGCCTGCCCTCTCCTATTCCTCAATAATCTCTGCTAGCCTGCCCTCTCCTATTGCTCAATAATCTCTGCTAGCCTGCCCTCTTCTATTCTTCATGAATCTCTGCTAGCCTGCCCTCTCCTATTCCTCAATAATCTCTGCTAGCCTGCCCTCTCCTTTTCCTCAATAATCTCTGCTAGCCTGCCCTCTCCTATTCCTCAAGAATCTCTGCTAGCCTGCCCTCTCCTTTTCCTCAATAATCTCTGCTAGCCTGCCCTCTCCTTTTCCTCAATAATCTCTGCTAGCCTGCCCTCTCCTATTCCTCAATAATCTCTGCTAGCCTGCCCTCTTCTATTCTTCATGAATCTCTGCTAGCCTGCCCTCTCCTATTCCTCAATAATCTCTGCTAGCCTGCCCTCTCCTTTTCCTCAATAATCTCTGCTAGCCTGCCCTCTCCTATTCCTCATGAATCTCTGCTAGCCTGCCCTCTCCTATTCCTCAATAATCTCTGCTAGCCTGCCCTCTCCTATTCCTCAATAATCTCTGCTAGCCTGCCCTCTCCTATTCCTCAATAATCTCTGCTAGCCTGCCCTCTCATATTCCTCAACAATCTCTGCTAGCCTGCCCTCTCCTTTCTTCAACAATCTCTGCTAGCCTGCCCTCTCCCATCCTCAGGAATCTCTGCTAGCCTGCCCTCCTCTCCTTCGTGCTCTGATCCACATAAATCATAATTTGCATATAATCAATTAGAATCCGGAAACGAGACAGTCAGCATTGGAGTGCCGGTACAAAAGCCGCGCGCTTTGGCTGAAGCTCATATACTGACTTCTAACTCACAACCCTACTTACCCGAATTGATGACAACTTCTGAATTGACGGTACGTGATGCAATGCTCTTTCTCATCGTCAAGCCTTTGACCAGGGGTGTTCCGCCGGAATTATCGTATTTTAGAATGAAAGTGAGCTGATGAGACGGGTTGAAGCCGCCTACCTCGAATTCGGGAGGTGCGCTGCCGAGGAAAGCGCAGCAACTTCGGATCTGGCGACGGAGGTATTGCATTATTCACCTGCTAAAAATTAGAAGAGGACTCTAGATAACCCCCCCCAGCCGGCCCCCAACTTTTATATCTCGGCTTCCTGTTCATCTACAGGTGTGTAAAGTATACCAAAATACTCGCGAGAGCAAGACGAACATTTTCGTATACTTTACACACCTGTAGATGAACAGGGAGCCGAGATACAACAGTTTGGTGCCTGCTGGGGGTGGGGGTGGGGTATCTGGAGTTCAGCCTTATTAGAAGAATTACAGCTAATTAGCTCGGGCAGAAATTCGAAATTTTTGCTTTTTTGATTAATATTGATTATTATATTTATTTATAGGCGAAATTATATTGACTATGTTGATTTAACTCAAAATATTGTGATTGTATTGTAATTGAAATTTTTGACGGAAAAATCTTCGCAATTTTGAAGTTGTTTGTTATTGGTTTTTGTATATTTAAAAACTACAAAACACAAACATTGGCGGTTTTTTTACCATAAATGGTCGACTTCTGACCAAAATTTCAACAGAAATTTTGTGTTTTTAGGTTTTTTTGACGGTTTCATTGCATTTCGTTTCATTGACAGTTTCCAAAAAGGTTACATTTTGCAAACTAGACGTTTCCGGACGATTAGAAAAATAGATGCGAAAGCACCAGACGAAGTTTCTTACGTGTTGTTGCAGACCGCTCATCTCCTCTGCGCCGACAAATTCCTCAGGCTTGTGACGAAGGAGGAGGCGGATGCGGTGCTGCTCGAGTGGACGCAGCAAGACAAGGAACGGCTGAAGAACGGGAAGTACGCGACGTGCCCAGCATCGACCATCGACGTGGGGTTCTTTTCGCTTAACGGGGGGAGGAAGGGGGTTACAGGGGGAATTTTCTGACTTTGATCAAAAATATATGAAAAATTACAAAAAGTGTCAAAAGTTTCGCATTGTGGCACTTTAAAAAACCTTTTTTATAATTTACCAGCGACATTTTGCAGACGCTCACATCCGCTGAGCATGATGTGCCCGTGCTGCCCAAATGGCTCCAGATGGCAATGTGGACTGCCGAACGTAACGCCCGGGAGCAGTACGAGAAGGTTACCGTCAAGGACCTGGCCAAGGTAGCTTTGATCGATTGACTAAATTCGATCCTGGTACTTTCGCGATTTTTGCTGTATGGCCAGAAATGCTTAATAACTTAGTAGTAACTAGTTCATAGTGTTTTCACTAAAAGTTCACGATATCTCAAGTAGAAAAAAGCTTTGAACCTCTTTTGCAGTCGGTCAAGAAGACGCTGCGGGCGCGCGTCGACGACGCGAAAGAACGATGGCAAGACGCCCGGAAAGAGACGTTGGCCTCATACGAGCGCTACGAAGAATTCGTGGGTTTCGGTCCGCTGGTGGCCCAAGCCTAAGCTAAGATTAAGCCCGAGCCACGCCTAGACTAAGCCTAAGCCTGAGCCATGCCTGAGCCTGAGCTTAAGCCTAAGCCTGAGCTTAAGGCTAGCCTAAGCCTAGCCAAAGCCTGAGCCAAAGCCTAAGATTAGCACTTACGTGGCTGATAGGAAATGTTCGTATTCTCCCTCCCCCCCGATAATGGAAAAGGTTTCAGGCATCGGCGGCTACGGCGCAAACGTTAGAGCAGGTGGAGACAAAGCAGCAGCTCGTCAGAGACTTCGAAAAGGCCAACCACGGGAAGAAGACCACGACGGTTGCCCGTCTCGCGCAGGTATGTATTATTTATCTGGAATTTTCCAAGTTTTAAATATTTTTTTGAAACTTTCTATTTGCCATAGAAAGGGGCGTAAAATGAAATGAAAAAGTTCAAAAAATCCCTGGCCCTACGGTTAATCTTATATTCATTTCAGGTGCCGTCGGCCGTCGACTTCAAGCCGTACTACCGGAAGCGGGACTTTGACTTCGGACCGTTCTACAGGATGCCCGACGACCTCGACTCCGAAAACACCACGTCTGAAGTCGAGGAAGCGCTGCGAAGACCGCCGTGCGCCTGTGACCAAACGGTTGGAACATCATTTACCGACTTTCCCAGCGCCAATAACAAAACCTCGGTGCTGGACTGTTAGCGGGGGGCCCAACGTTTCTCCCGTCATACACGTACCATCCTATAGCGAAATGTAAACTTTTTATGCGTTAGATGGTGAAAAGCACGTATTTTTGTCATTTTCGTCAAAAATGACGCCCAAGGTAAAATCTTAGAGTTTCAAAAAATGTTCAATATTGCAGTTGGCCGAAATCTCGGCTTCGGAGGACGCGCGTGAGAAGAACGAGACCAAGCCTCCCCAGCCCGCCGGAGAACCGGATGATGCGACGCGCATTGCCACCGACCCTACGCACCCCCCGCTGGACATCTCGGATACGGTTGGGGCATTTACTGATAAAATTCAATTTAATAAAAATCTCGTTAGACTTGTAATTTTCGCTTTTTTAGCTTTTTTAAGGCTTTTCTCGACGACATTCGATATAGCATTGAAAAATATAGTAATAATTGTATAACGAAATTAGCGGGCGCAAAGGGAAGCTCTAGACAAAATTGTTCCCCCCCCCCGCTAACGAGTCAGTGCCAGAATCCCACCTTTTGGGGGCACACAGTAAGGGCACCGTGACGCTCCCTAATTTGCATACAAAAAAGGCGTACTTGTGACAAAATATGAATTGCAGAACGTGCACAATGGAGATGCGGGCGAAGGCTCGACAAAGAAGGTGGAGAAGGCGCAAGAATCGGCGGGTGCCCGCACCATCCCACGGGTGCTTTTCGACGGGATGCTCGGCCACTTTAACCTGCTGACGCCCCCCACTGATTGATTTTCTTATCTTTTGTCATTGATTTTCCTTCTTACCGGCAATAAACGATTCACAGCTGGGGTTCTTTTTTAAATCTCCGAAAATCCGGTTCTTTCGCAATAACGGGGCGGGGGGACCAGCTTCTTTTTCTAATGATCTAATTTTCAAGAATAAATAGTGGAATTGTTTCTAAACGGTTTTTTCATTTTTGCAAAGCTTTTATATAGTTTCAATCGTTTCATATAGCTGATTTTACTCACACTATTAAAGCACTTTCAGGTCCCACTGCTGGACTTATGAAAAAAGTTCGCCCCCCGATAATGCGAAAGACCCAAGACCAGAATCCGTATTCCAACCTTTCCACATCAATAATTTTCAGCTTTCGCTACTTTTCCGATTAAAACATAATGATTAGACCTAGCAACCGGGCCGGGGGGGGGGATAGACTAGATTCTTGCCGCAGTCAAATCCGGTCACCTGGCGATGCCCTCTAAACTTCCTTATTGCAGACTGAGCTGAAGGCTGAACGACGTGGTCGGCATGAACAATATACGGTAATTCCGGTCCATTCCATCCAACTCGTTTCAGGGCCGTCATGTGTGCACAAAATGTGGACCGGAGAAAGGAGTGCAAGACACCACAACGAAGTTCGGACCGCCGCTGTGTAAACCGTGCGGCAAGGCCTACTGGTTGGTGCTTAGATGTAGAGCTTAACCCATAAAAACGCGCCGGCCTGCCACACACGGCGCCCCAGGCGAAGGAAAAGGCGGTCGCTCTCAGGATGCGCACTGGTTGGCCTACGCGAGGCTCCTATGTGCGCCGAGTGAAAACTTCGAACCCTTGTAAATTAAAGCCTGTGACCCTTGTAACCCTGCCGGCTTAAAGCTACGGACTCATAGGATAGCAGGGGAACAAAATAGAATAGACACAAAAATTGAGCAAAATCTATGGGCAGCACATAGGATAACGGGAGTGAGGGACATATTTTTGGCGTTTTGAATATTTAGATATTTTGAAAATCCCATTCGATAGAGGGCCGAAAAATATACTAAGAGCTTTTTCTATAGCCCGAAAAAAGCATATTTCAAAAATACTTTTATCATAAAATAACTTTGAGTGCCCCCCCCCCGTTATCCCCCCCCCCCTCGCTATCCTATGTGTACCTAAAGCTACAAACTAAAAGCGTGGGATTGTAGAGCTGATTTTTCCGACAGAAATTCTGGTGGGGCGGTGGGGGGAAGGGGGGGTATTAAGGTGATCAAAAAAAAGAACGGCTTTGTGCCCACAACTTCTAAATACAGTTTAGAAAGCGCTTCGCGCCAAATGAGGTGACGCATCTTGCCCTACAACTTTGGAACCACTTTTTGCATTTACAATCTGCTATGTATAAATTTCTAATGTCCGTGCGCCCGTCCGTCCAGGAATTCAGCTAAATTCTGCATTCAAATTCAAAATTCAAATTGTGGCGGGGGGGAGGAAGGGCCAGCGCTGAAACCCCGCGTAGCGGGGTGTCAGCGCTGGTTCCATTACAAAGTTACAAGGCTCTAAAGTTTTTCTCCCATACATTTTTTTGGCTTGAAGTTTGTAGCCCTGTGCACAAGCAAACATATCCATTGGGGGTACTGGACTGTTAGCCGGGGGGACTGACATAGGAAACCAAATTTTCCACAATAATCCTGACCGACCCATTCCAGTAATGCCCGCTCACGCGCCCAGGGCCGGGCCCAATGCTCCGGTGAATGGTGCAAAGGAGAACGTGTGTTTGCCTTAACCACCGATCACCAATTCTGAACTTTTTAGGCCTTTGTGGCTTCTGCGTCTTCGAGAAAGTATGGACCGTCCTCGGCTTCGAGCTAGTGCCTAAGAAGACCAAGGCGAAGAGTCGAGTCACACCGGAAGTAGGCGAAGTTTCCTCGGATTTTAAAAAGGATTCAAAAGGAATAAAATTGTAGCTTATTAATCTTAAGGAGCCAGAAAGCCAAGATTTCATAGATAAACCTCCCCAAAGAAGTCGGACCAGAGCTCCCCCAAGAAGTCGCCCAAGTCGTCCAAGTCGTCCAAGTCGTCCAAGTCGTCCAAGTCGTCCAAGTCGTCCAAGTCGAGTCAGTCCGGAAATCAGCGGAGTTTCCTCGGGGGGCTTAGAGCAAATGGAAAGACAACTACAACGATGGATTTTGGAGTTGTGGTTGATAGGGCAAATGAATAGATATGTTGCATTTAGAGCGAGTCTAACAGGAATACATTAGTTCCTCTGCCTCCCATCAATGAGCCTTTTTGCAGCAATTCCCCGAGGAAGACGACAATGGCGGCAGCGATCCGATGATGCGCGCATAGAGCAGCGACGACTCCGAGCCGTTCAGCCATTCCCTTTTGCTCCCACCATCCATTACTGTGCAATAAAGTTGGCTACACTACTGTACTATTGACAGAATGCAAAATACACCAAATGACATACCGGAACTGTGCCGTCTGGCTTTTAAAGAGGAGCACAAGCGAGGTTTTGGCTTTCAAGTAAGAAGCCAGGCGGTTAAGCAGGCAGGCGTGACATGAAGAAACCAGCCGCGTCGGAAAAGAGTTTCAGCTGGCGTTCCCTCTCCTATTCCTCACGAATCTCTGCTAGCCTGCCCTCTCCTATTCCTCATGAATCTCTGCTAGCCTGCCCTCTCCTATTCCTCATGAATCTCTGCTAGACTGCCCTCTCCTATTCCTCATGAATCTCTGCTAGCCTGCCCTCTTCTATTCTTCATGAATCTCTGCTAGCCTGCCCTCTCCTATTCCTCATGAATCTCTGCTAGCCTGCCCTATTCTATTCTTCATGAATCTCTGCTAGCCTGCCCTCTCCTATTCCTCATGAATCTCTGCTAGCCTGCCCTCTCCTATTCTTCATGAATCTCTGCTAGACTGCCCTCTCCTATTCCTCATGAATCTCTGCTAGAATGCCCTCTCCTATTCCTCAATAATCTCTGCTAGCCTGCCCTCTCCTATTCCTCATGAATCTCTGCTAGACTGCCCTCTCCTATTCCTCATGAATCTCTGCTAGCCTGCCCTATTCTATTCTTCATGAATCTCTGCTAGCCTGCCCTCTCCTATTCTTCATGAATCTCTGCTAGACTGCCCTCTCCTATTCCTCATGAATCTCTGCTAGAATGCCCTCTCCTATTCCTCAATAATCTCTGCTAGCCTGCCCTCTCCTATTCCTCATGAATCTCTGCTAGACTGCCCTCTCCTATTCCTCATGAATCTCTGCTAGCCTGCCCTATTCTATTCTTCATGAATCTCTGCTAGCCTGCCCTCTCCTATTCCTCATGAATCTCTGCTAGACTGCCCTCTCCTATTCCTCATGAATCTCTGCTAGCCTGCCCTATTCTATTCTTCATGAATCTCTGCTAGCCTGCCCTCTCCTATTCCTCATGAATCTCTGCTAGACTGCCCTCTCCTATTCCTCATGAATCTCTGCTAGACTGCCCTCTCCTATTCCTCATGAATCTCTGCTAGCCTGCCCTCTCCTATTCCTCATGAATCTCTGCTAGCCTGCCCTCTCCTATTCCTCATGAATCTCTGCTAGACTGCCTGCCATTGGGTAAACGGGCCCTATTTCCCTTTATTTCACTGTTTTTGAATATTTCGCGGGAGGTGAGCATGAGGCGGCGGAGGAGGCGGAAGGATTTTGCGAAGTGTTGATGAGGCAAGTTGTTATTGCTGTATTCCCGGGGGCTACGTTCCGCTTCTTGTTCCGGGGTGTCATGGACGCTGCCTCTCAGGTCGCATCTGAAAAAGGTAGCAGTTGATTTAGCTTCTTTTCACGTCGTAACTGGTTGTGAGATAATGACAGCTTAAGCTCAGGCTTATGTTTTTTTTTTTTTCAGAGATTCATGAGGGATACGAGAGGGCAGGCTAGCAGAGATTCATGAGGAATAGGAGAGGGCAGTCTAGCAGAGATTCATGAGGAATAGGAGTGGGCAGGCTAGCAGAGATTCATGAAGAATAGAAGAGGGCAGGCTAGCAGAGATTCATGAGGAATACGAGAGGGCAGGCTAGCAGAGATTCATGAAGAATAGAAGAGGGCAGGCTAGCAGAGATTCATGAGGAATACGAGAGGGCAGGCTAGCAGAGATTCATGAAGAATAGAAGAGGGCAGGCTAGCAGAGATTCATGAGGAATAGGAGAGGGCAGGCTAGCAGAGATTCATGAGAAATAGGAGAGGGCAGGCTAGCAGAGATTCATGAGGAATACGAGAGGGCAGGCTAGCAGAGATTCATGAAGAATAGAAGAGGGCAGGCTAGCAGAGATTCATGAAGAATAGAAGAGGGCAGGCTAGCAGAGATTCATGAAGAATAGAAGAGGGCAGGCTAGCAGAGATTCATGAGGAATACGAGAGGGCAGGCTAGCAGAGATTCATGAAGAATAGAAGAGGGCAGGCTAGCAGAGATTCATGAGGAATAGGAGAGGGCAGGCTAGCAGAGATTCATGAAGAATAGAAGAGGGCAGGCTAGCAGAGATTCATGAAGAATAGAAGAGGGCAGGCTAGCAGAGATTCATGAGGAATAGGAGAGGGCAGGCTAGCAGAGATTCATGAGGAATAGGAGAGGGCAGGCTAGCAGAGATTCATGAAGAATAGAAGAGGGCAGGCTAGCAGAGATTCATGAGGAATAGGAGAGGGCAGGCTAGCAGAGATTCATGAGGAATAGGCAGACATGGCAATCGGCCGGGCCGCGCGGCTTTTTCGGCCGCAAAAATTAGAATGCGGCCGGGCCGCGCGGCTTGGCCGCACTTCCGGTGGGCCGCGGCTTTTTCCGTTTTGAGGCCGCACGGCGGCCAAGCCGCGCGGCTTTTAAGGCCGCATCCAAATGAGTTTTGAGAACTTCCGGTACGCAAATCCGAGATGTAATGGGTATTTAGCTTGCTAACGAGGAGGATTTATTTTCGACAGCCTTAATTTTCTCATTTCCATTTCCATTTCGCATGAAATTCGCGGATTTTTGGTATGTAGAAGAGCTACTTCCGGTTTGCGGCTTGGCCGCGGCGGCCCGGCCGAGCCGCGATAAAAATGCGGCTCGGCCGCGAAGCCGCGTTTCCGGAAGTAACTAATTACGGCGGCTCGTAGGGGGCCGCGTTTTTTATGGAAATTAGGCCGCCGGCCCGGCCGCGCGGCTCGGCCGATCGGAATTGCCATGTCTGGGAATAGGAAAGGGCAGGCTAGCAGAGATTCATGAGGAATACGAGAGGGCAGGCTAGCAGAGATTCATGAGGAATAGGAGAGGGCAGGCTAGCAGAGATTCATGAAGAATAGAAGAGGGCAGGCTAGCAGAGATTCATGAGGAACAGGAGAGGGCAGGCTAGCAGAGATTCATGAGGAATAGGAAAGGGCAGGCTAGCAGAGATTCATGAAGAATAGAAGAGGGCAGGCTAGCAGAGATTCATGAAGAATAGAAGAGGGCAGGCTAGCAGAGATTCATGAAGAATGGGCTTCGCTTACACTTCCGAAAATCTGATTCCCGAAAATTCGTTTCCCGAAAATCCGATTCCCGAAAATCGAATTCCCGAAAAATCCGAATCCCGAAAAATCTGAATCCCGAAAATCTGAATCCCGAAAATTCGGTTCCCGAAAAATCTGAATCCCGAAAAATTCGTTTCCCGAAAATATGTTTCCCGAAAAATCTGAATCTGAAGAATCTGCGGTTTGAAACTGAAAAAAAACCCTGGTACAATTCAACGAGGCGGGGGGAGGGAGATTCAGGCGGGGGGCAATCTGCGTCTCAGCGCCCGCCCTGCTCTCTAGGCACCCCCTCTGCCTATAGGCCCACCCCCCCCCCCCCGCCGAAATCCTCACCCCCGCCTATTTGAATTGTACCAAAACCCTTTCTAAAGTTCCTGGGCGACTTCCAAGACGGTGAATTCAATAAAGTTAATTTTTCAATTTGTTTTCTTCGAATTTGGCTTTTCAGAACGCGGTCTTTCCAGGGTTGGATTCTGGGGCTCGGATTTTTCGGGATTCAGATTTTCGGGAATCGGATTTTCGAGAACCGGATTTTCGGAAAACGGATTTTTCGGGATTCAGATTGTTCGGGATTCAGATTTTCGGGAATCAGATTTTCGGGAAACAGATTTTCGGGATTCTCATCGGAAATCATGAAGAATAGAAGAGGGCAGGCTAGCAGAGATTCATGAAGAATAGAAGAGGGCAGGCTAGCAGAGATTCATGAGGAATAGGAGAGGGCAGGCTAGCAGAGATTCATGAAGAATAGAAGAGGGCAGGCTAGCAGAGATTCATGAGGAATAGGAGAGGGCAGGCTAGCAGAGATTCATGAGGAATAGGAGAGGGCAGGCTAGCAGAGATTCGTGAGGAATAGGAGAGGGAACGCCAGCTGAAACTCTTTTCCGACGCGGCTGGTTTCTTCATGTCACGCCTGCCTGCTTAACCGCCTGGCTTCTTACTTGAAAGCCAAAACCTCGCTTGTGCTCCTCTTTAAAAGCCAGACGCCACAGTTCCGGTATGTCATTTGGTGTATTTTGCATTCTGTCAATAGTACAGTAGTGTAGCCAACTTTATTGCACAGTAATGGATGGTGGGAGCAAAAGGGAGGTGGCTGAACGGCTCGGAGTCGTCGCTGCTTTAGACGCGCATCATCGGATCGCCGCCGCCATTGTCGTCTTCCTCGGGGAATTGCTGCAAAAAGGCACATTAATGGGAGGTGAACGATTCACTTACGGGATGTCATTAATGCTAGAGGGAATCCCTAATGATGACTGCTAGTTGGCTAGTTGATACCTTTGTCTGTTGGAACATGTTGTCGTGCGCCTCGTTCGGGTTGACGGGTGGGGGCCTCGGCTTCTTCGACACCTTCGGATTCTCACCTGAAATGAGTTCGGTTGGGGAGCCAGACTTCCAGGTTCCTTGAAGATCCGAACTCTATCGATTCTTGCCTTCGCAACCCCTTTAACCCGCCAGGAAAGACTGCCTACTTCCGGTGTGACTTGACTTGGAAGACTTTGACGACTTCGTAGACTTTTTGGCTGCCTTCTTGTCTGCCTTCTTCGACGAGGTCGACTTGTTCTTCTTCTTCTTCTTCTTGCTTCCGTGCGTCATGCAGTAGATGACTAAATAGTTTCAGTTTCCTCGACAATATTCGTCCATACGTGTGACAACGATGATCAGCACCAGACAGCCGACCAAGCCGCACACGACGATGATGATGATGAGGAGGACGTGGCCTTTGTCTTCGGTCGGGAGAGCTAAAAAGATGACAGTAGGGAGAGAGAGAGATAGAGAGAGAGAGAGAGAGAGAGAGAGAGAGTGATTCAGAAGATCCAACCTTTTTCCGTGGCTCCATTCTTCTTTTTCCCCTCTTGCTCCCATGCCTGTTGCTCCGCCTTTGAATACAGTGTACACAGTCCGTCGTCTCGAATCGACTTGATCGTCATGTACGGCGTGCAGATGTCCGGATGACTGGTGTTGATCGCTTTGCACGGGTGATGGCCGGGCTTGTCGGTGCATTCTAATTAAGAGTGAATTCTCGCTCTCTCTCGCTCTCTTTCTCTCTCGCTCTCTACACTCTCTCTATCTCTCTCTCACTTTTCTTCCATATACAGCTCTGCGTTTGACCGTCGTATCCATGCAACTTCGTGTTCGACACGCACACTGCCAGCCCCCTCTTGCCGCAGTTGATGTTCATTATCGAGCAATCTAAATGTATGAACTTGTTATATTCGCTACGAGACCCACTGGCAAATCTCCAAACGGCGGGTGTTGCGTGATTTCCTTCAATGTTGCCGAGTAGATCAACAGGGACACAAGTATCAATCCCATTCAAGCTGATCGGCACTTGGCCACTCGCGCAATCTGAAAATTCGATTCCTCACTGGTCTCTGCTAGCTTGCCCATCCCAACCAGTGCGTAATTCTAATCTGCGCCCAGCTACCGTACCTGCCGCCACACACGTCTTGGTGTCCTTCTGGGCGCTGGCACCGCTCAAACACACCAGCTGGCCGCCCTTCCCCTCGCATGGGATGTCACCGGCATGGCAGCTGCCTAAAAAGTACCCAATTACAGTAGTCCAGAAGATAGAAGAATCGAAGTGAAAAAATCGAAATCCTCGCCTTGATCCCCTCCGGTCAACAGCAATACCCCGGCGCTGAGCAGTGAGAACAGAAGGAAAATCATCATTGTGATCTGCAAAGGAAATATCAAAATTTTGGATAAAATTTCGACGAACCTTAGAGTCTAGAGAAAAGTAGAAATTCCAATTATGATATGAATTTCCTGTTAGAAAGAATCCCTAATGATGACTGCTAGTTGGCTAGTTGATACCTTTGTCTGTTGGAACATGTTGTCGTGCGCCTCGTTCGGGTTGACGGGTGGGGGCTTCGGCTTCTTCGACACCTTCGGATTCTCACCTGGAAGGAATTCGTTTGGGGAGACAGACTTCCAGGTTCCTTTAAAATTAAGATCCGAAATCCATCGATTCTTGCCTTCACTCCCTTTAAAATTAAGAATGCTCCAGCTTCGAAATCCGTCGTTTTTGCCTTCACAAGCCCTTTAAACTCGCCAGGAATTTGCGCTTACTTCCGTTGTGAGTAGATTTGGTTGACTTGGACGACTTCCCGCCCATCTTCTCGTCCATCTTCGTCGAGGAGACCGACTTGTTCGAACTGCTGGGTAGTTTCTTGCCCGCTTTCACCGACTCCTTGTCCGTCTTCTTCGACTCGTCCGCCTTGTTCGACTTGTTGGGTGATTTGCGATCCTTCTTCTTCGGGGAGGTCGAATTGTTAGACTTGTTGGCGTTGATGATGGTGGGGATAGGGCCGACGTTGAGACCACCTAAAAAGCGGGTTTAGGGGGCTTCTATGGGAACCTACTTTTCACGGTAGCCGGCTTAACCGAGAGGGCTTCTTCACTGGTGGCAGCGGGCGGGGCGGGCAAGAACTCGTGGGCGGACACCTGAACGTCGGATGAATCCGAATGGCTCGAGAAGGACTGGGATCCGAGCCCGGCCCAAGCACATTCTTACCTGCACGAATCGGGCCTTCGGCTCCGGAAGAAACATCTCGTTGAAGTTGGAATACAGCTCCAGAGTGTCTTTGCGACAGTCGGCTTGCTTATACTTGCACCTCTTCGTGTCATCCTTCTGAAAATGGAAGATGGCCAAGATTAGTGAAAAGCGAGATGCTATTCGCTATGTCTGCTAGCTTTTAGTAGTGTTTTTGGCCAAATTTAACTAAATTTCAAGTGAAGAACCCCGGAAAAATTACGTAGAAATTTGCTTCGTTGAAATTTCGTCGAAAACTGTCGATTTTTGCTCGAAAAATAGATATATTCTCGGTCTTTTCAATCAAAATTTTGTAAAGTTTTCTGTGTTTAGGAACCGAAACCAAAAAAAGAAACCGAAATAAGCTAAAATACCAAGCTAAAATATCTAGATTTTTGTTAAATTGAATTGTTACAGTAAATGTCTAGGCTTCGGCTAGACTTAGGTCTAGGCGCAGGTTTCGCTTAGGCTTAGGCTTAGGCAAGGCCTAAGCTCAGGAATAAGCTAGGCTCCAGTCCAGGCTTGGCTCCGGCTTAAGCTTAGCTTAGGCCACGAGCAGACCGGAACCCACCAAGTTCAAGTAGCGCTCAAATGCCTCCTTCGTCTCCTCCTGCGTTTCTTCCCACCGTTCTTTGGCGTCGTCGACGCGCTCCCGCAGCGTCCTCTTGACCACCTGCAAAAAGAGGTTCAAAGCTTTTTCTACTTGAGATATCGTGAACTTTTAGTGAAAACACTATGAACTAGTTACTACTAAGTTATTAAGCATTTCTGGCCATACAGCAAAAATCGCGAAAGTACCAGGATCGAATTTAGTCAATCGATAAAAGCTACCTTGGCGAGGTCTTTGATGGTGGCCGTCTCGTAAAGCTCGCGGGCTTGACGCTCGCCCTCGCACAGTGCCAGCTGGAACCATTTGGGCAGCGCGGGCACATCATGCTCAGCGGATGTGAGCGTCTGCAAAATGTCGCTGGTAAATTATCAAAAAGGTTTTTTAAAGTAAACCAGGGTTAAAAGCCGCTTCGCGACTTTTCAACCCTGGCCCCGTCTGACCCCATTTTATCTTTCACTTTGATTAATTTTCCTGAATGCAGAGGACAAAAAATGAAAAACTATCCCTTCTGCCCCTTTATATAGTCGAAGCCCCCACTTCCGGTCTATGCTAATTATTCCTAACAAAGAAGTTTTCACAAAAACTTAAATTTATTGTCGAAAATAGGTGATTTTGTTAAATATCATGTGCGTGCAAGTCATCTCAAGACCTTGGTGCTGGATTCCCCCTGCACCCCTCGTCCCCCCCCCGTTAAGCGGAAAGAACCCCACGTCGATGGTAGATCGGGGGCACGTCGCGTAGCCTCCGTTCCTCAGCCGTTCCTTGTCAAGCTCGGCCCACTCGAGCAGCACCGCATCGGCCTCCTCCTTCGTCACCAGCCTGAGGAATTTGTCGACGCAAAGAAGATGGGCTGCCTGCAAAACCACGTAAGAATCGTCGTCCGGTGCGCGGGTTGTATAATGCAAGGTAAGAGTTTACTTTACCCCCCCCCCCCCACAGCCGAAGAGTGTCAGAGTTTTCGGTATTTTCGCTTATTTTGTCGGGATTTTTGCAACGCCATTCGATAGAGCGTCGAAAAATATACAAAGAGTTTTAATTTCAGCCTACAATACTGTAAAATAAAAACGTTATAGCCAAAAAAAAGTCCCGGCTGGGGGGTAAAATAAACCGTAGCCTAATGCCATACTTCTGTCGCCAAGACCGAAGTTGCCGCGCTTTCTTCTGCCGAGCACCTCCCGAAATCCAGGTACGCGGCCTCGACGCGGCGGATCGCTTCACTAGGATTCTAAAATACGGTAATTCCGGAGGAAAACCCTTGGACAAAGGCTGACGATAAGAAAGAAGGAGGAATTTCGGCTGCACTGCAGATAACCCCCCCAGGCGGCCCTAACTTTTGTACCTCGGCTCCCTGTTCATCTACAGGTGTGTAAAATATACAAAAATGATCGTCTTGCTCTGGCAAGTATTTTGGCATACTTTACACACCTGTAGATGAACAGGGTGCAGAGATAAAAAAGTTGGGAGCCGGGTGGGGGGGGGTATCTGGAGTTCAGCCCCTCCTCGACCTCAGACGTGGTGACTTCGGTGTCAGAGTCGTCGGGCATCCTGTAGTACGCCCCGTCAAAGTCCCGCTTCTTGTAGTACGGTTTGAAGTCGACGGCCGACGGCACCTGAAATGAATATAAGATTAACCGTATGGCCAGGGGTTTTTGAACTTTTTCATGCCATTTTACGCCCCTTTCTATGGTAAATAGAAAGTTTAAAAAAAATTAGTTAAAACTTGGAAAGTCCCAGATAAATAATACATACCTGTGCCAGGCGGGGAACCGTCCTGGGCTTTTTCCCATAATTAGCCCTTTCGAAATCTCTGACGAGCTGCTCCTTTGTCTCCACCTGCCCTAACGTCTGCGCCGTAGCCGCCGACGCCTGAAACCTTTTGCGGTATATGTCGGCTACGCGGGGGGATTTTACGCGGGGGGACGGGACAGGCAGGCCTTTTGGATGTTTTCGTTATTTTCTCGGAATTTTCGCAACGACATTCGATAGAGCATCGAAAAATATACTAAGAGTTTTTGTTTTAGCTAAAATTAGTGTAATATAAAAAAGTTATGGCAAATACAAAAATCAGCTTTGAAAATCGGTTTGAGCGGCTGTTTTTCGATATTCGCGATATTTTTTCGACATTTTAAAGATGCCATTCGATAGAGCATCCAAAAATATCCTAAGAGTTTTAATTTTAGCTCAAAATAATGTAATATAAAATAGTTATAACCGAAACAAGTATTAAACGTTGTTTTCATGGAGGATATACAAGGAAATCAAATTTTCGACATTTTCGACATTTTCGACATTTTACAAAATTTCTTTAGTGCCATTCGACAGAGCGTCAAAAAATATACTAAGAGTTTTGTTTGTAGCAAAAAGAAACGCAAAAAAATAGTTAGCTCGGCCCCAACAGTCCGTCCCCCCCGCGTAAATTTCCCCCGCGTAGCCGACATATACCACCTTTTGCATTATCGGGGGGGGGGGGGCCGGGGGATACGAACATTTCCTATCAGCCACGTAAGTGCTAATCTTAGGCTTTGGCTCAGGCTTTGGCTAGGCTTAGGCTTAAGCTTAGTCTAGGCTTTGGGTTAGGCTAGGCTTAGGTTCAGGCTTAAGCTAGGCTCAAGCTTAGCTTAAGCTTAGGCCACGAGCGGATCGGAACCCACCAATCGCCAGTAGCGCTCATATGCTTCTTTCTTCTCCTCACGCATTTCCTGCCATCTCTCAACGGCATCGTCGGCTCGCAACTGCAGCGTCGATTTCACCAACTGCAATAGGGGTTCTAAGTTTTTTTGCTACTGAGATATAGTGGACTTTCAGTGAAAACACTATGAATTACCGATGGCGTTGCAAAAATCCCGAGAAACGAGCGAAAATTTTGAATTTCTGCCCGAGCGAATTAGCTTTTATTTTTTTAGATTTTTAGCAGGCAACCATAGGCAGATAATGCAATACATCCGTAGATAGTTCCATCTTAGCAACCGATTCGGCGTTAGAGCATCTCCCGAAATCCACGTAGGCAGCTTCAACGCGACGCATCATTTCACTCGGATTCTAAAATACGATAATTCCGGAGGAGCAAAGGCTTGACGATGAGAAACAGCATTGCGTCACGTACCGATAATTTGGAAGATGCCATTGGGGTAGGGTAGTTGGAAGTTGGTATCTTTATAGTCAGTATATGAGCTTCGGCCAAAGCGCGCGGCTTTTGTACCGGCACTCCAATGCTGACTGTCTCGTTTTCGGATTCTAATTGATTATATGCAAATTATGATTTATGTGGATCAGAGCACGAAGGAGAGGAGGGCAGGCTAGCAGAGATTCCTGAGGATGGGAGAGGGCAGGCTAGCAGAGATTGTTGAGGAAGAGGAGAGGGCAGGCTAGCAGAGATTCATGAAGAATAGAAGAGGGCAGGCTAGCAGAGATTCATGAAGAATAGAAGAGGGCAGGCTAGCAGAGATTCATGAAGAATAGAAGAGGGCAGGCTAGCAGAGATACATGAAGAATAGAAGAGGGCAGGCTAGCAGAGATTCATGAAGAATAGAAGAGGGCAGGCTAGCAGAGATTCCTGAGGAATAGGAGAGGGCAGGCTAGCAGATATTCATGAAGAATAGAAGAGGGCAGGCTAGCAGAGATTCCTGAGGAATAGAAGAGGGCAGGCTAGCAGAGATTCATGAAGAATAGAAGAGGGCAGGCTAGCAGAGATTCCTGAGGAATAGGAGAGGGCAGGCTAGCAGAGATACATGAAGAATAGAAGAGGGCAGGCTAGCAGAGATTCCTGAGGAATAGGAGAGGGCAGGCTAGCAGATATTCATGAAGAATAGAAGAGGGCAGGCTAGCAGAGATTCCTGAGGAATAGGAGAGGGCAGGCTAGCAGATATTCATGAAGAATAGAAGAGGGCAGGCTAGCAGAGATTCATGAAGAATAGAAGAGGGCAGGCTAGCAGAGATTCATGAAGAATAGAAGAGGGCAGGCTAGCAGAGATTCCTGAGGAATAGGAGAGGGCAGGCTAGCAGATATTCATGAAGAATAGAAGAGGGCAGGCTAGCAGAGATTCCTGAGGAATAGAAGAGGGCAGGCTAGCAGAGATTCATGAAGAATAGAAGAGGGCAGGCTAGCAGAGATTCCTGAGGAATAGGAGAGGGCAGGCTAGCAGAGATACATGAAGAATAGAAGAGGGCAGGCTAGCAGAGATTCCTGAGGAATAGGAGAGGGCAGGCTAGCAGAGATTCCTGAGGAATAGGAGAGGGCAGGCTAGCAGAGATTCCTGAGGAATAGGAGAGGGCAGGCTAGCAGAGATTCCTGAGGAATAGGAGAGGGCAGGCTAGCAGAGATTCCTGAGGAATAGGAGAGGGCAGGCTAGCAGAGATACATGAAGAATAGAAGAGGGCAGGCTAGCAGAGATTCATGAAGAATAGAAGAGGGCAGGCTAGCAGAGATTCATGAAGAATAGAAGAGGGCAGGCTAGCAGAGATTCATGAAGAATAGAAGAGGGCAGGCTAGCAGAGATTCATGAAGAATAGAAGAGGGCAGGCTAGCAGAGATTCATGAAGAATAGAAGAGGGCAGGCTAGCAGAGATTCATGAAGAATAGAAGAGGGCAGGCTAGCAGAGATTCATGAAGAATAGAAGAGGGCAGGCTAGCAGAGATTCATGAAGAATAGAAGAGGGCAGGCTAGCAGAGATTCCTGAGGAATAGGAGAGGGCAGGCTAGCAGAGATTCATGAAGAATAGAAGAGGGCAGGCTAGCAGAGATTCATGAAGAATAGAAGAGGGCAGGCTAGCAGAGAGTCATGAAGAATAGAGGAGGGCAGGCTAGCAGAGATTCATGAAGAATAGAAGAGGGCAGGCTAGCAGAGATTCATGAAGAATAGAAGAGGGCAGGCTAGCAGAGATTCATGAAGAATAGAAGAGGGCAGGCTAGCAGAGATTCATGAAGAATAGAAGAGGGCAGGCTAGCAGAGATTCATGAAGAATAGAAGAGGGCAGGCTAGCAGAGATTCATGAAGAATAGAAGAGGGCAGGCTAGCAGAGATTCATGAAGAATAGAAGAGGGCAGGCTAGCAGAGATTCCTGAGGAATCGGAGAGGGCAGGCTAGCAGAGATTCATGAAGAATAGAAGAGGGCAGGCTAGCAGAGATTCATGAGCAATAGGAGAGGGCAGGCTAGCAGAGATTCATGAAGAATAGAAGAGGGCAGGCTAGCAGAGATTCATGAAGAATAGAAGAGGGCAGGCTAGCAGAGATTCATGAAGAATAGAAGAGGGCAGGCTAGCAGAGATTCATGAAGAATAGAAGAGGGCAGGCTAGCAGAGATTCATGAAGAATAGAAGAGGGCAGGCTAGCAGAGATTCATGAAGAATAGAAGAGGGCAGGCTAGCAGAGATTCATGAAGAATAGAAGAGGGCAGGCTAGCAGAGATTCATGAAGAATAGAAGAGGGCAGGCTAGCAGAGATTCATGAAGAATAGAAGAGGGCAGGCTAGCAGAGATTCCTGAGGAATCGGAGAGGGCAGGCTAAGCAGAGATTCATGAAGAATAGAAGAGGGCAGGCTAGCAGAGATTCATGAGCAATAGGAGAGGGCAGGCTAGCAGAGATTCATGAAGAATAGAAGAGGGCAGGCTAGCAGAGATTCATGAAGAATAGAAGAGGGCAGGCTAGCAGAGATTCCTGAGGAATCGGAGAGGGCAGGCTAGCCGAGATTCATGAAGAATAGAAGAGGGCAGGCTAGCAGAGATTCATGAAGAATAGAAGAGGGCAGGCTAGCAGAGATTCATGAATAATAGAAGAGGGCAGGCTAGCAGAGATTCCTGAGGAATCGGAGAGGGCAGGCTAGCAGAGATTCATGAAGAATAGAAGAGGGCAGGCTAGCAGAGATTCCTGAGGAATCGGAGAGGGCAGGCTAGCAGAGATTCAGGAAGAATAGAAGAGGGCAGGCTAGCAGAGATTCCTGAGGAATAGGAGAGGGCAGGCTAGCAGAGATTCATGAAGAATAGAAGAGGGCAGGCTAGCAGAGATTCATGAAGAATAGAAGAGGGCAGGCTAGCAGAGATTCATGAAGAATAGAAGAGGGCAGGCTAGCAGAGATTCATGAGCAATAGGAGAGGGCAGGCTAGCAGAGATTCATGAAGAATAGAAGAGGGCAGGCTAGCAGAGATTCATGAAGAATAGAAGAGGGCAGGCTAGCAGAGATTCATGAAGAATAGAAGAGGGCAGGCTAGCAGAGATTCATGAAGAATAGAAGAGGGCAGGCTAGCAGAGATTCATGAAGAATAGAAGAGGGCAGGCTAGCAGAGATTCATGAAGAATAGAAGAGGGCAGGCTAAGAGGCCCGTTTACCCGAATTAGGGCCCGTTTACCCGAATTAGGGCCCGTTTACCCGAATTAGGGCCCGTTTACCCGAATTAGGGCCCGTTTACCCGAATTAGGGCCCGTATAGGGAATTAGGGCCCGTTTACCCGATTTAGGGCCCGTTTACCCGAATTAGGGCCCGTATAGGGAATTAGGGCCCGTTTACCCGAATTAGGGCCCGTTTACCCGAATTAGGGCCCGTTTACCCGAATTAGGGCCCGTATAGGGAATTAGGGCCCGTTTACCCGATTTAGGGCCCGTTTACCCGAATTAGGGCCCGTTTACCCGAATTAGGGCCCGTATAGGGAATTAGGGCCCGTTTACCCGAATTAGGGCCCGTTTACCCGAATTAGGGGCCCGTTTACCCGAATTAGGGCCCGTTTACCCGAATTAGGGCCCGTTTACCCGAATTAGGGCCCGTTTACCCGGAATTAGGGCCCGTTTACCCGAATTAGGGCCCGTATAGGGAATTAGGGCCCGTTTACCCGAATTAGGGCCCGTTTACCCGAATTAGGGCCCGTTTACCCGAATTAGGGCCCGTTTACCCGAATTAGGGCCCGTTTACCCGAATTAGGGCCCGTTTACCCGAATTAGGGCCCGTATAGGGAATTAGGGCCCGTTTACCCGAATTAGGGCCCGTTTACCCGATTTAGGGCCCGTTTACCCGAATTAGGGCCCGTTTACCCGAATTAGGGCCCGTATAGGGAATTAGGGCCCGTTTACCCGAATTAGGGCCCGTTTACCCGAATTAGGGCCCGTATAGGGAATTAGGGCCCGTTTACCCGAATTAGGGCCCGTTTACCCGAATTAGGGCCCGTTTACCCGAATTAGGGCCCGTATAGGGAATTAGGGCCCGTTTACCCGAATTAGGGCCCGTTTACCCGAATTAGGGCCCGTATAGGGAATTAGGGCCCGTTTACCCGAATTAGGGCCCGTTTACCCGAATTAGGGCCCGTATAGGGAATTAGGGCCCGTTTACCCGAATTAGGGCCCGTTTACCCGAATTAGGGCCCGTTTACCCGAATTAGGGCCCGTTTACCCGAATTAGGGCCCGTATAGGGAATTAGGGCCCGTTTACCCGAATTAGGGCCCGTATAGGGAATAAGGGCCCGTTTACCCGAATTAGGGCCCTTATAGGGAATTAGGGCCCGTTTACCCGAATTAGGGCCCGTATAGGGAATTAGGGCCCGTTTACCCGAATTAGGGCCCGTATAGGGAATTAGGGCCCGTTTACCCGAATTAGGGCCCGTTTACCCGAATTAGGGCCCGTTTACCCGAATTAGGGCCCGTATAGGGAATTAGGGCCCGTTTACCCGAATTAGGGCCCGTATAGGGAATAAGGGCCCGTTTACCCGAATTAGGGCCCTTATAGGGAATTAGGGCCCGTTTACCCGAATTAGGGCCCGTTTACCCGAATTAGGGCCCGTATAGGGAATTAGGGCCCGTTTACCCGAATTAGGGCCCGTTTACCCGAATTAGGGCCCGTTTACCCGAATTAGGGCCCGTATAGGGAATTAGGGCCCGTTTACCCGAATTAGGGCCCGTATAGGGAATTAGGGCCCGTTTACCCGAATTAGGGCCCGTATAGGGAATTAGGGCCCGTTTACCCGCATTAGGGCCCGTTTACCCGAATTAGGGCCCGTTTACCCGAATTAGGGCCCGTATAGGGAATTAGGGCCCGTTTACCCGAATTAGGGCCCGTTTACCCGAATTAGGGCCCGTTTACCCGAATTAGGGCCCGTGTAGGGAATTAGGGCCCGTTTACCCGAATTAGGGCCCGTATAGGGAATTAGGGCCCGTTTACCCGAATTAGGGCCCGTATAGGGAATTAGGGCCCGTTTACCCGAATTAGGGCCCGTATAGGGAATTAGGGCCCGTTTACCCGAATTAGGGCCCGTTTACCCGAATCCTATTCGTCAACAATCTCTGCTAGCCTGCCCTCTCCTATTCCTCAACAATCTCTGCTAGCCTGCCCTCTCCTATTCCTCATGAATCTCTGCTAGACTGCCCTCTCCTATTCCTCATGAATCTCTGCTAGCCTGCCCTCTCCTCTTCCTCAACAATCTCTGCTAGCCTGCCCTCTCCTATTCCTCAACAATCTCTGCTAGCCTGCCCTCTCCTCTTCCTCAACAATCTCTGCTAGCCTGCCCTCTCCTATTCCTCAACAATCTCTGCTAGCCTGCCCTCTCCTATTCCTCAACAATCTCTGCTAGCCTGCCCTCTCCTCTTCCTCAACAATCTCTGCTAGCCTGCCCTCTCCTCTTCCTCAACAATCTCTGCTAGCCTGCCCTCTCCTATTCCTCAACAATCTCTGCTAGCCTGCCCTCTCCTATTCCTCAACAATCTCTGCTAGCCTGCCCTCTCCTATTCCTCAACAATCTCTGCTAGCCTGCCCTCTCCTCTTCCTCAACAATCTCTGCTAGCCTGCCCTCTCCTCTTCCTCAACAATCTCTGCTAGCCTGCCCTCTCCTATTCCTCAACAATCTCTGCTAGCCTGCCTTCTCCTCTTCCTCAACAATCTCTGCTAGCCTGCCCTCTCCTCTTCCTCAACAATCTCTGCTAGCCTGCCCTCTCCTATTCCTCAACAATCTCTGCTAGCCTGCCCTCTCCTCTTCTTGTCAACAATCTCTGCTAGCCTGCCCTCTCCTATTCCTCATGAATCTCTGCTAGACTGCCCTCTCCTATTTCTCATGAATCTCTGCTAGCCTGCCCTCTTCTATTCTTCATGAATCTCTGCTAGCCTGCCCTCTCCTATTCCTCAACAATCTCTGCTAGCCTGCCCTCTCCTATTCCTCAACAATCTCTGCTAGACTGCCCTCTCCTATTTCTCATGAATCTCTGCTAGCCTGCCCTCTCCTATTCCTCATGAATCTCTGCTAGCCTGCCCTCTCCTATTTCTCATGAATCTCTGCTAGCCTGCCCTCTCCTATTCCTCAACAATCTCTGCTAGCCTGCCCTCTCCTATTCCTCAACAATCTCTGCTAGACTGCCCTCTCCTATTTCTCATGAATCTCTGCTAGCCTGCCCTCTCCTATTCCTCAACAATCTCTGCTAGCCTGCCCTCTCCTATTCCTCAACAATCTCTGCTAGTCTGCCCTCTCCTATTCCTCAGGAATCTCTGCTAGCCTGCCCTCTCCTATTTCTCATGAATCTCTGCTAGCCTGCCCTCTCCTATTTCTCATGAATCTCTGCTAGCCTGCCCTCTCCCATTCCTCATGAATCTCTGCTAGCCTGCCCTCTCCTATTCCTCAGGAATCTCTGCTAGCCTGCCTTCTCCTATTCCTCAGGAATCTCTGCTAGCCTGCCCTCTCCTATTCCTCAGGAATCTCTGCTAGCCTGCCCTCTCCTATTCCTCAGGAATCTCTGCTAGCCTGCCCTCTCCTATTCCTCAGGAATCTCTGCTAGCCTGCCCTCTCCTATTCCTCATGAATCTGTGCTAGCCTGCCCTCTCCTCTTCCTCAACAAGCTCTGCTAGCCTGCCCTCTCCTCTTCCTCAACAATCTCTGCTAGCCTGCCTTCTCCTATTCCTCATGAATCTCTGCTAGCCTGCCCTCTCCTATTTCTCATGAATCTCTGCTAGCCTGCCCTCTCCCATTCCTCATGAATCTCTGCTAGCCTGCCCTCTCCTATTCCTCAGGAATCTCTGCTAGCCTGCCTTCTCCTATTCCTCAGGAATCTCTGCTAGCCTGCCCTCTCCTATTCCTCAGGAATCTCTGCTAGCCTGCCCTCTCCTATTCCTCAGGAATCTCTGCTAGCCTGCCCTCTCCTATTCCTCAGGAATCTCTGCTAGCCTGCCCTCTCCTATTCCTCAGGAATCTCTGCTAGCCTGCCCTCTCCTATTCCTCAGGAATCTCTGCTAGCCTGCCCTCTCCTATTCCTCAGGAATCTCTGCTAGCCTGCCCTCTCCTCTTCCTCAACAATCTCTGCTAGCCTGCCCTCTCCTATTCCTCAACAATCTCTGCTAGTCTGCCCTCTCCTATTCCTGATGAATCTGTGCTAGCCTGCCCTCTCCTATTCCTCAACAATCTCTGCTAGCCTGCCCTCTCCTCTTCCTCAACAATCTCTGCTAGCCTGCCCTCTCCTATTCCTCATGAATCTCTGCTAGACTGCCCTCTCCTATTTCTCATGAATCTCTGCTAGCCTGCCCTCTCCCATTCCTCATGAATCTCTGCTAGCCTGCCCTCTCCTATTCCTCAACAATCTCTGCTAGCCTGCCCTCTCCTATTCCTCATGAATCTCTGCTAGACTGCCCTCTCCTATTTCTCATGAATCTCTGCTAGCCTGCCCTCTCCCATTCCTCATGAATCTCTGCTAGCCTGCCCTCTCCTATTCCTCATGAATCTCTGCTAGCCTGCCCTCTCCTATTCCTCAGGAATCTCTGCTAGCCTGCCCTCTTCTATTCTTCATGAATCTCTGCTAGCCTGCCCTCTCCTATTCCTCAGGAATCTCTGCTAGCCTGCCCTCTCCTATTCCTCAGGAATCTCTGCTAGCCTGCCCTCTCCTATTCCTCAGGAATCTCTGCTAGCCTGCCCTCTTCTATTCTTCATGAATCTCTGCTAGCCTGCCCTCTCCTCTTCCTCAACAATCTCTGCTAGCCTGCCCTCTCCCATCCTCAGGAATCTCTGCTAGCCTGCCCTCCTCTCCTTCGTGCTCTGATCCACATAAATCATAATTTTCATATAATCAATTAGAATCCGAAAACGAGACAGTCAGCATTGGAGTGCCGGTACAAAAGCCGCGCGCATTGGCTGAAGCCGATATACTGACTTCTAACCCAACAACCCTAATTACCCTAAATGATGACAACTTCTGAACTGACGGTACGTGACGCTATGCTCTTTCTCATCGTTTTTCTCATTTTTGACGGAAAAATCTTCGCAATTTTGAATGTGTTTGTTATTCTTTAGGATTTCCGGGGGGGGAAAGTATTTCCGGGGGGGGAAACCAAATTTTTTCCTGGTTTTCCCGATTGACCTAGTAATCAAATATAAAGTGTTTTCACATTGTTTTTAATAAATTTTAACTATATTTAAAGTAGAAAAACCTTTCAAAAAAGTTAGAAAAATGTTTGAAAAAGTCGAAAATTTAGTCATTTTGGGTCTTTCCCCCCCCGCTAATCCTAAAGGTTCTATAGGATTTTTCGACCTAAAATTAAATTGTTTAATTTAAATGTGGGTAGTTTTTATGCTCAGGACTAGTTAAAAACCATTTAGAAACGCATGCGCTATTTAGAAAAAAAATTTAAGCTCGGGCCGAAAAAATTTGGTTTCCCCCCGGAAATACTTTCCCCCCCCGGAAATCCTAAAGAACCTGGTTTTTGTATATTGAAAAACTACAAAACACAAACATTGGCGGTTTTTTTTACCATAAATGATCGACTTCTGGCCAAAATTTCAACAGAAAATTTTGTGTTTTTAAATTTTTGACGGTTTCTTTGCATTTCGTTTCATTGACAGTTTCAAAAAGGTTACATTTTGCAAACTTCAGGTTTTCTGGACTTTTAGAAAAATATAACTTCGAATCTCTTTTGCAGCTGGTGAAGAAGAGCTTAAGGGAGCTTAAGAGCTTAAGTCTAGACTAAGCCTAAGCCTAAGCCAAGCCTGAGCTTAAGCCTAAAATTAGCACTTACGTGACTGATAGGAAATGTTCGTATCCCCCCCCGATAATGCAAAAGGTTTCAGGCCTCGGCGGCTACGGTGCAGACGTTAGGGCAGGTTAAAGCGAAGTAGCAGCTCGTGAGGGATTTCGAGAAATCCAACCATGGCAAGAAGCCCAGGACCGTTCCCCGCCTCGCGCAGGTATGTATTATTTATCTGGAATTTTCGAAGTTGAACCTCGGTACTGTGCTGTTAGCGGGGGGCCCCAATGTTTCTCCCGTCAAACATGTACAATCCTATAGCGAAGTGCAAAATTTTTATGCTATTTTACCACGCTTTAGATAGTGAAAAGCGCATATTTTTTTCTTTTTCGTCGAAAATGACGTTTCGATTCGTAAATTTGGATTCATCCGACACTCAGGTGGCCGCCACCGAGTGGTTGACGGCCCACCCGCTGCCACCAATGAAGAAGCCCTCCCCGCTGGGCCGGCCGCCGCGAAAAGTAGGTTCCCGTAGAAGCTCATGCTCATGTCACCATCCCCTAAACACGCTTTTTAGGTAGCCTCACGTCGGCACTATCTCCACCATCCGCAACATCATCACCAACAAGTCCAACGAGTCGAACAAGTCGACCTCCTCGAAGAAGAAGGAAAAGGTAAGAATTTGCTAATGCCGGGTTTTGAGCGTCGGATACCAGTCCTCCTCGAGCCATTCGGATTCATCCGACATTCAGATGTCCGCCTCCGGGTTGTTGACCGCCGGCCGCGACAAGTTGGAGATCGTGGACGCAGGAGTCGAGGGCGGAAAGGATGTTGAAGGAAAAGCCGGCCGACCGGATGCTGGCTGCGTCGCCGAACAACCTGCCCGCGCCGAAGTTCCGCTCCCGCCACCAGCTGCCTCCAATGAAGATGCCCTCTCGGCTGAGCCGGCAGCCGCAAAAAGTAGGTTCCCGTAGAAGCTCATGCTCCTGTCACCATCCGCTACACCCGATTTTTAGGTAGCCTCAACGTCGGCACTATTCCCACCATCCTCCACCAACAAGTCCAACAAGTCGCCCGCCAGGAAGAAGAACGACAAGCAATCGCCCAACAAGTCGACCTCCTCGAAGAAGATGGACAAGAAATCCCTCCACATCACCAACAAGTCCAACAAATCGACCTCCTCGAAGAAGACGAAGAAGAACTCCCCCCGACAAGGCGAACAAGTCGGTCTCGACGACGAAGATTGGCGATAAGATGTGTAGCAAGTCGTCCAAGTCATCCAAATCTACTCATGGAAGTGGGTGCAGTTTCCTGGCGGGTTTAAAGGGTTTGTGCAGGCAAAAACAACCCCAGAGTCAGCAGACGTAGCGAGAAAGGGAGAGAAAGTGAGAGCAGGAGAGCAAGAGCAAACGCTTTTTTTAGAATGCACCGACAAGCCCGGCCATTCAAAGGCCGAGCAGCAGGCATGGGAGCAAGAGGGCAAAACGAAGAATGGAGCCATGGAAAAAGGTTGGAACTTCTGAATTTCTCTCGCTTTCTCTGTGTCGGCTGTCTGGTGTTGATCATCGTGGTCACACGTATGGGTGAATATTGACGCGCAATCTGAAACTATTTAGTCATCTACTGCATGACGCACCGAAGCAAGAAGAAGAAGAAGAAGAACAAGTCGACCTCGTCGAAGAAGCCGGACAAGAAGGCAGCCAAAAAAATTCACCAAGTCGTCCAAGTCATCCAAGTCGAGCCACACCGGAAGTGGGTGCAGCTTCGTGGCAGTTTTAAAGGGGCTGTGAAGGCAAAAAAAAACATGGATTTTGGAGCTGGTTGTGCTGTTAAGCCAAAATGAACCGAGTTCGCGATTTTAAAGGGGATGATAAGGCAAAAATCCATAGATTTCGGATCTTAAAGGAAACTGGACTTTCCAAACGAATTCCTTCCAGGTGAGAATCCGAAGGTGTCGAAGAAGCCGAAGCCCCCGCCCGTCAACCCGAACGAGGCACACGACAACATGTTCCAACAGACAAAGGTATCAACTAGCCAACTAGCAGTCATCATTAGGGACTCTTTCTAACAGGAAATTCATGTCATAATTGGATCGTTTACCTCCCATTAATGCGCCTTTTGCAGCAATTCCCCGAAGAAGACGACAATGGCGGCGGCGATCCGATGGTGCGCGTCTAGAGCAGCGACGACGTCGAGCAGCCCATGAACCATTATTGCTATCCATGTAACTGTGTAATAAATTTCGCTACAATACCGTACTATTTACACAATACAAAATACACCAAATTCTTTTCTTTCTACCGGAAGACCGAAAGATCCCCGTTGTTGCTCCCCGCAACGACGTCAAGGCACGCTCGTGCTCCTTCCCCAGGAGCCCTAGACATGCGATCCCGCTCTCTACCGCTACCCCGTCGCCCACGCCGGCTGCAGTACAACACCGGCGGACGCACGCAGCTCACGCCGGCCGCTGTCCGACCCGACCCTGTTGAGCGCTTCGAGACCCATGGCCACGGCAACAGCCGTGGACAACTGTCGGGCGAACGCTCTACAAACGCCGGCCCGAGGCCCGTTCTGCTTCCTATATAAGGCCAGTGGAAAAACGTTGCTTCGCGGCCCTGTTCCGCTGGTCCCCGTCGTGGATCCATGAATTCATTTGCCTTTTTTTAAGACTGCGGCGCAAGGGTCCGTTCTCTGGTCTGCGGCCGCAGAGCCAGCGTTGCGCTAGGATCTTTGAGCCTGCGACGCTACCTACTGGTTTCTCTCCCGGATTAAGCCTGCGGCGCGAGAGCGTACGTCAACGAACGTTCCTTTGGCCTAGAAATATATTTCGTTGATGAACTACTAAAAAGCAAATTTCTCACGGATCCGAAACCCCTGACTCTCATCGCCGTAGATCGCGCCCTGATCCACTACCACATCGGAGATGAGGACGGGCAGGTTTCTTCACATCCTCGGTGTATAGCCGCCGGCGTGACCGACGAGGCAACGAAGGAGCAGGGGAAGGGGGGAAGGAGCACGAGCGTGCCCTCCCATCTTTGCGGTGGAAAAACGGGGATTTTCCGGATTTTTCCGGTAGGAAGAACCTTTTCCGATACTGCTAGTTGCGAGAGTCGGCAATATGGCTGTTTACCGACGCACTCAGCTTCTTAATGACGCGCTTGCCTGCTTAACCGCCTGGCTTCTTAATTGAAAACCAAAACCTCGCTTGTGTTCCTCTTTAAAGCCAGACGGCACAGTTACGATATGTCATTTGGTGTATTTTGTATTGTGTAAATAGTACGGTATTGTAGCCAAATTTATTGCACAGTAATGGATGGTGGGAGCAAAAGGGAATGGCTGAACGGCTCGGAGTCGTCGCTGCTTTAGACGCGCATCATCGGATCGCCGCCGCCATTGTCGTCTTCCTCGGGGAATTGCTGCAAAAGGTGCATTAACGGGAGGTAAACGATTCATGGTTCTTTAGGATTCCCGGGGGGGGAAAGTATTCCCGGGGGGGGAAACCAGATTTTTTTCGGCGAAAGCCTAGATTTTTGTATAAATTGCGGATGCGTTTCTAAATTGTTTTTAACTATTCCTGTGCATAAAAACTACACACATTTTAACCAAAAAAATGTAAAAAATTAAAAATTAGGTCGAAAAATAGACCCAAAATGACCAAATTTTCGACTTTTTCAAACATTTTTCTAAATTTTTCTGAAAGTTATTCTGCTTTAAATATAGTTAAAACTTACTAAAAACAATTCGAAAACACTTTATATTTGATTACTAGGTCAACCGGGACCACCAGGAAAAAATTTGGTTTCCCCCCCCGGGAATACTTTCCCCCCCCCGGGAATCCTAAAGAACCCGATTCATTTACGGGATGTTATTATTGCTAGAAAGAATCCCTAATGATGACTGCTAGTTTGCTAGTTAATACCTTTGTCTGTTGGAACATGTTGTCGTGCGCCTCGTTCGGGTTGACGGGTGGGGGCTTCGGCTTCTTTGACACCTTCGGATTCTCACCTGGAAGGAATTCGGTTGGAAAGTCCAGGTTCCTTGAAGATCCGAAATCTATCGATTCTTGCCTTCACAACCCCTTTAAACCCCTCAGGAAAGATTGCCTACTTCCGGTGTGACTCGACTTGGATGACTTGGACGACTTGGTGAATTTTTTGGCTGCCTTCTTGTCCGGCTTCTTCGAGGAGGTCGACTTGTTCTTTTTCTTCTTGCTTCGGTGCGTCATGCAGTAGATGACTAAATAGTTTCAGTGCTCGACAATATTCGCCCATACGTGTGACGACGATGATCAGCACCAGACAGCCGACCAAGCCGCACACGACGATGATGATGATGAGGAGGATGTGGCCTTTGTCTTCAGTGGGGAGAGCTAAAAAAGGGGCAGTAGGGAGAGAGCCAGAGGGAGAGAGAGAGAGAGAAGGAGAGAGAGAGAGAAAAGGAGAGAGAGATAGTCTAAAGATTACCTTTTTCCGTGGTTACATTCTTCTTTTTCCCCTCCTGCTCCCATGCCTGCTGCTCGGCCTTTGAATACAGTGTACACAGTCCGTCATCTCGAATCGACTTGATCGTCATGTACGGCGTGCAGATGTCCGGATGGCTGGTGTTGATCGCTTTGCACGGGTGATGGTCGGGCTTGTCGGTGCACTCTTAAAAAAGCATTTGCTCTCGCTCTCCTGCTCTCTCTCTCTCACTTTTCTTCCATATACAGCTCTGCGTTTGACCGTCGTATCCATGCAACTTCGTGTTCGACACGCACACTTCCAGCCCCCTCTTGCCGCAGTTGATGTTCATGATCGAGCAATCTAAATGTATAAATTTGTTATATTCGCTAGAGGACCCACTGTCAAATCTCCAAACGACAGGTGTCGCGTGATTTCCTTCAATGTTGCCGAGTAGATCAACAGGGACACAAGTATCAATCCCATTCAAGCTGATTGGCACTTGTCCACTCGCGCAATCTGAAAATTCGATTCCTCACTGGTCTCTGCAAGCTTGCCCCACCCCCACCAGTGCGTAATTCTAATCTGCGCCCAGCTACCGTACCTGCCGCCACGCACGTCTTGGTGTCCTTCTGGGCGCTGGCACCGCTCAAACACACCAGCTGGCCGCCCTTCCCCTCGCATGGGATGTCACCAGCGTGGCAGGAGCCTAAAACGTGACCCAGTTACAGTAGTCCAAAAGATCCGAAGAATCGAAGTGAAAAAAATCGAAATCCTCGCCTTGATCCCCTCCAGTCAACAGCAATACACCGGCGCTGAGCAGTAAGAACAGACGGAAAATCATCATTGAGATCTGCAAAGGAAAGATCAAAATTTTGGATAAAATTTCGACAAACCTGAGAGTCTAGAGAAAAAGTAGGAATGATGGGGATTCGGCTCGGGAGCTCCTTCGAAGACTTATGCAAATTTTCTTGGATTCTGAATCTCGTTTTTATCGCCAATGGGATCTGTTGCTCGCCAATGGTCTCTTCTAGCCTCCTCAATGGTCTCTGCTTGCCCTCCTCAATGGTCTCTGCTAGCACTCCTCAATGGTCTCTGCTAGCCCTCCTCAATCGTCTTTGCTAGCCCTCCTCAATGGTCTTTGCTAGCCCTCCTCAATGGTCTTTGCTAGCCCTCCTCAATGGTCTTTGCTAGCCCTCCTCAATAGTCTCTGCTAGCCTTCTTCAATACTCTCTGTTAGCCTTCCTTAAAGGTCTTTGCTAGCCCTCCTCAATGGTCTCTGCTAGCACTCCTCAATGGTCTCTGCTAGCCCTCCTCAATAGTCTCTGCAGCCTTCTTCAATACTCTCTGTTAGCCTTCCTTAAAGGTCTTTGCTAGCCCTCCTCAATGGTCTCTGCTAGCACTCCTCAATGGTCTCTGCTAGCCCTCCTCAATAGTCTCTGCTAGCCTTCTTCAATACTCTCTGTTAGCCTTCCTTAAAGGTCTTTGCTAGCCCTCCTCAATGGTCTCTGCTCACCCTCCTCAATTCCCACTTTCAACCCCTTTATCCCATCCCAACTCTGCAGTTGTTCACTTCCTGCATCCCCCCCCCCCCAGATTGGCATTGACCTTGGCTGTGCGTGGGTGTCCAGGGGAGTGTCTTGTTTTTCAAAATTTTTTTCCCGGCTCAAGACGGGATGGGGTATGGCCTTGGGTTGACCCCGTTTAAGACCTGGCAGATAAGCTGCGGGCTGGTGGTATAAAAGGTGGACCCCGCGTTCCGTGGCGATACTCCATCCATTCGACAGTCATGGAGCGTGTCCTTGTCGGAGGGGCTGCCCTCGTCTCTGTCATCTCTCTTCTCACCGCTGGCATCGCCTTCCCTCGGCTCATCGCCGATTTGACTGAGGTACGGTAGTTGGGTCAGGGTTTAGAAAGGTGTACGGTAGCTAGCGGAATACTTACAAACTATTGAGCGCCATTTAGAAACGGATAAGGCCATTAGGGCTTTTTAGAGGCGATTACGGTGGTTCAGACATATTTTAGGGAAGGGGTACGGTAGCTGGGACATCCTTTAGCCAGGACGACGGCAGTTGGGCGTTGTTTAGAGAGCGGATTACGGTAATACAGGCATAATTCTAGTAAGGGAATACGGTAGTTAGGTCACATTTTAGAAGGAGCTATGGTAGTTAGTGCGGATTTCGAAAGGGGATACGGCGCCCTGGCCAGAATTTAGCAAACGGCTACGGTATTTCATACGGTAGTCCGGGCCGCGTTACAAAGTGATACGGTAATTCGGTCATGGTTTAGAACTACAGTGGTTCGCGCAGAATTTAGTAAGGGATACGATATCTGGTACAAGTTTTAGCACTAGGGTTACGGTAGCTGTAGGTACTGATTACGGTAGTGGTTACGGTATGTTTTAGAGAGGGATGCGGTAGCTACCGTACGAATTTGAAACCAATACAAGTAGTCGTAGTACTGCAGTGTAATGCGCCAATGCTAAAGCATTACGGTGACTGGGGCAGGGTTTAGAATGATGATACGGTAGCAGAGGTGCTAGTTAGAAAAATGGTTCAATACCTAGAGGCTTTTTTAGTTTCTTACCATTTTTATTTGCAGGTGCAAGAGCGTGTCACGGATACCGTGAACGTGTTCCGCGTCGCCTCCGACTCCTCGTGGGAGCACATCATCGACCTCCAAGTCTCTGCCTCAGCCCCATCAGTCCGCAAGAATCCCTTCGACTCCATCTTCCGTCAAAAGCGTCAGGCCAACGGTCTCCCCGCTTGGTGCCAATGCACTCCCCAGAAGCCTAACTGCCCCATGGGACCCCCCGGTCCTCCTGGACCCCCCCGGACCCGCTGGAGCCCCCGGACTCCCCGGACCCAACGGACAAGACAACACCTACGTGCACCCACCAGTCTCTTGCCCCAGCCAATCTCACGATTGCCCACAGTGCCCCGCTGGACCCCCTGGCCCTCAGGGACCCACTGGACCCATGGGACCGATGGGAGGACCCGGACAACCCGGACAAGATGGACATCCCGGACAGGACGGACGACCCGGAGCACCTGGATTCCAGGGAGGACCCGGAGCCCCTGGACAGCCAGGAAAGCAAGGAGCACCTGGACAGCCCGGAAGAGATGCCACCATCAGCTCCGGACAGGCTGGAGCCCCCCGGACAGCCTGGACGCCCTGGAGCCCCTGGACAGCGTGGACAGGATGGACAGCCTGGAGCACAGGGACAGCCCGGAGACCAGGGACCCTCGGGAGCACCTGGACAGCCTGGACGCGACGGACAGCCTGGTCAGTTTGGGTTGAAAAGCTGTTTTCTAGCTGTTTTTGCCACTTTAAAGGGATACCCAATGTTTTGGCGGCAAATATATAGTTATGTATTCCGGGGAGTACAAATGACGCGCGAATTTTGTGCGGTAATGGATGCCCAGTGCCGCACAGAATTCGGCCTCCTCTCCCCCTCGTGGCGTCCCCATCTCGACCAATGGCTTGCCACTATGGCCTAATGGATAGCATCCAGGTCTTGAAAGTGGGGGTCTCGGGTTCGACCCCCCGCCCGCGTCACGGTTTTTGCTTTTTGAGCCGCGAAAAGGTTGGGTATCCCTTTAAGGTCCGGTTTTTGGAAAATTTTGGTGCTGACTAGTCACTTTAAGGCTTAGAAAATGTTTTCCTAGCCGTCACACGCTCTTCAAAACCCAAAAAGTCTGGAATTCGCTATTCAAGTCACCAAAAAAAAGTTTAATTGCTCAACTTAATCGTCTTCCGGTCCCTTTAAAGTCTAAGCGAAGCTTTCCTAGGTGTCACACTCCCTTTAAAAACCTTTCAACCATTTTCTGAATTTCAGGAGCCCCCGGTGGCCCCGGAATGGACGGACAGCCCGGAAAGGACGCCGCCTACTGCCCGTGCCCCCCACGCAACGGACAATACGTCGCCCAGCAGCGTCGTCAGGTTCAGCGCCGTTTCCGTCAACGCAGCTAGACCACGCGAGTCTACTGCACGCCGTTATGGCACGACGAATAAATCTGCATTCAAAGTATCGTTGTCGAAAAATACACAAGAAATGTAGTCCTCAATAGTCTCTGCTAGCTCTCCTCCATGACCTCTGCCAGCTCTCCTCAATGATCCCTGCAAGTATGCCCCGCATTTCTCGGCGCATATCATTTATTGTACATCATATGGGTGACGTTCTCACTTCCCTTCTGCTTCCATTAGTGTCTGTTGACTTGTTGGACTGGGGTTCGCCCTGGGAGATGAGGCGCTGGGGGTGGACCTGGAATTGGGTGTTAAAGGGGATGGGACAGAAGACTTTCTAGCAATTTTTCGAAATAGTCGATTCCCTAATGGTCTCTGCTAGCCTGCCCCGATCTTTCGGTGGCGATGAGGAAAAGAAAACTCGTAGCTTGGCCAGCTAGCAGAGATCCTTTGGGAAGACTTTTATGGGCCAGTTAGCAAAGATTCTTTACGAGGATTTTAAGAGGCTAGTTTATTTCCTTTGGGGATCTGATAGCAGGGTAGCTATCAGAGAAAATTTAGAAAACTTTTCTTGGGAGCCAGCTAGCAGAGATTCTTTGGGAAAAACTTCGAGCTGGCTAGATAGCAGAGATTCTTTAGGAAAACGTGCGGGCTGGCCAGCTAGCAGAGATCTTTTGCGGAGGATCCTAATGTACGACCAAGTTTTCCCCCTAGTTCCAGGCCCATTTTCCGGGGAGTTCGGTGAGCAGGACCCGGGTATCCCTGGCAATCTCCATTAATTTGGCTCTCCCCATGTTTTTCGGGTAGCCCGATCCCTGCCCGTGCTCACCAAGGTCACCTCCCGTTCCATGGTGACACAGGCCGACAGGAATGTACGAAGGATACGGGCGCGCAGCTTTCGGTGGAACGACAGCACCAGCAGCCTGAAAATTGCCTGTTTTGGGGGTCCAAGGGTTGGAAAATTAAGGTTTAAAAGTTTTTTAAAGCTTTAGACTGAATTTGGATCAAAAAGCAAAAAGGAAACTGGGGCCAGGATTCGAACCCGGGTGATGTGGGCGGTAGGCGTGGGTGCTTACCATTTGGCCACGAGGTCGAGCGGCGTGGCAAAGGGTAATTTGCGTTATTTCAAAGGAATTTAGGTTAAAAAACACTCCTAAACGCTCTCTGCTAGTTTCTTTGATTTAAAGGCACGTACAATGGATTTTTGGGCCGTGGATTTCTCAAGAAAATCGCCAAAAGCAATACGCAAAGCGCCTGCGCAGCTTTTCATCGCCTAATAGCGTATTCTTGCGTAGCTCACGGGTTGCGTGTCGTAAGCGAGCAAAAGCTTGGTTAATGCTAAATCGCTCTTTTTCATTGGGCCGCCTAGCAGCGATTCTTTATACTCACCCCGACGTGGCCCTGCCTAGCACCCTGTTCAGAGTCGTCAGGATGAAGTACACCGTCAGGCTTATCTGCAAAAAAAATGAATATTTTAGGGATTCGTCCGCCTGAACCCACCACAAAATTGGCCACCACGTAGCCGGCGAGAAAGCACTCGATGCACAGGAAAATCGACGAGAACAGCGATTGGTAGAGGAACTGCAGGTCGGACGCCTTCATCTTGGCGCGGATCGTCTGCACAAAAGGTGGTTTAAACCGACGTTAAAAAGTGGGAATTTTTTAAAAGGATCTCTGCTCGCTTGCCATAGATTTTAAATTTTAAAACCTCGCCCGACTATAGAAATTTGGCTTTCATGATTCCCACGTAATCGCTGCTGGATTGCCCTTGTTTTTAACATATCAGAATCGGGGGATCGACTTTTTAAAAATATTAGAAACTTTCCTAAAAATATAAAAATAGCAACTTTTGGACCAAAATTCACAATTTTCCAAGTTTTTTAGCTAGATTTTTCACTCTAAATATGGTTAAAGTTACTAAAAACACTATTGGGAAACTTAGCTTTCCAGAAAACCAGAAAACTTTACTTTCCAGAAAAAATTTAGCCCCCCCGTTAATGCGAAAGAACCCATTGTGGCCAAAATCAACGAGGCCTCGTTGTGTCAAAGGATCTTTGCCAGTTTGCCCGAATTTAACCATTTCCGACTCGAAAGAGCTTTTGCAGAAGTCAAAATCTTCCAAATCCAAAGTAATTTGATTTCCCGGTATTTTTCATTTTAATCCGATTTATCACCGAAATTTCCGGGAGCCGTTTTATCGCGCGCGAAAAAACTTTTGCATCGAACACCACCCCAATCGACCCATTTCTATAATCCATTCAGGGAATTACCGTAACTACGGCCCGCACGCAAAAAAGTCCGTGGCAAAAATGTGTGAAAATGGCCCCCAAATTCGCCGGTGAATACTTGGTTCACTCACCGGGCTGAGCATCACCCGGAAAGCACAGGCCACATCTGAGCACAGCGAAAACGCCGACAACCCGATCAGTAGGTACATTTCGATGTTTACCTAAAATCGGGATTAAAGTTGAATTAAATTTACGCAGACTCCAATAGACCTTTAAGTTCCAAAGTTTTGGCCAAAAAGCAAAACGATGCTGTCGTGCCGGGGGGTGAACCCCGGCCTTGGGGTTGAAAAGCGAGAACGCAACCATTAGGCCAGGGGCTCGGCGTAAACAGGATTTCCTAGGATTCAGAAAACAAAAAAAAAACGATATCGAGGCCTCCTCGAGGATGATTTTAGAAATCACAATTGGCATTTTTTTATTAAAACCCATAGTTACATGTATTTATACCAAACAACGATGGCAACCTAAAAAGCCGCTTTGTTTCCTTAGAACAAAATTTAGTAGATCTAATTACAAAGTTTACTGATATAAATGCTTATATAAAGTTTATCGAAGCCTTCTCACCCGTAAAAAGTCGACACAAGGCTTCGTCGAGCTGATCGACGAAGAATCTAGCAGATACGATTGCACGGCGTTGAACCAGATCCCTGGGCAGATTTCTGAAATCGTTTTTTCAACTTTTCAAGATTGTTTTGTCCAATTTAATCCTTGGAGCTTAGAGCTAATTCTAAGCATCCAAAAGCTATTTTCATCTGTGACCGCGCACAAAGTACGCTAGCGTAAAGTAACGATGATGCGCCGATTCAATGAAGCCCCCCGGGGACCCTTTCAATCCCCAGAATTCCTCGAGTGATCCGACCAACAACAAAAAGTCGTGGCGGCCTCTCCACTAAAAAACCTCCAATGTCTAGAGATCAGCAACAACGATATCCCCAAGCATCACCGCTTGCTTGCCCGCCTCAAAACCCACTGAGCAAAAAGAAGATGAGATGCCATGTGGAGATGACCCATACGAAGACACAGATGTACATTGTTGTGCGCACCGTCGCGTGTTGGTAGTAGGCCAACGGAAACAGCACGGCACATGCCCTAAAATTAAGCATTATTAACTAATAAATTAAAGACGTTTATAAAGAAATTTAAAGGGAAGCTGACAAGCTAAAAGTTATAACTTGGAAAGGACGAAGCGCGCACAGAGGTGAGTCTGCATTGAAGCGTAACCTAGAGCACCGAATTTTTTCTTCTGTCTACTACTGTGTTTTGAATTATTCTTAATACAATTTATATATATTTCAGGCGGAAAGCCATTTTGTAAAAACCCATAGAAAGATTTTGAAAATCCGCCTGAAAATTTACGCGGAAAAGCTATTTTTTTTAACGCCTACAGAAAGGTATTGAAAATTTTGAACGCTTCCTCGAAAATCGGCTATTTTTGCTTGCAATATCGATATGTCTGTATTTTTAACCAGCATAAGCGTTATTAGGTAGATTGGAACCGATGGAACAGTTAAATTCGCCCCCCCCCCGGTAACACGAAAGAACCGAGGGTTGAAATTCACGATTACCATGTCTACGCCCGTACAATTCATTAATCTGAGTTTTCAAAGCCATTTCCACTCACCGATTCGCCGACAGGCAAAACGAAAAGTATTGCGCGGCAAAGAACAGGAACCAGACGACCAGCGAAAATGACGGCATCGGCTCGCCCGTTTGCAGCCCGAGATTCCTACCAAAAAACTGATAACCGATTGGTGTATCACTTACAACAACATCATCGGCCCGACGTACAACAGGTAGATGGCCGAGTAGGCAAAGTTGGCGAAGCCGATGTTGATGCAGATGATGCCGGTGGAATGGCGGAATTGGGCGTCGGTGGCCAGGAAGTACGTCGCCAGCCCATTGGAGATACAGCCGATTAGGGCGATCTGGAAAAGCGGAGTAAAGGGATATTGGAACGCTATTTTCCTGGTTTGAATGGCTCTTTTAAAGCTATACAAAACTTTTCCAATTATGAACATAACCAGAAAAAGCTCTTTTCAGACAAAATATTTTTTTCTTTCCAATTACGAGTTTTCATAAAAACTTATCCTAAAACAAAATTTTGCGGTCGTTCGGCCTTCTTTTAAGGCTAAAAACTGCCGCAGAAAGTGATTTCTATTTCTTACAAAAAAAAAACGCTTAACCCTTGTAGAAAAAAAACTCGCTGGGAAGACTGCTCTCAAGCTCAAAATACTTCTCGCGAAAGTCCGTAAACTGGCAGTTAGCAAGTTAGCAAATGTCGCACGGTTAAGGTATAACTTGAGTAGGTTTTGAATAATAATAAACAGCTAATGAAAATATAGTAGGCTTTGTAAAACTTAACTATTATTACAGTAAATATTATAGTTTACCTACTTTGTAAAACAATAAAGATTAAGTTAAACTATGCATAAAATATGTCGTAATTAGTAAATTCAAGTATCAGACTGAAGTAGCCACTTTATGGGGATGAGTTCTTTTATCCCTGAAAACTTACAAAAACCACAAGAATTCCGTAGGTAACTTGATCCAGGTGCTCGACGGCCGTCGAATTGGATGTCATCCACCACCCCGATGGGCCCTCGCGATCACTGTGATTCGATTCTAAGCCGGCCATATTTTGTTTTAGAAATACAGCAGAGAATCGAGGACACAGACAACTGTAGGAATTCACCACCAAAAGAGGCAAACCACGCCCCGGGCCGCAAAAAAAACGGGATTGAATTAGGGCGATTGGCATCGGAGAGCAACAAGCAGAAGTCACGGGGAAAGAATAGAATAGAATTGCTGCATATAGACTTTTAGGAAAAGTACAGGGAATTAGACAGGGCGGGCGGATTTCCCGGCTAGTTCCGATTTATTGGAACATGGATGGCTGGGTTTTCTGGAATGAGCCGGCTTTACGGTTCAGAAGCTTATGCAGCGCTATTCTTTGCTTTTTCCCGTAGTTTGACAAGATCATTTTTAAACAAGCCTCAAACTTCTTTAAAAAGTTTAACTTTCTCTTTTTTTTTCAAACTTTGTTAACCACCCCGAATTTCGGTTCATTTTCTTTATCAGGGGGGATAGACTTTTTTGAGGAGCCTAGAAATGCCTAGTAAAACAATAGCAAGTGTATATGTGTATATTTCAACTAAAAAATTATCTAAAACCGGTACAAAAAAATTTAAATTGCAATTTTGGTCAAAATTCCGCTCTTTTAGCCGAAACTCTATATTTTTGGGTAGTTTTTTACGACTAGGAGGAATAACAACACTTTACGAATACTCCCGCTATTTATATTTGAAAAATGGAATCTCAAGAAAAGAAAAGAAATTGGTCCCCCCCCCCCCGAATAATGCGAAAGAACCCCAATTTCTAAGGAACTAACGACCCAGACAAATTGCCAAACTTGTACACTCTAAAACCCAAGATCCGCCACTAGAAAATAAAAACCTTTCCGGCGAGTGAGTGATCAAAAAATTGCATTAGCCGCCGAGGAGTTGCACGTTATTCCACGCGAACCAAATCCCATTCCGGGCGGCCCGTAATGTTAACGGGCACACCAAAAAAATCCCGCCGAACTTTACTAGAGGTGTGGCCACTCATAGGCGCGCGTGGGCCATAATCGGGTTTGTCGACTAATTCCCGGTGTCCATCACAATTAGCCGGAAAGGGACAGCGACAGGGAGAAGCTGCGTCTGTTCGCGTTTTTGCCTTGGTCCAAAATCATGGGGGATGTTTGGTCCTTTGAAAATTGCAACCTTTGATTAGAGAATCATCCAGCCTAGGTTACAGGGACGTAGCGTAAGGTGCCCCCCGAAATCGGCCGGGGCCCGAAAATTTCATAAGGGGGGACCCTTATGATTTTTATTTTATCAAAAATTTTGCTGCCTGCGGCGCTATTTTTCACGTTTTTACGACTATTTGTGGAGCTACATAGCCTTGTTTCTAAATTTTTTTGCCTGCGGCGCTGTTTTCTTGTTAATTTTTTGAGTTTTTCGGAAAAAATTTTTCGGGCCCCCCCCCCCGAAATTTTTTCCTGGCTACGCCCCTGCTAGGTTAGAACAGCGGGGAAACCGACATTTTTCTGTTTTATAAGTTCCTAATAATTCCTAATTCTTAATAGTTAATAGCATGCATTTTAATTATTTTTTAACAAAATTAGCTCTATTTCCAGTGAAAACTTATTTAGAAAACTTCGAAAAGATCTCAGAATCTGAAATTTTGATCGAAAAATCGATAAGTTTTGTTTTTTTAACAAAATCTAAAGGTTATCATGTTAGGCATAAAAAATGTAGATATCCCCAGTTGATTTATATTACAAAAAAATGGGTGCTAAAAATAATTGCAAACAATTTTCGACCAATAAAACGATGCGTCTAGGCCAAATCAGGGATATAGCTACCCTAAATTGATAAATTCCATTAAATTCCGTTTCCACGCAGCTACGTGCCAACGCGCAGACAGAAGTGAGCAAGTCTAGACAACAGCTCCACATTTAAACAGCGGACGGACCGGTACGGGCTGACGGCCGGGCAATAATGGATGGGCCCCGGAGCAGGAGGACCCAATATTATCGAGGCGGCCGTATTCCCTCGAGGGAATACTATCTCTAGAGTATAGTCTCATCACCCGATCTCCACCCAATCAGTCTGTTTACCGCGGCTCCCCGGAATCGAGAGCCCATTAGAAAATTGGCTCATTTGTGAAACGAAACTTGATGCTAACCAAAAATCGCCGACGGTCACGGCGCATCTTTGATCAGCTGCGGCAGTTTGCGGTGCTTGTTGACAGTTTCTTGTAGACGTTCTGAGGTGTAATGCGTAGATCGCTGCGGGATGGTCAAAGCTCGGGGGATTCGATCTGAAGATTTCAACTGGATGAGTGCAAAAGTGCTTGTAGCGCGGCAACATCACGAGCTGTGCTAAATTCTCGAAATAACACTGTTAGCTACGTGCCAGCCTGAGTATGTCGTTTTCTAACAAGTAGACGTTTGAGAGTTCGAAACGGGGATGTCGCTCAAAAATGCCTTCTTGTAAGCCTTTTCGGTTCTTGACTGCTAGCGGGGGGGGATCACTGGGGGCCCTAAATTTGTATCGGTCCCAATAATGGACAGCAACCATTTAAATAGTTTTTACGCCGTTTTTAAGCACAGAGTTTCAAAAATGTCAAAATTTCCAATTCTTAAAATTTTCTTAACTTTTCTTATGAATTTTCGATAACAGAAAACTATTAAAAACACTATAAAATACGCTATAAAGCGCATCGAATTTTGCTAGGTGAGTCCCTCCCTCGCTAACTGGGCAGTACCGCCTTACTCGCGCCTTTTCTTACTCTCCCCTTCACTGCGTCATCAATTCTGCAGCTCTTTCAGATTTTCCCCCAAATTACCGTGTAGCCGCCTTGAACTTGATGAGCAACGCCTAAAAGCTTAGAAACCCTTCGTTTTTAGTAAGTTCGCCGCAGTCCATTTATCCTAACTCAAACCTACAGAGATAACTCAATTTCCCCCACCTTCCTCCCCGGGGACCATGTAGAATTCCCTGAAATAAGACACCCTGCTTCCTTATAAATTGCGCCGGTCACAAATTAGAACATCAGACGTGTCCTCACGTGGGGGGCACCCTCTAATCGTACGCCAACAGGGCCCGCGTAAAAAATCAGTCTGGTGTTTGTGCGACCTTCATTCGTAAAATTTTGGAGCTGTCCAAACATCTCGAAAAAAACACAATGAATACCCCAGTGAGCAGTTGTTGCGTGTAGCCTTGATGTTCTGCTTTTACTTACTGCAGGAATGTTGGCTTCAACCCGGGACCTTCAGCGCAATTTAGCCACAAAGGCTCAAAATTTATCGTAAAGAGATAAGGCTCAAACAACACGAGAAATTGAGAACATGTCAAAATGGAGATTGAAGGGATATTAATCGGTGGTTGCATCGACGCCATCACGATTCATCAGTAATCGAATAAGTGGAACAAATGAGAGTCCAGTGGTGGCCGGGTACGAGGCCCTAAAACGTTTTTCACCACAAGTAAAAATCCCTACGCCCCCTCCTCTCGGTCTTCACGGCTTTGAAGCGCTTGGTGAATTCCTTCGGATCTATCAAAATCTTCTTTGCAAAGTCCGTCGTGACCTAAACACTTCATAAAATTTTCTGACAAATTGGCATACTGGGATATTATTCTTCTCCAAATATTCCAGGAACAAGTAGGTCATATCTTCGTATTTCCGAGTTAAATTTTGCATGGCGACCTCGAGCTTCAGCCGCCCCGGGCAGCAAGCGTCCCAGACGATCGCCCTAAAAACGTTGATGTGGAAAAAAGGAAGACGCACTTCTCATCTGGAACCGCAACTTCCGCGGCTTTCTTTTCTTCACGGATAAAGCGGAACGGCAATCCTCTAAAGGGTCGATATCAAAAGATAGAACTAAAGATTCTTACTGAAAATTGGTATCCTCGGGCGCAAAATGGTTCTCGCAAATCTTGGAGCCGGGTCCTAGATGGGTACAGTAAGCAGAGCAGTGTAAAACTAACCGAGGTCGCGAATAAATTGGCCATTTTTGGCCCCCAATATTGTCATCCATGCCGCGTGAGTTGTAGGGTTTTCTAAAAGATACTGTTTCATTGAATGAAAAGTGACGATCTCAAAGCTAGAAAACAACGTAGATGCAAAAACCAACCCGGTAAATCCACAAATTTAACCGGCGTTCCATCAGCCTTCCGAGAAGCAAAGCTACTTGAACAGCTTTTGACGATACACCGAGCCACTTCCGGTAGTACCATTTCTATAAAGTTGAAATCGGGAACTCTTTTCAATATCATACCATGACCAACTTCATCGGCAGCCTGTAGGCCGTCCAAATGGCGCCAAGCGTGTGCCGGATCACCTCGCTATAAAAAAACCTGTAGGTATAAATCTGCAGTAGAAAAGAAAAGTGTAAAAGAGTAATCTTACGTAAAAGTGCATCTCGCAAATGTGGCCGCGCTCTTTTAGGTTTTCCGGTGAGATTCGGATGCCTTTGTGGGCCAACAGGGTCGACCATCGTTCCAGGCCAGCGTCGCTAGAAATAAAAAATGAAACAACCATGGGGCTCTTCACTTACTGTTTCGGGACTGGAAATAGGCGGAAGAGGCGTAGTGGGTTCGGGTTGACGGTCAGATTTGTGCTCTGGCATCCTAGAAAGCGTAATAAATTGGCTCGTTTTCTAAGGTAAAAACTAAAACTTTCGCGTATCAAATAACTACAGAAGTTTAAAAAATCTAAAGACCTTACTAGCAACACCACAGCGAATGAATGTCAGCGGCTGCCCGGGCATTGGCACAAACGAATTGCGCAGCTCCTGATCACTGTGAAGTATGACTATACGGCGCTTCAACTCTTTCGTGACGTCGCTCTAAAACTCATCAAATTCCGAAAACAGATAGAGAGACCCACATCATCGAAATCAGCTGAATATCGTGGATCCTTCTCGGCAATGTTTGGAATACCATCTTGTCCTCTAAAAATTATGATCGTTGGCTACTCACTTCCAAACAAACCCCAATTTGTTGATGAAATGTTTCTGGCATATCCGAATCGGGAAGTTTTCCATGGCCTGTCGGGCTTCGGCTACAAAGCATCAGTTTTGTTTTCGCAAAAAACAGCAAAACCTGGATCAATGATTGCCATGTACTTCATGTACTCTTCGATCACGTCGTTCTGCTTAGCGACCGAAGGAAATGTCTAGAAAGCAAAGCTATCCAGTTTCAAGACAAGCTCACCTGAATAATCGATGAAATCGCTCGCTTTGGAACGAAGCTCAACGGGGTCAGTAGCGACGGAATATTGATTCCGCAGCCCCATTGCGCGCATTTAGTCTAAAAAAATTGGTTTTATAGACGAACTCCAGTATATTTTAAGAGCAGCGCTCAAAACGTACATAATCTTCTTCGTTGCAATAAAATGGCCCGAGATCGGTGCGTCGTACGGCTCTAAATTCACGTGACGCGGAGTTATAATGAACTAACGGCCGTGCTTCAAACAATCCGCCTGGCGGCATCTTGCGCTTCAGGATTTTCGGTGGCGTATGCATCAATTTTGGGCCCTAAATATCTGTTTGAAGGCGTACAACGCTTCTCACCGCTGATCGGCGCTTCATGACTCTCACGCCTGTGCGTGGCCCGGGTTCTTCTGGAGCTAAAAACAAAGTTTGGCAAAACAGAGCGTACAAACCCGAATCCATGATCCGTTTGAGGACTTCTGCGATGTCGCCAGGTGGTGAAGAACCGTCAGCCATCCTGAAAAACAAGAGAAATTAATTGATAAGGTAAAATAATCACTAATCAACAACTAAAACAAAAATAAATTCTTTAAAAATAAACATTTTTTGATTCGAAAATAAATTAATTCCGTTCTGCAACACCGTACCAAATCCGTCAATTGTATTCGAAAAGCGTTACTAAAATAAAAAAATTTCCTTCACAAATATAATTCTAATAATCTACGTCGTTTTTCCGGGCTCATGAATCTCAGATTGGGGTATGTTTTTTCATTAGTTGAAAATCTATCGTTTTAGGTTATCCACGAAGCGCCTCCTCGACTCGTCCATGCTCTACAGTCGCCAGCTAAATTGTACATTCCGCTTTTCGGGTTAAAAATGTAATCGGTTTCAAAACGCACACGGAAATTGCTATTTTAGTATCAGGTTGTGGACAGATGGGGGAAGTAGTACACTTTTGAACGGGGCTCTTTCCGTGCCCACAATGGCTTAGGGTATGAAAAGAGGGGCGATGTACTACGAAAATCAAATAAATTGAAAGGGCACTAATAGAAATTTGCAAGGGCAAACAAAACGCTAAATAAATTCTTTTTGCGAAAACTGGATTTAGATTCGATGGAGGCTCAGCCGAATTTGGCGAAAATTTGCTCCGGCACCGACATCAAGCCGATCCTGGTTTTCCTGGGCGGCGGGCAAATGGCGACAGCCTTGGTGGAAGGGGCAGTGGCTAAAGGTTTGGATTTTTTTATTGAAATCGGGATTTTCATTTTAGGCTTTGTGACGAAAGAGCAGGTAGCTGTAACGGCCCGGACAGAGCAAACGGTGAAAAAGTGGATTGTACGTCGTGTTATGTATTCCACTGACGATTTTTAGAATCGTGGTTATCCGAACGTCAGCGTTGACAATAAGGCATTCGTCGAGAAATATAAATCAGGTACTCTCAAAACTTAATGTACATCCTTGTTTTAGGTATTTTCTTTTTGGCTATGAAGCCGCAGAGCCGTCACGGATTGTATGCTTCGGTGAGTAGGCTCACAAAGTTTTGAATTTTGTGTTCAGGGATGTGATTTTACCGATTGCCGTGTGGTTTGCCTGATGGCCGGCATCGATTTGAAGACGTTAAACGAAGAGGTGGGTTATTTTGGAGGATTTATGAATTCTCTTTAGTTGCCCGGCGCCACGCAAACGCGTCTGATGCGTCTTCACCCAAATGTTGCCGCCGCTGTCGGGGCCAGCACGTCGATTCTTTCCACGCCTGCTGGTTGCTGCCCGGAACAGGTAGCCTGGGAAGCTACGGATGTGTTTTTTTGGGTCTCACGACGGGTGCCGTCCGGAATTTTCAACGAACTGTCCCAGTAATTTCATATTAACGCTTATTTTTCTCGCTCAAAATCAGTTTGTGACTCACATCAGAAGGAGCTATAATGGCCCTACCGACGAATAAGCTATCCGGAAAAACTTATTATATGGGCTTAATGCATTTTAAAACGAAGTCCGCAAGCATCGCTCGATCGATTCTCGTTAAAAAAACCTAGTTTTTAAGCTCACTTTTACAGGAAAAGATCGTGCGTGCCTTCGCCAATTGTTCGGGTAGCTGCTTCGACGTGGAGGAGAACAAGTACGACGCTGCCGGGACGATTGTTGGGTGTTCGCCGGCTTGGGTAAGATTTTACTAAAATAACTGAATCTTTGTTTAGGTATTTTCAATGATCGAGGCGTTGTCTGATGGCGGGGTGTTGGCTGGCGTGCCCCGTGATGTCGCCTCGAAGTTGGCTGCCCAGGCCGTGATGGTAAATTTTAATAAAATGATCCTAGGTCCTTCGTCTTTAGTCTTTTCATTTTCTGCAAGCGTACCAATCCTGTTTTTATTTTAGGGAGCCGCTAAGCTTGTCGTGGAAACCGGAGAGCATCCTGGTGTGCTGAAGGACAAGGTGTGCTCGGCCGGCGGGACAACGATTGCTGGAGTTCGGGTTTTGGAGGCCAAAGGTAAAACTATTGTTCTAGATATGACCATTTTCTGTTTAGGCATGCGTTCCGGGTTTATCGAGGCTGTCAAGGCGGCTACCGATCGTGCCGGTGAGCTTGGGAAGAAATAGAACTTTAACACTAATCGCTAACTGTGCCATTGTTTTCTTTGTTTTGACTAATGCTCGAACATCTCGATAAATCTGTGTATTGACAAGATGAATATGTCCGCGCGTCTTTATTGCAGTATACATTATTTATTCAACCGGTTGGGCTTAGAAGATGCCTTCAAGGTCCTCCTCCAGGGTCTAAAACTAAAGTTTGGAAGTGAGCTTGGAAACTGACCCCGGTCTTATATTCATATCCCTTCAGGATCAGCTCGATTTCTTTCGAGTTGTATTTGACCAGGCTGAAAGAAGATTAAGGAAAGGAGGTTAAACGGACCCGCACTGATCATGAGGGCAACGGCGATGTCCGGTGAAAATGCGCATAAAGGCGACGGTCAGCTCAGCAGTCTGACGATCGGTGCCCTTCAGGATTTGATACACCTGAACTTTTTGGTAACCCCGTGTCTACCAATTTAATCCTACCTTCTTGGCGATGTCAATCCTAGGCACATTGGGCTTCCGGACAATCTCGTCGATGCTTTTCAGGACCTAACAATGAGCGCTATATTGAGTGATTCTTTGCTCGACCAACCTGGGGAAATTCCTCAAGACTGTGCGTCGCGTTTTTCCTCACATCCTGCATGTGGCGCTTCATGAACGCGTTGAATTGGTCTACTTCTTTCTAATTAGCAGGCTAATTCCCGGATACGATGCCTAATACCTGAATCTTTTTCGGCTGCGCCTCTTTCCATTGCTCTAGCTTTTTGTAGAGCTGGGTGCGCGTGAGCGAGTAGTCCATAACAATAGCAATATATTCCCCACGGGCCTTCAGGGTGCAGTGCTGAAAATTGGATTGTTTTTATGGATATAATTTTTGACGAACCTTTAGAAACGGTGGCATCGGGAAGAAGTTTGGTTTCTTTTGGGAAGTTTTCGTCGGTAGTTCATCGACTGTCTAGAGATATTTATGATTTTGGGATTAATATAATGTCTGGTTAGTTATATTTATCATGTATTTTAGAACTTTTTTAGCTACACTTTTAGCTGAGTTCAAACCATCCTCGAATGACAAATATTGGATTTTTATCGTTCAACTGAGTATTTGTCTTGTCCGGGAGAGCTTTTCGAGTCGACCGGGAAACAGCGTATTTGATAGAGAATTTACTAATTCTTGGAGTTTCATTTTTACAATTTTATAAGATTAAAAAGATTGCGTTTTGGAACATCGCCCGGAGCTAAATTTGATAATTCGCTATAGAATCAACTAGCAACTTTCCAAATGGTCCAAAAAATGTACTTTATTACAGGAGTCATGCTAGGACTTTGGCCATCGAAACCTGCGCTCTCTTCTCTAAAAAGAGTTGAAGATAACCCACCGAATCAGAGGCCATCTCGTCAATGCCCGAATCCTCCGACAACTCGGCCAGGGCCACCGCGCCGAGCAGCAACGCCAAAAGCACCGTTTTCAGCATTCTGCAATCATCAATTGTAAGTTTAGTGACCAGGTGACCCGGAACGCCCAGGAAAACAGGCGTGCGAGCAAAATTTGGGGGTGTGAAGGTGACCTTGGTCGGGCGAATAGATGTGGCCCCTCCTCCTCTAACAATGCTCGCGGTTTTCCGGATTTCTTCATATTTTTTCGGGGGCGTCCCCGACGGATTGTTTATGATTTGTGAGGCGTAAACAGCTGGAGAAGGTTGGTGGCATCGGCTCCAGTATAGCTGGGGAAATTCAGGGGATTGGATGAGTCATTGTTAGATGGGCAAGGCGCCAGCGGGGAGTAGATATTAGTTCAAACGAAGGCTGTTAGCAGGGGGGAACTAATTTTTATTCTCCTTCTATCTGTTAAATAAAGTGAATTTTATAATGTTTTATTAGTTTTTGATTGCTAAAAAGTTACAAAGATATTTGAGACATTTTTGAAAATTCGAAAATTCTACCTTTTGGATCATTTTTCAACATTTTCGCAAATTTTATTTTTTAATCCAATTTTTGGTCTAAAAACTGTGTAAAATGCTATAAAAAGGCTTAATATTTTGTTATAGGACCGTAGAGGATTACTGGCAAAGTTAGTTTCCCCCTGCTAACAGCCTAGCACCTTTTTTTCTAGCATAAAAAGCGCTTTGTTTTTGAAAAATTGTACTTTTTAGGAAAGCCCTACAATCCCGGGGACACCAAAGCGAAGGGCTCAAGCGCTTTCCATGTACCCCATTCACCTAACCCCATCGCTCACTCAAAATTCACCGTACCCGCCCCGACCTTGATTCCGAAATTTAGGGCTATCAGCTGCACCGGCGCGTTGTGTTTGAGCTGATTCGAGGGTGGCTGAGGTTGCGGCGGGGGCGACCTACTTTGTTCCGAAATGCTCCTCCGGCTGGCCGCGAGGGTAGTATTGGAGTATTTAGGCGGAACCCGGTTCGCGAGTTGGTAGTCAGACCATCGAAATTCAGCCCCCGCGGGGCGCCGGGGCGCCCCAGACATTCACTCACAATCCACACACTGACCACTCGTGGGAATTGGTTCGCTTTCAGGGTATTGTTGGTTGCAGTTGGGAGTTGAGGGAGGATCGTTGGTTACTTCAATACCGGAAATGGAATGGTTGAGGCTGTCTGGTTCGGGGGCTAAAGGACAATTTGTATGTCGGGAAGCTCAGAGATCATTTTTCGTGCCATGTAATTTTCATTTTTTTTAGTTGTTCAGCTATAGTTTCCTTCGGGTTTCCACCTAAACTAACGATTGATAGGGTTTCTTCAAGGCAAACGTGCAGTGGTATTTTAGGAAGTAGTGTCAGGCCGCTGTTGTTGCACTTTTAGATTTTGTGATCGCCGTTTTCTTAAAAGTAGGGTCCGCAGGGTAGCGTTTACTCAAGTAAGCTTTATAAAATGTTAAGCTTCAAACCAAATTAACATTTTCATTGGTGTTTCCACCTTTTTAAAGCATGCAGAAAACAATTTTGCCATTTTTGCGGGTTTCGGCCGTTAAAACGGTTAATAAAATCCTGTTTTTTTTTCGAAGGCGCAAGCGCTCTTACGGAATGTTCATAATGCGCATTGAAACCTGCCATTTTTAGGTTTTTACTCATCACGATACCTCGAAATCAGCCGAACGTTTTGCCATCCTCCAACTCCCTTTTGCCACGCAAATGAGGCCCGATTTTCGTGTGGGGGATAAAGAGAAAGAGGCCGAGGGCATGTCCGTGACCCGCGTGATCAAGGGTAAGGCCAGGTGTGGTGGCGGTGGGCCTAGCTGGAGGGTCACCCTCAATCACCCATGCCACCCTAAAAGGTAGAGGAGGTGGAGGTGGTGGAGGGAGACTGTCCAGCCAGCCCCTCCCCCTTCCCATACTATATTCCATTCCCTTCTTTTCCTCTACCCAGTAGACACACCCCCTCGGGGGGCTGGACCCATGCATCTACCGGCCCCTCCAGGGCGTCCCCCGCTGTTTCGGCGCCACCCCCTATGGCCTCGCACCACCCGCTGATTTTGACAAGGACGCTTTTTGTTTTAAAGGACACTAAAAGCGGGGTAGAGGTGTTTTTAGGAGCTTGTTGGCGTTGTAATTTTCCTTCACCCTTGTACGCACTTTTTTCTCCGCTTTTATTTTTACTGAAAAAAAGCTTTGCGACCTTTCTGTTTGCATTGTTTATTTTTCATTAAATGTTTGTTGTTAAATTATTTTTTCCGATATTCTGGCGGCCCGGTAGCTCTACCGCGGCCGCCGAAATGTCGAAAAAGTTCAGCAAATGGAATGCCGACAGCGCCGAAAAATTCCAATTCCTATAAATTCCGAAAAAATTTTTTTAAATGTACGTAAAACTTTTTTCGTTTCTCTCCTGGAAAACAAAAACCAAATTTTATAATTTTTCGTGACACTTTAGCGTACCTAATTTTTCTCAAAACCGGGTTTTTTTCTAGTAAAAAGCCTTTTTCTTTCCAACCAAAATTTTATTGACGTTACTAAATAACTAAAATTAAACATTTTTGTATGAGCTGTTTTATATAGCCCCTGAGACTTGTCCTAGACCTGAACCAAGCAAATTATCGTTTTTACGTGCACTCGCCCCTCCATTCCCTGCCTATCATCACCACCACTTTTTTCCAAAACTCCCAAACCTTATTACCCCCATTAAAGCCACACCTCTTCCTCCCTTTTTCTGAGCACCACCCATCAGGTCGGCTGTCAGAACTGGGATGTCAATACCGTTGAGAGACGGATCCTCTTTTCGATTCGGCGTGCGCGCCTCGAGTCTGGTGGTCGCACTGATGCGCGTGGTTTGGACTGTATCGGAAATTTCGGCCTTGTGGTTCTAACGGAAAGGGTGAAGCCGGGCGGCGGGAGTGACTTACAGGCTTGGAAATTGGCAGCCACACGGAAACCGAGCTTTTCCTTTTCAAGATACTTTCCTTGGGAGGGGCGGGTGTTTTCCCCGTTGACGCCGGGACTGGACTGTTAGCGGGGGTGGGGGCAAATTTTTCTCTGTAACCCCGTACGGCCCTATTGCGAATTATCAACCTTTTTAGAAAGTTAACTGTTTTTAGACATAGAAAGTGAGGAAAAATAAAAATTTGCGAAGTTTTTGATTTTTGGTGCACAATGGCCTAAAAAATTTTAATATTCAAAATGCTCGTTCGTTTCGTTGTAAATTCATTCTATTAGTGAATAGAATTAGAAAGAATTCAGAACAAGAAGGATTAAATTGGAAAATAAAGATTCGTTGTAAATGTTTTGTAACCTTGTAGCAATCAAAAACTACTAAAACACTATAAAAATACATAATATGTATAGATTATCCTCAGGCGAAAAACCGAAAATTATTTTTCCCTCGCTAAAACCCCCCCCCCCGTTAACAGTGCAGTACCGTTAGGGCGGGCGGGCGTGTTTTCGACGGTGGCTCCGCCCCCAATTCCGGGTCTGTAACTTTATCGCCGCGGGGGGTGGGGTGCATTTTAGAGTGTCTTTTCGGGCGAGCTTCACGGCCGATCAGCGCCTGATCGCCACTTTCGCCTCCCGATTTCAGCTTCGCGCATCTCGGGGGCGCACATCTCGAGGGGGAGCCTGTTTTTTATGGGGGGCCGACACCACGCCCCGCGGATTTCAGGCTGTGTTTTTTAGACATCCCCTGAGGCTGCATTCCGCCCAGGTTTCGCTGCGAGCGAGCGTGACTCGGGACCGGAAGCGCATTTTTAGGCGGTGGGATTTTAGGTAGTTACCGATTACCGGCTTGTTTTTGTTTGTTTGCTGAAAAACCAAGCATTCCCCTCGTTTATTTAATTAAATATGTTGTATTTTTCTCCTGTATTTCTTAGTTAGTTAGATAAATTCTAAGAAAACTCGGCAAGTTTGCAGTTTTCGCTAATTTTTCGCCATTTTTCCCACCTTTTCGAGGAACAACACAACCTCCAAAAGGACATCCTCTTAATTTGGCAGACTTGGAAATTAAGCACTTTATAGAATTTTGAAATTGGGGAAATTTCGCCATTTTTTCACACATTTTTGAACAAACAGTCAAAGATTTGCGGCAAATTTACAATTTTTTAGAAGTTTTTTTATGTTTAACAACTGTGTAAAACGCTATAAAAATGGTTTAACTTCGTCATACTTCGTACAACTCGTACTGTAACTGTAACGTACTGTAACGTTCGCGTAACTTCGTACGGAATTACTGGAAAAAATTGGGTTTCCCCTCCCCCCCCCGTTAACGGTCCAGTACCCGGGAGGCACCAGGCTATCCTTTCAAGCTTGTTGAAAAAACTGCAAAACCCGGTAAAAGCAAAAAAAAACGGACTTTCCGCTTTTCCTCTACCCCTCGGGTACCCGCTAGCAAATCCGAAATGCCAAACCCACCCGGGATGGATGCCATCCATACGGCTCTAGTCCTCATCCTCCTCCTCCTTCCACCCATTCCTCGAAGAAACCAGTTCCCCTAACTGGCTTGTAAGGATCAGGGCACTCACTCACATCGTTCCCATGTTCCACTCCACCACTACTTACACCCCCCGGTCGTTCCCACTATCCGCCCGCACTCTCATCAGATGGATTCACGGTCTCCGCCCCACTGCTTCCGGGCAGCCGGCTTATTATTCGGCGCTTGGTGGTACCATTTTTAAAGGAATTGGTAAGGTACGGTACGGTACGCGACGCACGCACCCGCCTTTTCATTGCGTAATTGGTTAGATTTTTAAGGCGCACGTTCAGGTAGTTGAATCTAGATTCTTATGTACGCGCGATATGTATGGATTGCTGCATCTCTGTTTCTCTCTCACTCTCTCTCTCTCGCTCTCTCTCTCTCTCTCTGTTTCAGTCTGCGTAAATCGCTCCCGGCGCCTTCTTTTTATGCTCTCCGGTTTACCTGACGTGTTCGATTACACCCATTCCCTACGTTTTATGCATTATCGCGCCCAAATCGGGGTACTGATCAGCAAAAACTCTTCGATTTCTGAAAATCCCCAATTTTAGCTGTCGCGTTCGGTTAAACCGGTTTAGGACCCAAAGGTTCGATCCAAACGAGCAAATATTTTTTAGTTTTAGTTTTTTTCGAACTACCGAAATTTCCGTATTTCCGGATAATTTCCGGCGTGAAACTCCCCCGTTGGCTGGGTGCCAAGCAGCCTCGGGGGTGACGTCGGGTGAAAGCTTCTTCCCCCCATCGCTTTCAACGCGACTCACCTGCGAAGCCTTCTTCGCAAGGTGGATGAGCCTTCGCAAGGCGCGCGTCAGAGATCTCTATCAAAATATGCATGTGCCCGTGACACGAAGAAGACTATTCCCGCCCGAGACGGATCCCCCTCACATCGATCTTACCCCCAGGGCTAATTTCTGCGTGCATTCACTTTTCTGGCGGTTCTGATGCATTAGCGGGGGGGTGTCGATATCTTCCCGGGATTGTGGATCACGTTATTTTGAGCTGCAATTAAAACTAGATGTATTTTTTGCTTCCTATTGTTTGTTTTCCTTTTTCTATTATTTTTGATGATCTATCCGAATGCGTTGAAAAATGCCGAAAACTCGAAAAATCTAGGGCAGTAACGCCCCCCCGTAACGAACAAGAACCTTTCTGGGATTTTTTGCGATAAGTTAAGATTAATAATTTTGCCTTAACTTTTGTCATAACTATGATTGGTAAGGTACGGCAATTTTTTCTACCGGCTCGTTTTGAATATTTATTCGTGTTTTCATCACTTTTTTAGCTTTTTTCCTTTTTTTCCATGGCATACCGCTCCATTTCTCAGCCGTCTAACTAAACGGTTCTGGTTGACCCTCAAAAAACTTTCTCACCGTGAAAGGGTAGCATCCTCTAAGCAACATCGGGGAAACCCGGATCTTTCCTTCCTTTCTCAGCCAACGAATTTCCAGTCAAAATTTCTTATTTTGGCTCTCCGTTCCATTTTCGACGACGGTTGAGAGCGAATTTCATTCACCGAGCGCTTCTCTGCAGTTTTCAGACCTTTTGGAAATCGAATTCAGCGTTAATTTTATTTTATTAGATTTAGAGATGCTATTTTTTTCTCCCTAGATGGTGGAAATTGTTGAAAATACATTTCTGGCTGGCTTTAGGTGTTCTCTTCTTTATTTCTTTGCTCGGATCGCTTTCCGTTGGGCTACTGAATCGTTTCTTTCGTCGCTTTCGGCTTTGCTTTGATGAAATCTTGAGATGACTTGCTCTCTCTATCTCTCTCTCTGTCTCTGTCTCTCTCTCTATCTCTCTTTCTCCCTATCTCTCCTTTTTTCTAGTTTCTAACTCCCCCCTTTCCAGTATGGGTAACCGGCCATCAGTGCAGTCGACATATCCAAGAATGGGCCCCCAGTGGGCCCCACCGCCAATGTATACTGATGGTGGAGTGCCGGGTGGAAGACCGAGGATGGTCGGGATGAGGCCACAGTCGATGTACGATCGACCGGCCGACCCCTCGTTCACCATGATGCCCGCACGGATGCCGCCGCCACAGCTCAGGAGGTGCTCTTTTTGTTTCAAAATTTAAAGAATATGCAATTACATTCAAAGGCACTAAAAAGACTAATACACCTGCCTGATTCCTGGAAAATAGCCAAAATAGCCTCGACGCGACGGCGCGCCGCTCTCGTTATCCCTTTTTTTGACGTAAAAACGTTCGAATTCGTCAATTCTGACCTCATTTCTGGAATCCGCAGGCAATTTTGGATACATCTAGCTCTTTTAATTATTAAAATCGCCCCGGGAATCAAGAAGATTCATGAATTGGATTGATCAGAGGGCATTACGACCTGTAATCTGACATCTAGCTCCCTTAACCCCTCAAATTCCAGGTCCCAAATGTCGCTGAACACCGTCGGCGGCTACGACGCGTTTCCCGAGCGCAGCAAGCAGGCCAGCCGCTACTCCCTCCACGAATGCATGATGGAAACACGGTCAGTAGATGCTCGTCGTCAAATTACCTCCCCCTTTAGCGTGCCGCAGCCCATTTTCACCGACCCGAAAACGCTGAAAAAGATGGAGAAGAAGCACCGGAAACTGATGAAGAAGCTCAGCGGGAAAAGAATAGACCCGGCGCTCGGGCCATTTTATCCAGGTATCGTCAACTGTCTTTTGGAATACGACGTAGTACCGGTGGGCAGTCTCAAGAAGTCTAAAGAACGCGTTCCCCAAGATCGAGCGGGGGGATAAGCCGGTGGCGGGAAAAACTTTTAAGCGCAGCCCTCGGGGGATTTCGGCGAGTTTTGCGGCTAGGTGTTCCCTTGAAAGCAAATAGCAAAAAAGGGGCAGGAGCTTTCATGAAATCCAGAAATCCCGGTTTTCATGAAAATATATAGGAGCGTGAAAGTTATGTTTAAAAAAAATAAGCTGCTTTTGGAGTGATCGACAGATTGAAAAGTAAACCCTTATTTGAATTTCTATAAAACTAGCAAAGCCGGGTCAAAGACAAAGTTCAAAATGGCATGTCGGCATTTTTAAATATCAGAATGTCGAAATTTCACCATATTGTCAAAAGGGCAGTTTTACCTCTCGGAAAGTCCCCCCAAATACGATACAAAAATGCGATATTATCAACATTTCGGCATTATCATTTTTCTACATAACGAAAATGCAACTTTATAGATTTAAACTATTTAAAAAAAAGGCGAATTTACCAATTTTTCAGGCACCCTTCTACCCCCACCACCGATGGCCACCCAGGTCGTCCCACCGCCACCCCAGTTCCACCGTGCCGTCAGCTACGATAACATACACCGGTCAGTCCAAACACTCGGTCAAGAGCTTCTTTCGCCTCAGCTAGCCGTATTGTTATTGATAAACGGGCGCCCCTTAAGTGTCCATTGTCTCGTTCCATCGAGTATGATGCTTCTTCTTCTTCCCCCCCGGGGCGCCAAGTTGGCTTTTCCAAAAAACAGGTCCACACGCAACCAGTGCCCGCATTCTTTTTGGCGCTCTCGAAAAAAGCCGCCAAGGCGCGTCACTTTCGCGGATGGGACGAAAAGGAAAGGTGGGGGCGAAACTGCAAGGTCGCCCCGGGTCAACGGCGTAATAAGGACGATCGCGCTCGCAGGGGGGGGGGGGAGAAGAAGGCAAATATTGCCTTTTCGGGGGTGTGGTCACGGCGAATGCATCTACTCGATTTGCAGGGGGAAAAGGGCAAATTTTAGAATAGCCAGTTAAAAACAGGGGGACTCCCGGATCCTCCGGAAAATTTGTGAAAATCGCAACTCGCGCGAGTTAGTAACAAAATTATTTTGGCCTAAATGAACAGGTTTTAGCATCAAGAGCGTGCTATGTTTTAGCACGCTCGGTTCCGTTACGTTACTGGTTGCGCTGTTTTTATAATCATTATTTTAGTGTCTTGTAGTTTTTTTAATATACAAAAGTTTGCTTTTAAATTTTCAAAATGTCGAAATCATCATGCCGAAATTCGGAATGTCGAAATTTACTTAAGCAAATTTCTCGGAAAAACCCCAAACTCTGTGCAAAAAAATCGACATTATGAATTTCAGCATTCTGAAATCATAAAATCATCAAAAGGTTTTTTAATTTTCAAAATTAGATCCGAAGACTGCTTGGTGGCGCTAGCAGTTTTCCTAAATAATCTCTGCTAGCTTGCCCGTCATCATTCATTATCCGCTTTCCCACCAATCACCCTACGGCCCATTGGCTGACCCTGGCTGGGAGTGGCGGAGCGGTGGCCTTGTGCGCGCTCGTTCATTTTTTTACCCCCAGACGCCCCGAGTAATATGAGGCAAATTATGGGCATACAGAGAGAGATAGTGAGAGAGAGAGAGAGAGAGAGAGAGACATGCCCCCCCCAGGACATTCAACATATATTGTTGCCCGGACTCCTTGAAAGGGCAGAGACCGCCTATTGGCAAGGCGGCAAGACGGAGAAAAAGGAACACCCGAGCTGACAATAGTCCCCCTCGATGAATACCTCGTTCGTCTACAGTGTGCTCCCACGGACACACTATGGGCTAAACAAAAAGAACCACCTACCCCCTCCGGGGGAATTGTCTTCCCCTCACAGGACCTTTTGACGAGTCCGGGATGGAGATGCACAATAAAGTTTCCGCGCCGCGTCCACGGGGTTGGTCAGCCGCGCGAAAAAATGGATGAGAAAGTTGGCCGAGCATGACCTGGGGTGGCGTACGGTAAATGATGTCTTATAGGAATGGTGTTTGACTTAGAAGAGAACTGAAACCTATTGAAAACTAGGAAAGACAGAACCGAAGCTTACGGTGGGTACTGGGGGAGCTAAAGTAAATTAAATCATTTTCTTTTCTAAATTGTAGCTCTCTAAATATAGTTTTAAAACGTCTTTTTTAATTGTACTCACAATTTTTGGCGACGCTTTGACTGACAGGAGGGGGTATTTTAAAAAATTTATCATCGTCTAGTCATCATATTCAGATTTATTAAACTTCTAATCATAATGTCTAAATTCAAATACCTTCTAAAATGGTGAGAGGCCAACTCCCTTAAAACCTCACATTGTTAAAAAACGCAGATCTTTATTTCAGCATTTTTTCAAGCCTTTCGCGACTAGAAGCCCACACAAAAGCTCAAAAAATTCCCAAAACGCCCGCGCTTCTCTTCTGATCCGGAAACACGGGCGCCGTGTGTTTCCTTCTTGGCGCGTCGCGCTTCCTGACCCCGGTCCAGAGCCCCACCGCCGCCCGGCCACACCACCGCGACGATCCTGTTGACAGGGCAAATAGGGTGCATGGATGGGAGGTTGAGGGGGATGTTGACCGGCCCTCGGGTATTCCCGATCCAATTGCACACCTTTCCGAGCCTTTCCAAGACGCACCACCACCACCAGCACAAGCTCTGAAGAGTGGCCCGTTCAAGGATCGAGCTGCGAGAGGGGGCTAGTGGACCCCGCCGGAGGGTCGAGGGCCAATTGACAACGGGATGCGCGAGCCTGGGGGCTTTTTCGTCTTGGAGCGATGAGAGGGGCGCGAAAATCACTTGACAAGTCGCCAGGGGCAGGAGAGCTGATCCATCGGGATGGATAGAATCTGAATTGGTCGTTGAAGAAACACACTTGAAATTCTGGCGCTCAACAATTCTATCCCGAAAAAACAACAAACACTAACACAAAAATGAAATACAACTAAAAATCACCGGGTGTCCGACAGACCAGGCCGGAAAAATTCGGGTGAAAACCTTATTAGGCTGTTTTAAGTATGTTTTCAAAAGCCATTTCTGACTCTGTTAAACCCGTATGGCTAATTAGTATAAAATTGCGCTAGTATTAGCTAAAGGGAGTCAGTTAAATAGGGCAGGCCGAAACTATTGTAAAACCTTAGAAAACTCTAACGAAAAATTACCTAATTTCTCAGTTTGAAGGTATCTAATATAAAGTTGCAATTTCAGATGCCGATTCCCAGCAAATCAGCCCTTGCCCGAAGAGTACCTGAAAAAACAGACAATGCTAAAGCAAGAAATGAGGAATCGACCCCTGGAAAGGTACAAAGATTTCTTCAAAATCAAAAAAATTTCTTCTAGCACCTCCTCCGGCCGTGGATCCCTTTCGCCATCACCCCTGACCTCGTGCTCACCTACCGAGTCACAAAACACCCGGGATACGTGAGTCCACTGACTAGAACCCGTGAAAAAGGTCTTTTTAGCTGGTTCGAGAGCCGACGACGGTCCGCGAAGGAATTGGGCCCCGAGCGGAAGATCCCCGTTCAACTATTGGTAAGGCGGATTGAAGGAATAAAAATTCAGGAAGGGAGGAACCAAAATTAAAAAATAATTCTAAACTAATGTACAATTTTTGCAGAACCGCAACCGTACCCCATCGCCCGACTTTCTCAGCCACCGGACGCAGAACATGGAGAAAGTAGAGAAGCGATATACGAGCCGCTCGTGCACCTACTCGCAGCCGATACCCAGGGAGCGGTAAGTTAAAAAGGAAAGTATTTCGGCCAAATGACCGAATTTCGTATTAACTGTCAACATGATGATTGGAATTCCTAATCAATAGATCGTCAAGATTCGATTAAAGGCTATCGCCATTATAAACCCCCGGTTGCAGAAGCTCGGCCGGATATTCCTCGAGCCGCTCCTCAGTGTCGGGCCCGCAACATGGCGACCACCAGTCGGAGATCGACTTCAGCTGGGTCAGGGACGAGGAGAAGAAGCTCGCCGCCAGACCGCAACAAAAAGGCACTAAACATAGTTTCCGCTTAAAAACGACTTCCAGAAAAACCCGCCCAATTACCGATGTGCTATTTCGGCATGGAACCCCCGGCTATCCCCTCACCGAACGTAAACATGAGGCGGAATGAAGCGGTAAGTCAAGAAAAAACGGCAGCAGATGAAATTTCTGCTATTTTTAGGGCTTTATTATATAATCATTTAGGCAATGGAATAAGGATCTTGTTTAGACGAACAACAACAGCGCTTCGGATCTGCGCGCGAAATTGGCGTATTTTGAGCGCGAGGCCAAGGAGGCGGAGAGGGAGCGGCAGCAGGCTAGGGTAAGTAAATAGTCCAGGTATCTCAGAATATTGCCCAAATTTCAGACGGCCGATCAGGAGCGCTGGCACACCTCAATGGCTTTCTAAACACCAGAAACAACCTGACCACACTCAGCAACGCTAAAAAATCTTGCTCAACTTTGACACCCCGCACAGAAGCCTGTATACAAGTATTCCTGCCCAACCCGTGTCACCTGAATAAAGAAATATACGAGGGAAAGCAACACCGAGGATCATAGAATGTTTTTTACGTATAACTAAATAAGTAGAAATATTTATAAGCCCCTGGAAAGCTCGGGGACAACTGTCCAGGGGTGGGAAGCACAATGGAATGTCAAAATCTCGAGCCAAACACAAAAAAAAAGAGAATTGCCGGGAGTCTCTACGCCTACTAACGTTACCAGAGTATAGTCATAGAATTTTCACAACCTACGTACATACACAAATCCGAGAGAAGAAGCCAGGCTGGCGCTTCCCAACCGTAACCAATTTGGGGGCGAGCGCATGAGAGGGAGAGATAGGAAAAGAAAGCATATTTCGATATACAGTAAGGGAATGGGTACTGTAGTGAGGGAGGAATGACTAACGGGGATATCGGCTACATATCACATGAGCGCACTAGATAGAAATCGGAAGGCCCAGACTATGGCAGAATACTTCATTCAATACCGATGAAGCACAGGTAAGGTGGGCGACAAGTGAGGCAATGTGGAAATTTGCTGAGAGGATAATATTAACGCGGGGGTTGACCGGTCACCGTCTATTCCTTGAAGTTGATCACAATCTGCTTCTGCTTGGGGTCGTCGAATCGGTCCATCGTCTGCACAGAGTTCAGCATCAAGAAGCCGAAGACGAACGTGGCCAGCATGACCAGCCCGGAAATGATGCCTGAAAATGAGAAGACCGTTCGAAAGAAGGTGATCACGAAAGATCAGGACCAATTTTCACTACAAAGCCCAGGTATGCCTAGTAATGTGCTGGCAACTATCTTAGTAGTTTTTATAAAGAACCTATAGCTTTTCAACTAGGCAAACGTGCAAAAATTAGTATTTGGACGAAAAATCCGTTTTTTTTTCCTGCATTTTGAACAAAATGCGCTTATGGCGCCCACATTTCAGTAAATAAGTTTTGTTCCCACCGATTTTGCGAAAAACTCAAATAGAATAAGTTCGGTGAGATTCGTTATAAAAAGATTAACTGACCCATCAGCGATCCTGTCGAGAATGTTCCGACACAGTCGATGACCTGGGTGTTGAAGAGGAATGTGCCATCGACCGTCGCGTCGACGCTGGCCAGACGGCGCAATTGGACCTAAAATTTGGCATAAATCCTGGAAACCAAAAACTGACTTGAATGTTGTGGAAAGCGATTCCGATCTTGTACGCATCATCGGTCGAGTCAAACCACACGGCCGGGGAATCTCCGCAAGTCCAGCCGTAGCTGAAATTGAAAAGTTGAACGGATAACGCAGAGATTCCGAATTTCTCGACACCAAAAGTAATCTTTTTTGGAAAAACCGATTGATTATTAAATTGGATTCCCCTGATCCGAAAGCAACCGCAACAACTAAATACCAAAATTTGGCTACCGAGAGTTTGGCTTGCGGCTCCTATGAATCCCCCAAGCCTTCCGGACCTACATAATCGCATTTTTCTCCAGGGCAATCAATCAATTTTTCCAAAAACTTCGAGTAAAACAAAAAAAATTACCCGAGCACCGCATTGACGCCCATGTAGGAGAGCCCGGTGCCGTTGCTACCCTTCGTCTGGATGTTCTTCCCCTAAACGAACCACATAAATTCCGCAAGTTATTACATACCAGAACACTCTTGTCGCCCTGGGGTCCGGCAACCAGGCTGATAGTGCTTTGGAGCTCGGCATTTGTCAGTGCCCAGTACCCAGCGATATCTTCCTAGAATTCAAAAATCTTTTGCAAGAAAGGAGGTACTAACCGCAAAGGTCAACTTGATTTTGACCGTCGAATCCTTGGTGACGTTGAACTGGACACCGTTCACATTTTGCCCGGCCACCGTATCCGAAGGAGTGATGTCAACCGTAAAGCTGAAAAAGTCAAGGTTACTTTAAATCAAATATTACAAAATTTTTGAAATCCGAATATTGGCTGTTATTTCGTTCAGCTTTGTAAAGACAATCCAATAATGGGGGAAAAACTTCGGAATGCTATCAAATGCTGAAAGCTACTTACTTCCAGGTTCCGGGGCCCTCGTGCGGTCCAAGTTCAGGGCAGACAGCATAGGTAGGATCCCACTAAAAACTTTTATCCAACTGTCGGAGAACAAAGACCTACGGCAAATTGACCACTGTTGATGACAGCAGCGGCCGAAGGATTTGCCGATGGGTTTTCACCTAAACGCCAATAAAATTCATCGAAAACAGATTCCAACCAATGATCTTCTGGACGACGACGGTGATGCCCTCCAGGTAGAAAAGGCAGCTGACGTTCTTTAGCTGCGGGGAGTTAGCCGTCCTGAAAGCCAAAATTATTTAATTTCTAAGCGGCAAAATACCTATTGTATGAGGGCAACGTCACCGGAAGGTCAAGCATCTCAGCCTGAAAATGGTCATACAATACCGAAAATACAAGATAGCGAGCAAAATCACGGCTACACCACAGAGACCAACCACCGCTATACACAACGCCTATACAAACCGGTCTATCGTAATAGCGAGTGCGCGCTTTAGAGGCTTTAACAGGCGGGCGACGTGCCCTTTGGCGCTAGATAATGCAAATAAGAAAAATGATCTTTTGACTTACGTTGCCTGCAGCGTCACCGTTGGACTGCTGTCGCTTCACGCGAGGCTAAAATAGGCAATAAAAAAATATGAGAATGAAAACCAACCACAGATTCAACTTTTGTGACGGCAGCGGAGTCGGTGATGACCACAATCGATTTGGGGAACTTGGACAGGACCTAAAGACGAATTATGGTTTGAAAGATTGGACATGCCAGGACGGCCATCTCTTCCAGCGAGCTCCAGTCATCGGCAGAGATGACGTATGCCGACTGGCCCGGCTTCAAGGTAGAGGCAGAGGTTTCAACATCGGCATCAGGAGCCTGAACATGGTTTTTCAGCTCAAAAATATCGCCGAAAACATACATAAATGAGCTCATCAATATGAGCATTCAGCTTCTGAGCCGCACCCTTGACGACCGAAGCCAATGGAGAAGCTTTGCCCGAATCCGAATAGACGTTGGCGTGCCTAAACAAAAGGTAAAAACCTCCATAAAATCACTCACTTGCTGAACTCGCCGAGCGTGAAATCGGGCTCAACCAGGAAAATCAGCGGTGTCTCGGACGTTGCAGCGCTCAAGAGGTCTGCTACGTTGCCGCTAAAAATCAAAAGCTTGACTTCACCACCAAAAACAAACATACCTCAACTTCTCGGTGCTGGAGAAAATGACGGCGTCGTGGGCAAAAACTGCCTGCTGGAGCACGAGCGCCGCCACGAGCGCCAACAAGTTTGTCATCCTGAAAAAGCTTGGATGACGGAGGGAGTTGCAGTAAATCGGTAGAGAAATGGGAGATGAGAGTCAAGCATCGAGATAGGAGACCAAAAATCAATCGATGATTCGAAATGCACGGTTAGTGCTATATAAATAAGCTGTTTCATAACATCTCGATCCATCAAGACATGAAAAATTCAGAAAGCGCCTGCGGATTCGGTTTGCCCATCTAAATCTTGTCTTCGGGAGCTATTATTCCAGCCTTGTTTGGTCTCAAACGAAACAGAACAGCGAGTGGGCCCCAAAAACTGCTGGTCAAGACGTAACTGGTCGCTATTCGTACAGATGTAGATCAGTGACCGATCTTCAGTAACCGTGATACACCTTTCAGCGGCGCAAGGGTGAGGACTAAAGGTCGATAGGAAAAGGGGCGCTGCGGGACCATTTTCCGGCCGCTACACGGGCGAGGCTCAAAAGCAGCCCGGCAGCCCGCGAACATCGCGCCACCAAACGATAAGCCGCATGTTTGCGACACCTGTAATCGATGATTTTGCCTAGCTGCTGCTCAGGAATTATCTAGCCAATTTTATTTACGCTGATCAGATCGATAACGACTTCCAAAACTAACTGACTAACTTATTGCGGGGTAATTTTATGCAGGAAACCTACTTTATGACGTAAGAAATAGGGGTACAAGGATGGTTGGGGGGGGGGCCACTTTTTTTTGTCGGTTTCAGATCAGTTTTTGTGCTGAGTTCGAATTTCACAAAATCAGGCTCGAATAACGCCTTTTTTCCACCGTAAAAAGCCTTAACCTGTTTAACAAGGGTTTATCGCAACAACAAGGATATAACAAGATAATAGACTAGTAGCAAGTGTGGTCCCGCTAGCTTATCATTCGCAAGGGTAGTGATCGTGGACTTGTTCCCAGAAATGGTAGAAAGGGTCGGTGGAAAATTCCTGGCGCCATAGAAATAGTATAGTATAGGCTTAGTCTAGGCCTAGCTTAGGCTTGGCCTAGCCCTAGCTCAGGCTTGTTCTAGACTTAGCTTAGGATTGGGCTTAAGCCTAGGCTTGGCTTAGGTTATGCTTAGGCTGGGCTTGGCTTGGTTAGCTTAGGCTTGGAGAAAAGCTTAGGTCGGAAAAAAACCCCAAAAAAAAGATGCCCCCCAACATCAATGGCTCCGGTTGTATTTTAGGAAAGTGGATATCGCGGCTGATACCGCCGTTTTACGGTGGAAAACGGCGTTATTCGAACCTGATTTTGTGAAATTCGAACTCAGCACAAAAAACTGATCCGAAACCGACAAAAAAAAGTGGCCCCCCCCAACCATCCTAGTACCGAAATAGGTAATAACAGGGAAGGGGGCAAACGATCTCCAACCAGGTGGAAGCATCGCACCCAGGTCCTTTAGGAAAAGCAATAATTAATAGGGCTGAAAAACAAAGCGCGCAAGCGAAGAATCATCCTCAAAATAACCCGGAGGAGCGGCGGATGCATTTCTAATAACCCAACTTCTGTTTCTTGAATTATGTTTCCAAGCTAATAGATCCAGTAGAAAACCTGCATCCACTCTGGACACTACGATCGGCGTGTTAGCATGATATGTAACCACCAGCTAACTAGAATGTAGTTTCGGGTATCGCGACGGCGAATTCAGCATTAAAAATTATCTAACCAAATCACCTTCCCAGATTAGAGCGCGATACCTTTAGGAATCCTAGATGCTTGTCTTTGGCGCTTCTGGCTTCAAAGCGACGCACGCGTGCCCCGGGTAAACAATGCATCCGCGTAAGCACTACACGTGACCCGGCAAAACTCGAGATGGCAGGTGTTGATGATGCCAGCTGGCGACTCTTCGCACGAGACCCATTTTCTAAAATTTTTTTAGCAAATTAACAAAAACTAGCAGTTTCTCAAGGATCGATCGAAATAAAAAACAGTGGTGATTCGTTAGCAGAAATTTCAAACCGAAACTTTTTTGGGCTGATGTTACTTTCTTTACAAATCACGAACGGCGCTACGAGCCTGTACTATGCACGGTTCCGTACAGTTTTTCTGACGTAATCGAAAATTTTTCGCGCAGCATCATTTTGATTTTTGATTGATTTTTTGTTCCTCCTACTGATAATTTTTGTTTTTCCGAAAACAACAGTCCTAAACAGTAGCTTGTCACTCCCTTTCCCTAGCAGTGACTTGTTTTCGAGTTTCTCATTTCTCTTCCTCTCCCACATCCGTCCCATCTTGCACCGGCATATTGATTTTTGGGCTCTCGTTCCCCGCGCCCTTCTGGTCCTTTCGCCATTCGCTGTTGTTGCTAGGCCGCCGGCCCATTTTACTCAATTTTTCAGGAACAAAATGGCCCCACCAACCTTCGCTGATCTCGGCAAGTCGGCCAAGGATCTCTTCAGCAAGGGATATAGTAGGTCTCCTTATCGTCTGCGCCAATCCCCGCTTTTCCTAGACCACGGGCTCGTCAAGGTCGAGACTACGACCACTTCTGGAGACAACAAGGAGGTCGAGTTCAAGACCAACGCCACCCACAACCTCGGCACTGGCAAGCTCGGCGGAAACTTGGACGTCAAGTACAAGGTCCCCAAATACGGTACTTTTTTTGATTGATTCCTTATATTTCGTTTAGGGCTTACCTTGACCGAGAAGTGGAACACCGAGAACCAGCTCGGCACTGTCATCGAAGTAAATGAGCAGTTCGGCCGCGGATTGAAGCTGACCTTCGACTCTGTCTATGCCCCGCACAGCGGAAAGCGATCTGGCAAGCTGAAGGCCGACTGGTCTCACCCGACCGCCAGGGTAATATTTATTTTTCGTGGTGGAATAGTTTCATTTAGATCACCGCCGACATTGGGCTTACGGCATCGCCTGTCATCAACGCCGCCGGAGTGTTCGCGCGCGACGGCTGGTTGTTCGGAGCCCAGGCGACCTTTGACACCACCACCAACAAGCTTGCCGGGTAATTTGCAATTTTCACGCCAGGAATCATTCCTTTTAGAACACAACTGTCTTTCGGCCACCAGGCTGGAGACTACACCATCCACACCGCCGTCATCAACTCCAATGACTTTGGAGCCTCGCTCTTCCACAGAATTGGCCGCAACGTTGAGCTCGGAGCTCAGCTTGGCTGGAAGACCGGCGCCAGCGGAGTCACCTATGGCTTGGCCACCAAGTATGCCCCAAGCAAGGACATCGTCTTCCGCGGAAAGATCAACAACGAATCAAACGTACGTTTCAGTTTTTGATGCCGTTTTAGCGCTGCCTTTTAGGTTGCCATCTCTGCCACCCACTCTATCTCGCAAGGACTCAACCTCAACCTCACTTCGCACTTCAACCTCACCAACAACGAGGCCCACAAGTTCGGACTTGGACTGGAATACACGCCATAAACGACTCAAGCGCATTAAGGGCCCCTATGATTCAGATTATTTTTTAACATTTTGTAGCGTTTATCGAGTTTTTTTGTAGTTTCGTGTTCATTGCTTTTACAAATAAAGCCGTTCATTTATGTACGTGTCGCGCAGTTCTCGCAGCAACTTGTTCGGTGAGGTCGATGATATTCGTGAGCAGAGAGCGGAGTTGCTGGTTGGAGGTGTTTGAAAGCTCTAAAAGGGTTACACTTTTGCGAAGCATCGTTGGCACTCACTTTCCAAGGCTTCCAACGAATATTGCTTGATGTTTTCGTTGCCCTCTTTCACAAAGCTCAGCGTCTTCATCATCTCTCGGAGTGCGTTTTGTTGCAAGTCATCGGACGGCTGCTGTAGGAGCTTCATAGTATAATCTTTTTTACCTGAACCATCGTGGCGGTCCTTCCATCGAACTGCTCGACCACAATTTGCCCCACTTCCTTGTACTTCTCGATAACCTTTAGCATTTTCTTCTTTGGTCCGTAGGCAATTCCCATTTCGTCAAAATCCTACAACGCTATTTCAATGTTTTGTAGGTAACCTTTTCATTTAGTTCGAAAAAGAGGCGTAGGTCGATGTTCTGCTCATGGAGCTTGGGAAGCAGACGCTCAAGCTGGAGGGCCGTCAACAGCTCCGCCAGTGAAGTAGGCTGACGTGCGGCCGTCTGTCTGCCAAGGTGAAACGTGGTTTGCTTTTCTACCTGTCGTTTCCGGATGGTGGGCAGTAAGGCTGGGCAGGCAAGTGCCGCGCCATCGTCGCCTTGCTTGTTCTTAATCGACAGATCTCCTCCCTAGGGGAATGCACGGTATCGTTCTGATGCCTTACTTTTTCGAGTAACGCAACCAGGGTCAGCTCATGGCCGGCTGCACAAGCCTCGAGCGTTGGTGTCATCCCCGTTGCGTCGGTGGAATTTGGGTCGGCTCCCGCTCGTAGAAGCACATCGACTGCCTAAAGTTTGGCCAGCTTGAAAGCTTCGAATTTAGCCTACCACATTCTGGCTGCACGAAGCGGCGTAGTGCAGTGCCTGACGGTTTTTGACGTCGGTCCGATCAACGCTAGCTTTTTTCTAGATTCCTATTGGGACAGGCGCTTTGGATCGTCACCTGGAGAAGTAAGTTTACCGACGAGACGTTTCCACAGGCTGCAGCCAACATCAGCGGTGTTTGGCCCTTGGCGTTGCAGACGTCGACTTTGGCAGCGTGAGCAAGGAGTAGGGCCACGGTTGGCTCATGGCCAAGGTAGGCGGCGTAGTGGACCGCCGTCCAGCCACTGACATTTCGGGCGTTGAGGTCGGCGCCTCTTGTGATATGTTCTGTAATTATTGGGGGATATATTAGATCTTAGAGACAAAAACCTAATTTCGAAAAATATTGCTCTTTATATTTTAGCTTGCGTAATTGTATATTGTAGCTAAATACGTTTAGATTCACATACCTTTTAGAAGATCATTATCCCCAATGCTGGCTGCCGTGAAAACGTCCATCAAATAGGCCGATTCCGGATAAGCGCGAGGGGGTACTTGAGCTACTTTGGCCGCCATTCGAGCTGTTGCTAAAGGTATAATTGAGTTACTGAGGTCTACGCCTGGAGTAGCGTCGTAGTTAAGAGATTCTTGAGGGAAATTTATGGATAAAGGGTGTGGATCCGGGGGTGAAAACAGGTCGGGATGATTGGGGAATTGATTGCCGTGACACGCGAGGAGCCCGGGGGTCGTTGACCGGAGCTCGATCGATCCTTGGATTTCGAAAGAACCGGTAATCATCGGAGAAGTTGTACGGTTTTTTTTGTGGAGAAAATATGCGTGTTTCCGAGCTTTAAAAATAGATTATCTCGAGGGGGCCCTGATGGACAAATATTAATTAGTATTTGTTGACTTTTATTACGTAGGTATTAGCGGTTGCTGGCTCTAGTATAGACTTTAATGAGCGTTGCAACTTTAAAGCGCTTTTTCTTTTACCGCAACCGCTTATGGATAATCGCAGATTATTGTTATTCAGTGTTTTAGTGTTTTTTGGTTATTTTGTAGGTCATAACGGCTTGTGTTGCGTTATTAATAAGCTTTAATAAAAAGGTTAGTCTTTTTTCGCAATTTCTCTTTAGGCATTTCTTTTAGCATTTTCTTTATTGTTGCATTTTCTGCCATCCCCGTTCATCACCAAGATACTTGTCGCACTCACTCCCCCTTTTTGGCTACTTGTAAATTTCAGACTAGCGCGCGTGTCGCGAGAGTGCGTCGGATTGTTGACCTGCTCTTTTTGAGGCGTTGAGGGAGACGCGGAGAGGGGAGGATGACGCCTCGGGGAGCTGGGGCTCAAGTGGCCGCCAGAGGGGGTGCTCTGACAGCCATCATGTTTCCACCTTTCGAGGCTGCGGATCAACTCTCGTGCGGTATGTGTAGAACGGGCGCGCCGTCGTGTCGTCCCGCCCCCATGGTGTTCCTCCGGATCCCGAGCATGGTTTTTGAGCATTAACTTGACGTGCGATTGGAGTGTGGATTAACTTTGCAGAGAGGAGTAGAGGCTTCGGTGCTAGTGCACTGGTGGTAGGAGGTTACGAGACCCTCGCCTCAAGCTACTGAGTTTTTAGCTTCAGCTTATGCGCATGCTCAACTTCGATTTTTCTATGTTTAGGGAGCTTCAGACTTACGTTTAGGGAGTATTAGTTTCAATTCGCCGAGCCCAGAAGGCGGCTTAGAAAGGGCTTTAGAAAAGAGCACGCTGAGGAATATGCTACGCCTGCGTCGCTCTATCGTTTGTCTCGCGTAATTAAGCGTCCACGTACCACTTTAAGAATAAGCCTGGGCTTGGCCTACGGCTTCAAGAACGTGAATAGTATCGAGGATTTTTGGCTATTTCCGGTCAACTGCTTGTTTGACTAAGTCAACTTACAACTTACTGTCAAATTACTAAGTCGAAATGGCATTTAAGATAAAGCCTTCGATTTCATAGCCTCTAAAGGGCTTTTCTAGAACAGATTTAAGCTTATTTCTGGGACTTCTGATCATTAAACCTATACTAAAAATTTTAGTTCCTGGTCAGCCCCGGTCTAATTTGCACGCCGGGCTGATCCGTGCCGCCCGCTCATCACTTTTACCGTTCGAAGAGGGGGGCCCGCCCGAAAATAAAGGGAGATGTGAGCGCTTCTCCTGCTGCCCGGTTGTGAGTCCTAAAAAGTGGGCAGAAGATGGGCCCGGGAGTAAGAGCGAGAGCGAGAGGACGAGATAGAGCGAGAGAGGGACGGAAGGGGCGCCCGGGTGGCCGCCGGGTGGAACGCGCGCGGAAACGCTTCGGTTGCCCACCGCGCCTCCTCACATCGTGGCCTGACAATTTCTAAAAAGATCTTCTCCAAACCGATGGGAAAACAAGCGGACCTATTCCAGAGCATTCCGACCGGGCGGTCCACGGAATTTGGATGCTGTGACCCGGTCGTTGGCCTAAGCTTGAGCATCAAATTGAAAAGCCCATAAAAATGAATTAGAAAAAGGTTCAAGCGTCTTGTGAAAACTATGGTGTACGTCTGGGTATATAAGGGCGTAAAATATACAGACTTTAAGCTATTGGCCCGCGCGCCGATGGCGTCGTTATTTCGTTTTTTTTTTTAGTTTTTAGCTGCTGTAGCACGTCAGAATCCGGAACAATACCGTAGTTTTGAGCGGTGCATGTTCAGTACGTTCGCTATCCCCCGTGATCTTTTTTTTTTGTTGGCTTCGACCGGCCGATGCGAACGAAAATTCGCAATGTACATTTTTGGTGTCTGCGTCGCTCAGCACAACGGCTCCCACGGTCAAGAAGAAGTCCAAAAAAAAGCTGGGGAAACGAACAGGACGTCAGGATATCCGTTGTTCCAAAACCTTCTTTGGTCAAAATTTAGCTTGTTTCGGTCGCAAAAACCGGGTCGCCTATAGCTTTCGCCGTGAGTGTCAGCACGGATCGTGTGACGCGTGGCGGTCGCGTTGCGTCAAAGAGCATTTAGCTCTGCCGCAACGCAACCGCGACGCGTGCATCAGCATCACGTGAAAACCCCTCGAAGGACCAGAATGCGGAAGTCGCAACCCGGGTGAGCTCGTTGGCGCTCAAGGTTGGATGGGGCTGGATGGGGAGCAACAGTGGAACATCTCGGCTGTCTGTAACGAGTAAAAACGGTACCGCGTATCTTTTCTCGGGATACCGCTCGAAAAAGGGTCCGAAAAAGCACTACCGTATACTCTTCCATGCTGGGACTGGGATTTGGGCTCAGGGTTACGGTAGGCTTGGGCGCTAAATAGAGGAATTTGGGACAAAAATGCTAAAGAGCGCGCTATGAGCGGTATACGGTGGGACGTGAAAATCTATACTGACGAAAAACGTGGATTACGCTAAAAACGAGACTACAGCAACCCAAAAGGAGCTTCCAGAACTCTTTATAAATTGCAAACTTCCCGCTAGGACCCAGTAATCATTAAATGGCTTTAAAATCCGCCAAAAAGCCAATTTTCGCAGAACAGACCAGATTACCGTAAGCCTCGGCGGCCGTAACATTGGGCTACGGTTTGGTCAACTGAAAAACCTGGAATCCCGTCAAATTTCGGCAAAAATCAATACAACCGTAACCCGGGTCCCTTGGGGCCCACGGACCGTATCACCCGCTGTCCCTGGTCCCGACGCGCCGTCTGCGCGACGGTCGCGCGCGCGCCCCCCGCTCCCCCAAAAGGTGGAGGGGGAGGAAAAGTCTTTTTGCGCTTTTTCGTTCCGCGCTCGCGACCGGGCATACGCCGTCCGTATAAAGGGGATGGGGCAAGGGAAGGGGGCAAGGCACTCAGCAGGCAGCCTCTCCCCCTCCCTATCCACCACACAACCATGGACTGCCACGAGGCACAGCGCGAACGCGCTTACAAGGTACTGTAATTTCGGGTGGTTTACAGGTGCCCCACGACTGGATTTGGCCCCCGCTTGCGCCGCTTGGATTACTGTATTCCGCCCATTTTTGGACAGCTTCCGGTTTTCGGCTTTTTTCGCCGGAATCGATGGCTTGCATCAAATTTTGATCCCGGATCTGATTGTGGTTTTTGGATTTTTTTGATTTTAGGCTTGAAAACTGTGATAAAATCGAGATTTACACTTCTTTTGGGCTCTTCTTTTTCATACAGCAATCTAAACCATTTTAACTTGTCTTTTGATTAAAGTAAATCAATTGAGAACTAGTTTTTGCAACTGAAAGTTCTCTAAAAAAATCTTAAAAACAAGGAGGTTTTTAACAGTGGGACGCCAGCAAAAACTCCATTATGATTAAGGTTATCATAATTTGAACCTTTTTCTTTTTCTCGTTTTTCACTACTGTAAATCGATTAAAATTTAGCTTTTTCTAGTGCCAAAAAAGTAAAAACCCTAGAATCAGGAATCGGAGGCCCAAAATCCGCTTCCTAACAAGCGCCCCACCTACCGTACAACCGGCAAATTTCAGGCGGTAGCCTTCGCGGCCGTCTCCTTCTCGTTGCTGGCCGTGTTGTCGGTGTGCGTCTCCCTGCCCGTCGTCTACAACTTTGTCGAGCACGTCCAACAGCAGACCCAGCGGGAACTCACCGCTTGCAAGGTGAGCGCGGGATTTTTGCCTCTTTTTCGGCTTCTTGGGTCAGAATATGCCTTCAACAAGCGGTTAAAAAGTACGAAGATTACCGACTCCTCTTTTTTATTAGAAAAACCCTCGAAACAGCAAATTTTTGGCTCAATTTTCACACTGCGTTAGTGGGCTTTTCGTGGGTTTTCGACCTCAGGGCCCGGTTATTTCGGGGGAGCCCTATGAAAATGGAGTCCTATCACCAACTTTTGCTTTGTATCAACCCCTATTTAAATTTAAAGCGTCTAGGCTTTTGAAAACTTTTCGGCGAGCTTTTCACCGGTTTTCCGCTTCCAGGGCCCGAATATTTCACGAGCAACAAGCTTAAAAATAGAGTACCAGCATGCGCGTTTCGATTTTGGTAAAAAACCCCTTTAAATTCGAGACTTTTAAGCTTAATTTTAAAAGTTTATCACCGCGCTACCAATTTTCGAATTTTTAAAGCGAAAATTTATTCCATTAAGCGACCGTTGGCGTGTGTGATAATCAACCGCGTAATTTGGCGCGCTTTGGAATACCGGCACGTAATCGATTAAGAAACTGCTGCCCTCGCTGCTCGTTTTTTTGCAAAACCCAGTTTCTTGTGACTAGTTAGGTATGGGTATGCCGTGTCACTGCTGCCCTGTGATAAATGTCAGCGCCGGAAGCAGAGCTACTCTTGCGGGCACATTCCAGAAAACCCTGGAACCGTCATTTCCTCACCCGCCCTAGGGAAAATGACAAGACCGTTTCTTTGCGGGCGCGCGGAATGCATTTTTGCGCGTGTGTTTTTTTACGTGAGGGCACGCGGTCCTTTCTCGCCCCAGGGGTGGTGTGGCTATTATATTCCGGGGGCGGGGCACACGCCATCTTGAGGACGGCGTCGTCGGCCACCCTCATCAACCGGTTATGGGGGCTGCTCTTGTGTGTCTGTGTCTCCGTCTGGCTGTCTGTCTGTCTGTCCGTTTGTCGATCTTCCGTCGCCTCCCGGGGCCTGTAGGCAAATTGCCAGCTGTTGAGAATGGGTGTTGAGAAGGGAGGAGACGATCTAACCACACAAGCACCCGCAGGGTATGACTACTACTACTACCGGAAGGAAAGGGAGATGACAGCCAGCTGTCGGTAGCTGTCGGTTTTTCTGTCTGTCATCCCAAAACCATCCCTCGGGAGGTGTCGATAGGAATTTAACGTCGGGGTCGAGAATCTGGGCAATTAGGGCATTTGCGGAAAAGATAAAATTTTTGTTTTATAGCCTAGATTTGGAGTAAAAATCGAGGGTTTCGACGAGGTCGCGATAGGACCTGAATTATCCACCTTTGAGAAAATCACACAAACCACCGATTTTCGCAATTTTCAGCCAAAACGGAATTTATCGCCCATAAAAACCATTGCCAATTTCACTGTTCAACGGCTCGCCACCGCGTAATTAGGTAGTTCCTCGTAGCGTCGCGCTGCGCCCTAAAAAACAACAAGCTCGACGCGGTCGGGTTCGAAGCGGCGGCAGTCGCATTTTAGAAAATTACCATTTTTGACCCTCCGGCAAGTATCACGTCAAATTGGCCCATCCAAACCCTTTTTTTGCAAAACGCCACTTTCCACCCGCTCACCGCGTAATTAGGTATTTCCTCGTAGCACCGCCCGCACGACTGTCGGCGCCCCAAAAAAGTGCGCCCAGCCGGCGTAAACGCTCTCCCCAGCTCCCCGTTCCAGCCGTTTGGTTTCAATTTTTTCGGAAATTTCGCCCGGCGCGTAAAAGGGCAGCTCTCCGTGGCTCCCAATTTGGAGATGATAAAGAGATTGAAGGCGGGAAGTGTATGGAAGATGGGGGAGAATGGTTTTGGTTGAGCGGCTGGGGCAGGGCGGCCGCTTTTTGCTGGGGCTCCCCCTACCCATGCCCTGCCGGTTGTGGCGCGGACGCGGGGGTGGAACAGCACGCCTTGATCCCCCTGCCCCCCTCACACAGCACCCCCACCCCACAGCGCTTCTTTTTTCGGTGCCCCTAACCGTCAAATGATCCTCACCCACCACCACCTCCCCGCCATTCCACACAACAACCCTTTCCGTCTAGGGGAACGGTGCGTAGTACTCGAGTTATGGGGGGTGATGAGTCAGAAGCGAGCAAGAGAATGGAGCTTCTAAATGATAAGAAAACAATAATTCAATTCTATAATTCTCAGTTCTATAATGCTAAAAATTTAATATTACAAAGTGATATCCCTTACAAAATTACTAATTGCGATCAATAAGGATTTTTCCAACGCTAAAAACTTCTAAATTTGCTTTGAAAATGCGAAATAAGCGTAGGCGACGAGTCAACAGGAGCCACGCGTAGCGCAACTTTTACAACGCGCAGCTCCTCAAAAACCGGCGCATCCCGCGCGTTACTGAAAATTCAACCTCACCTAAACCACCGAATTTTGTAGACGACGGCTCAGGAGATCCTGGGTGAGGTGTCCACTCGCCGACCGGCCACCCCCTTCGGCTCGTTGGCCCGCAACGCCACCGCGCAGAGGGCCAAGAGGCAAGCTGGCGGATGCGCCGGCTGCTGCAAGCCCGGACACCCCGGACGCCCCGGAGCCCCTGGAGCCAACGGAAAGCCCGGAGTGCCCGGCGCCCCCGGAAAGCCCGGAGTCCCCGGTAAGCTGCTAGATTTACACATTATCGAAAATAGTTTTTGTAAAATCAAAAGTAGAAAAATTCGCGCTCAGCCAAAAATTGGAACAGGCTGTAGGGGCTGAGAAATAGCGAAGTAAATTTCTAGAAAAGTGATTTTCAAAAATGTGATGTAGCCGATAATCTTTTAAAAATTACCAAAACCTTTTCGAAATAATTTTTTCGCAAAGGCACTATACTGAAATCTTTGAAAAAGCATATTTCAAAAACGTCGTTTGAAACGACTGGTTTCTATTTAAAAATAACGTTTTCGAAATTCGGAATTTAAAAAAAGGGCGCCCAGTCACGACTGTGAAAAGTCCACAAGTCCAAAGGAATCACTATGCGGTTTTCGAAAATGTCATCTCCAAAAATGTTTCGAAAACAACTTTATTTAATGCAAATTTTGGAAAAATGAAGATTTCCGTAATCACCACCATTTAGGCCGTCCCCCGGTCGTCTGCCACGAGGTTGAGGTGCCCCCGTGCAACCCTTGCCCCCCTGGCCCACCTGGACCCCCTGGCCCAGATGGAGCCCCTGGAAACCCCGGACACCCCGGCAGCCCTGGACGCCCCGGAAACAACGGAGCCCCCGGCGCCCCTGGACCCAACGGACCCCCTGGCCCGTCTGGAAACCCCGGATCGGACGGAGAGCCCGGAGAGCCTGGAAGGCCCGCACAGGGTACCCCATCGTTCCCCGGAGAGCCTGGAACTCCTGGAGAGCCCGGTAAGTTATTTAGAGTTTTTTGGAATACGGAATAACCATTCGAAATAGCTGTTGCTCACCCCCGCAAAATCCCCAGAAAAAACCCTGGTTATTCTGGGGAAGGGGACGGCTTCAAATTTACACGGTGCCGCTTTTGAAGAGTCGACCTTCCCTAGGAGAACCCGGTTTAGGCGTGGCATCGGCTTAAACTACAAAAAAAAACTAAAACAGTAGATGATCATCACCAATTTCAGGAGCCCCCGGCCTTCCCGGCCCCGATGGACACCCCGGCCGCGACGGAGCCCCCGGTGGACCTGGACCCGCTGGACCCCCCGGTGGACCCGGATCTCAGGGACCTCAGGGAGCCCCCGGAAACCCCGGAGCTTCCGGCCAGCCCGGACCCCAGGGAGAGCGCGGAGTCTGCCCAAAGTACTGCGCCCTCGATGGTGGAGTCTTCTTCGAGGACGGAACGCGCCGATAAACAGTGCAGCCAGGGATTCAGCAAGTGCGGGTGCGACATCACACTTTGCTCTAATAAAGAGACATTCTGCAATAATGGATTTGTTGGAGGCAAAACGGCACGTCGTGATCAAAGCAAGACAATTAGGCAAAACAAAACAAACCAAGCGACTACTTACAGATCAATACAAACTAACATAAGTCTCATATAGAAAGAGGCTTCAAAATGGTAAAAGCTGCCCGTAAGAAATGAAAACACCTATCAAAGTATTGAAACCCCCTAAAAATCCAATCTGAAATGTAGTTAGACCCCCTTACAATTCCTCACAGTCCCCCGGCTTCCTTCCAGCCAACGCTAGTGCTCATTGTTGTTGTCTGGATGCAGCGGGGACCATGTCCTCAACAGGTGTCGTCCTCCCCACCCGCGATCATCCCCTCGGGGCGACCGCGAAAATATTTTCCCCGGTGCCATCTGTTTTGGCCCCGCCGACGATGGCAGTCTAGTGGGCGGCCACAGAGCGCTGTGTGAAGCTAGTCGTTTTTGTTTAGACGGCTTTGCGGAGGCTCTCACAAACAGCAACAGTAACGATCTGGCGAGCGGAACGTGTTCCACCGGCGCTCAGGAGGCACCGATTACTCGACAACGTTTATTATACAAAAAAAAAATCGCGAAGGTGCACATAAAATCAACGAAATTTTGGCTGCACATAGGAAAACATGGAACCGTATGAAAAAGCATTAGATTAAGCTTGCGAGAGCTCGAGAGGCAACGGGGCGGTGGGGCTTGTCGCCAGCCTGCCAGGCATCGGCCGGTTGTTGTATTGGAGGACTTTGCGGAGATCGACCTCCTTCGTCAGCGACGGATCAAGCTAAATTACAGATAGTGAGAGAGGAGCAAGGGACGGCTTACGAAAATATGTGAGCAATACATCACATTCCACATGGCATACGGCAGGATGTTGGTGTTGTTGATGTCTTTTTCTCGCCTCGGTGTGTCTAAACCATTTGCAAAAATTATAAATTCGCCATACCTATAAGACGCAACTTGATAGGCCCGTCAGTGTAGAATTCATTCTTGAAAGCCTTGATGCAGTCCGGCGAAAAGTCCTAAAGCAAGTGAGCGACAAGATAATTTATTACCTTCTTTTTGGGATCATGATCCCGAACTCCATGCCAGCAAAGCTGCATCGACATAGCGTAGATCGAGCAGTGCCTATGAAATAAATTTAGGGTTTTCGAAGCGCATACTTTGCAGAAATTTGGAAGACCTCGGTGTGATGAACTTGGGGCAGAATGCCGCCGGCATCAAGAAAACGAACCCGGTAGGTGTCATGACTATCCTTCGAGATGATCTCAAAATAAGAAACTTTCCTGATAATGTATTATCACAACCTCGGCCCGTTGATATGTGCCATGCTTTTTCCGGCGCTCCATGCCAGAGCAAGAGACGATAGCATAGACCGGTTTACCGGAACGGAGCCAAACATCCCTAAATAACGAAACTTTTTAAAGCCAACCATAACTTACAAAGTATTTGGCACGATCTGGATCCGGTTAGACTTGACTTTGTAGAAGGCGTCCAAAAGTTCAGCAAGGTTCTTGCGTTCGGTAAGATTGATGATAGTAGCCTCTCGCATCGAGATCGTGTTGCCTGCTAACAAAAGGTTTTATTTGGGAACTGTGAGAAATACCTGGTTCATCATCCGCCTCGCCGACAACAACCTCCCGCCGACGCAGAGGGATACCATAGAATTCGTACGGCCCTTGGACATAGCAACCCATCACTTGGCAATTGACCGTACCATCCGCATTAAAATAACTGCAAAGCAAATAAAGGAAGAATGTAGGCTAACCCGTTTTTCTTCAAATATGCTAGATCAATGTGCGGGATCTGGAACTCCTTGATGGCTGGGTCGTACTCCCACCTAGGCAAAAATTAGTATGTACTAGGAAACAAAACATACTTCTTGTACTGATCATCGCTGGCCATCTCCATGCCACCCTCATCGACCAACTCAGTTTCCCAGTTTTCCGGAAATGATGCGACACGATAGGGCATGTTCTTAAAGCAAGAGTTTCTGAAGGAGAACGTCTTCTATACCTGATCCCTTGGCGGCGAAATCTCTTCAGCCATATAACTGTTAAAAAGTGCATTTTGTTCAACCTAAAGTTAAAATCCAGGGTCCGCATAAAATCACAATACAGTTTCCACACATCGGGTAGCGAACAGGGTTGCCATATCAACATCGCTGTCCGCTTCTTTGAGTTCGTTGAATCCGGCCAGTTCAACTATGTATGGAACCGCATAGTCGTGGTGTGCCTTCGTGCTTCGAATCAAGGAAACCTAAACAGACAGTTTCGAAATCGGGTACTGATGTTACTCTGAAGTAGGAAAATTCGCGCACAATCTCCCGGAAACATTCGACTTGTTCCATCGTCCAGTATCGATCAGCGGCAAACTAAAAAAAATGAAGTTTAGCAAAAATGCGACCTACCATATCATTGACCGGATAAACGCCGCCCAGGCTACAATATATCACCTGCCAAGGGTGATAGTAGAACTCGGGCTAAAAATATGAATTAAAAAGCGGAGGTCGATACCGGCATGATGGCAAGGCACTCCGGGGGGACCCATTCCATAACGCCTTGATCAATATAGATGATTAGCGCCCGTCTCAAATGATCGTCTAGCTAAAAAGGCCGTAGAGCAATGAAAAAGATCGTCGTTTCTACCCTAATAATGCGAGCTCTTCCGTATCGACGTTGCGGCACCTCATTTCCACCATCATCTTGGCGCGTGCGTGATTCCAACGGGCCCATACAGTAACGGTTCTTCAGCTCCGCCAAGGATCCATATTGGAGCGGGCGCAGTTTGGCACTAAGAAAGGCTTACATGGGACGATACAGAAAAATTACCTTGATGGTTCTTCTAAAATCAGCTGGTTTGTGATATGATTGTAGGGTCGGGTCCAGAAACAGGAAGGCGTCTCTACGTGCGAAACTTCAACGAACGCCTGGCCCATCAGCGGCATATGATGGATCTAAGCAACAACGTTAGCAAAAGAACAATTTCCGCGCAATGCACTCAAATACTAAAGTATACGAACTTGAAACAGCCAAAATAATCGTAAAGATTACCTTATTGAACTGCTCCCCGTTCCGGAACATCGTCGGCGGCGCTTTCGACCGGTCCAAAGTTGGACTGGAGTCCCGGCGAAAGGCACTCATGGCCCTGAAAACAGATAACGTTTCTCGATCCTGAATAGGTATTGCAGAAAACAAAGGAAGGGGTTTTCAAAACAAAAAGAAAAATCGTGCTGCCGGGCGCCCGAATTGAATCGCGTAAGGTATGGAATTGCATCGCGTAAGCAAACGCTCGACTGGGCACACATCGAAAGAGAGGAAAGGCTCCTAAAAAACTACTAAGAACTTTTCAAGAAAATTACAAGAAAAAATCTGGAAATCGTCGTAAAATCCCTCGCTAGAAATTAGAGAAAAGCGAATGCCGGTCCGGGAAGCCTACGTTCCGTGGAATTCCTCTTTACGGAAGTATAGATAGTAACTTCGCGTTTTTAAAGGGATGCCGACGGCATAGACAATCGATTACGCGCGGAAAAGAAAATGTCTCTGCGCCTCTCCCCTGGGCGCGCTCTCTCCCCTGTTGGCTACTTGCCAATTTGTTGATGGGGGGGATCGACACATGCCGTCGGCAGCCCTTTAATGCCGTTGCGGAAAAGTTGTAAATTTTTCAGTGCGCGGTTTTTTTCTGAAAAGACTGCTTTAGTTTTAGTCAAACGCAAATATTTCGTGTAGCTTTATACGCAAAAATAGAAAGTATAGGTAATAGCGGTTCAAGTCGCCACTAAAAGCTAGTTTTCGATACCTGAAAATTTGTAGGCTATCCGAGAATCAAAAATCCAAAATGGTGGATTTTTAGTCCAGCGTCGATGGCGAAACGAAACCAACCAAGGTGCAGAAACCGGGGTGATACCAGGCAATATCGATAGAAATGCAATGTGTGGCGCAAATCAGGTGCAAAACAATAGAACAACACACAAATACAAAACTTTTTATTCAGCGAAGGCAATCGGCGACGGGGTCATTCAGGGGTTGTACTCGATCGGGAGGTTCTTGCGGCGCACCATGCCGTCGCCCTGGAACCACTCGCGACGGAACTGCTTGGCGGCGCCGTCGGGGGTGTTGGTCCACTCGATGGTCACGCGGTCGTTGTTGGTGTCCTCAGCGCCGAACTGGAACGAGTCGCAGGAGACGGCAACCTGAAAAAGTGGGAATTAGACGATGAACATAATTATCGAGGCGTTCAAAACGTTAAAAACCCACCAGAACCTGCTCCTTGGGGTCGAGGACACCGCACGGCGGGTCGACACCGAGGCGCTTCATGTTGGTGGTCTTGAAAGCCCATCCGATGCGACGGCCGCCCGAGTTGATGACCTTGATGTGGTACGTGTGCTTGTCGTCGTACGGGGCGTTGAAGACGATCTTCGTGCCGGGCTGGGTGGTGATATCACCGGGGGCGACGGATTGAGCCATTTCGCGATTCGAGCGTTTGGATAACTGGTGCCGGGGGTCGGTCTGTTTTATACCAGCGAACCTATGTAAATCGATTGAATTAAATGAGCTACTTCCGAATTTTGGTTGCAGCTATGTAAATGTCGTAGAATTTTTGGGTGCTGGACTGCTAGCGGGGGAGCTAATTTTTCCCAGCGACGCTTTACGGTCCCATAACATAATATAATCCATTTTTATAGCGTTTTACACAGTTTTTAGATATAAAAGCATAAAAATTTGCAACAATTTTTTGACTATTTCGCCAAAAATGTATGAAAAGGACCAAAAAAGGGCAAATTTTCGAATTTTCAAAAATGTTTAAGATATCTTTTGTAACTTTCTAGCAATCAAAAACTACGAAAAAACGGATTTGTCTTTTTTTTGGTTACAGGAAAATTGGCTGTAGTGTTATTTTTTATACTTTTTAGGTTTTAGTTTTTTACGTGCGTGACAAAATGCGTTCTTGAGTCACGACGCAAGAACTCGGGTAGAGATCTGATGAAAGCCCTGTTTTAGTTTTCTGGTATGTTTAGGATTTTGCGCAATAAGGTTTAGTTGTATTGTATATTTTTTGGGGTTTAGTTTCTACGCCCGCTACAACAACGTATGCGTCACGGCGCGAGAATTCGTGTATCACGTCCAGCGGGTGCCGATCACCTTTCGCCCAGAGATCTACGGCCTCCACTGAATCATCCAACCGGCCTGAACTTTGTTCGACCTTGTTTTCAGCTTCCTCCCAGACTAATTGGCGCCCGGAAAAAACCCGGGGTGCCCTTTTCTCTAAACATGCCGACGGGCCTGTTTGCTCCGTCTGGCCCCCCCGGGGCATGAAAGCAGCCTTGTTGATGTTTATGCGAATGAGCAGGACCCCCCCAAGACACGCCCACCACCACAGACAAGCCTAATTTTTTGGCCTCTTCGAATCGGGCGACCTTTGATCGGCCACGTGGGGCGGATAGACGGACGGACATTACGGGTAGACAAAAGAGGAAAAGGGTGGATGGTCCGAGGATGATATTGTTTTCTTTCTTCCCGGCACTGGGGCTGGGTGGTGTCGTCGGGGTAAACAGCATGCAAAGTGCAAGTTTTTCTCGGGCTCCCCTCCCGGCCCGCCCCTCCACTTATATAAAAGAAGAGATCCGGGGAGGCTGAGCAGCAACCAGGGCACGATGATACCTTACCATTCCCGGCAACATCATCTTGATCCCCCGGCCGGTTTTTCCTCTTGGTCAACAACAACTTTTGGCGACGTTGATCTTTCTTTATTTTTTAGTCTTTTGTTTGAGGGTTAAATTTTTGCTTTACTATCTTCTTTATACTTCCTGCACCTTCTTATCGTTCTTGCTTTTCTAGGTTTTACACATTCTTAACCTATTGCTATAAATTTAGATTGTTTAGACTCTAAACTTTTCAACTTTAGACAGTTCTAGACAAACTTTCGAGTCTTCCACATTGCAACGTAGCCTTCTAAATATATATTTCTTGTAGCTTCCAAGCTTCTAAACCTTCATAATTGAAAAATCTGCTCGTTTTTTAGATCACTCTCCTTCCAACAATTCCAACCGACCGAACCGGTTCCGATTTCCGCAAAAATGGCCCATTTTTCGTGACTCCCTCCAAAAGCCCATCACTGCCATATCCATTGCCATAACCCATCGCCGGATTCGGCATCCACCCGCCGATTTTCCACCAATTTCCCCGCTCTCGGCCCACCCGAAAATTGGCTGCCCATCCGTGAACCCGCTTCCCGTTTTATGGGCTTGTTTTTCAACTCTCGGGTTTTCATTCTATTTCCCATTGTTTTCTCTTCTAAATCCATATTTCTCAACATTCTAAACATCCATTTTCAGAAAACAAATCCCCTACAAAAATGCTCGTTCTGAGGATATCCGTGGCCGCGCTGGCCCTGGTTTTGATTAGCGCCTACCCGGTGAGTTTTTAGAAAAACTTCTACCGACTTAATAAGTTGTCCTTTATATTTCCTGTATTTAAACTCTATTTTTCAGGCTGACGTGAAAGACATGAAGGCGTCCGCACAAAAAGCCGCCGACCGCGTCGCGCAAGCCGCCAACGATGCCGCCGCCACCGCCACCTCCCAGACAGTTGGTGAGTAAATTCTAGGTTTTTCATCACGATAACTTCAGTATTACCCCAAAAAATGCATAGCAAAAGCTACATTGTCACCAAGGACGGCGAGATTTTGGACGAAATTGTACCGCAGGGTGGGGAAGAGAGCGCGGTTTTTACTTCTTTTTTTTGCCAGCACCAAGCAGCCTGGGGTTGTTTAAATTTACGAAAAAAATGAAGCTCTCATTTGCTTTCACGACCCTTATTTGCTTGCCTCGCTTTCAGTTGACCCGTTGACCGGAGATGCGCAGCACAAGTACGAGCATGAGCCCGACAACATGCCGAAAGGTAAGGTCCCCGAGCCCACGGCCCCCATCCTTTTGTTTTCTCTTTCAGAGGTGAAGCCCATGGGCGCCACATCCGTCGGTGAGCCGAAAAATCGTAGCAAACGAGGTTAACATTTTGATTTATTAGGTCGTGGAGCACACAGGGCCGGAGCCTCATCTTCTGAATCAGGTCTAGAGCGTTGGCAATGCGTGAAAACACAGTGTGCGCTGAAAAGCAATTTGCGAATAATTAGCAGTTGCTCGAGCAGTTATTAGCTTGAATCTAGGCTAAACCTTCGCAAATTGACCTTACTCTAAAAGCATGTTCCATTTAATAGTTTTAATGAAAAGAAACAGCCCAGATACTCGGCTCACCTTTTTTCGCCTGCTATATTTTTTACTTTTATCTGTTGGCATGGAGTGTTAACTTTATTTGACTCTTTTCAACAATATTTTTAGCCGAAACTACCGTCGAGAAGAAGTTCGAGGAGGGCAAGGCTAAAGGACGTAAGTTGTTATTGATATTTTAGCTTTGGTTGACAGAAATTTTAGCAATATCTTTTATTTGTTCATTTTCAGGATATGCTGCTGAGGACGCCAAGGAGGAGTTGAGCAATGCCGGAGGTTTGTAGAAGAACAGGCGTTGATTAGTCACTAAAAACCTAAATATTTTAAAACCTTTTAAAGTGAGCTGGTCCCTTTTGGCCTAAAATCCTGCCCCGAAAACAGCGCCCATCCCCTCGGTACTTCTTGGCAACAAAAGCTGTTGATCGGCACGTTTTGACTCGAAACAACCAATCATCCATCCTCTAGGCGTCAACATGGCCCGAAGGGCAACTGTTCATCTCCCACGAACCCCCGAACCCCCCGGGGCGAATAATAATAGTACCTCCCCCTGCCTCATTCTGGAAAAGCCTGCCCTTTTTGTTATTCGCTAAAGTGCAACTGGGGGTATATTCGCACCAGCCGGCCCACATACTCACCATGAATCTGCTAGGTTGGGAAATTTTTTTCAGCCGCTAATGTCTAGCCCAATGGATCACGAGGATATTGGTAGTTTTCCTGGGTCGTTATTTTTAATTGGTTGTTTACTTTTTGGTAGAAAATAAAGGTTGTTTAGCGTCAACTTTGGGCCAGTTTTGAGAAATCCATAAAATGTTTTCCAATTCCGCGACTTTTATAAAATACTTTCGACGTTTAGCTATTAAAAAAACTAATCTTCGCTAAAAAACATAATTAGCGCGTTCCACTAAAGTAAACTGGGCAACTTTTAGAAAGCTTCTAGGCGATAGCTTCCAATCAACTTTTAGCTCTATAAAAGACAATGAAAACCAAATAACAAAACTAGAAATTCAAAACGTCTGATTAAGAGCTTATAGGCCATTTCTAATAAACTTTTAGCCCTCTAAAACCCAATCAAACCAAACAATAAAAATAAAAAAATCCGAAACTTGGGGCAACTTTTAGCAAATCCATTTTCCAGAGCGCGTCAAGGAGGGAGCCCGCGAAGGAGCGCAATGGGCCGGCGAGAAGGTCGAGGGAGCCAAGCGTAAGTGCCATTTTTCGATTCGAATCCTTTTTTCTGTTTCAGAATCCGTGAAGCAGGGAGCCCAGGCCGTTGGAGAGACCGTTGGCGAGGGTGTTGGTCAGTTTTTACAACTTTTATGATTTTTTTCTAGACTAAAATCTGCTTTAATGCTGCTTTTAAGACGCAATTTTTCAGAGACCGTCAAGGAGGGAGCCAAGGATGGAGCCGAGGCTGTCGCCAGGAAGGCCGGAGAAGCTGGAGGTCAGTCTAAACATCTATAAACCTGGAAATTCGGCCTAAAACCTTTTTCCCCATTCTTCAAAATCTTCTAGGATTTACCGCCGGACTTCTCCGCGGAAAAAGGGAGACGAGAGGTTAATAAAAACACCCCAAAAAACATTATGCTTTCCACACCACCTCACCATTTTTTATAAAAATTTAGCCAGCAAAGGCCAATAAAGTTCAGCTTAATTTATATTTTTTTTAATTAATACTGGCGATCAAGCAAAAAAATACTTTAACTTTACAGCAATTCCTCTAGTCGCTTCCCCACGGGTCGTAGCCTAATCCCACGCAATAAAGATACAAAAACTAAATTATTAATGGTTATCCATCACCGAATTAAAGGCGGCTTTACTAACCTCACATATTTGCTAAAACGCGGGTGTAACCGATTACGTGGTGAAATTTTAGAAACCGTCGCTCACTCGGCCAAGGAAGGATACGAAGAGGGCAAGGAAGCTGCTGGTGAGTGGATTTTAACTTTTAGAACTTTTTCTTCTTTAGCAAGAATTTTTAGCATCTAAAAACCAATTTATAGAAACCTTCGGCGAAACTGTGAAGGACGGCTTCATGACCGGTGTCAACGCTGTCGGAAGCGCAATCGGTACGTTACGCTCCTTTGGACTCGCTCCTAAAATAAAGGTTATTTGATTAACTAAACTTTATTAGGCTCTGCCGCTGGCGCCATTGGAGGCCTGTTCGGTAAAGATTTGCTCAATTTTCTACTTGTTTAATTTTAACTTTCAGTCTGTCCCCCTTTAACTCGCATGCCTTTAGATAGCATTTCATGCTTAAAAATTATGTTATCAATTTCAGGAGGAGCCGCTGAGGCCGTGAAAGAGGGCGCCGAGGCCGGAGCTGAGGCCGTTGGTACGTTTTTGAGGGTTACGGTGGATAGGGCGCTTTCTAAAGTAAAGTTTTCGATTTTTTGCGCTATGGCAAGCTAGCAAAGATCGTTAGGGAATTACTGGAAACGTATAAACTTTTTAAATTCTTATTGTTCAGCCACCGCCGCCACCGTAGTCAAGGACGGAGCCGTTGAGGGCGCGAAGGTTGCCGGCGAGACCGCTGGTGAGTTTTATACTGGAGCGTATCGTAGCCATCGTAGCGGCAACCTTCGACCCTAAAACATGCTCCTTTTCAGCCAAGGGAGCCGGAGCCGTCGTTGGAGTTGCCCAGAATGCCGGTGAGGCCGTCGTTGATGGCGCCAAGGCCGTTGGAGAGACTGTTGGTAGGTCGCGCTTTAGAAAACAGCTAACTTTCCAAATTTTTTAGCTGATGGAGCCAAGGCCGCCGGACACGGAGTTGGTAAGGAGTTTTACAAGATTGATTTTGCTAATATAGTTAGAAACTATCTATAGTTACAGCTTACTGTATAAACGAACTTGTAGTTTCGCATTTTAGAATCGCTTGATAGGCTTAATAGTCTGTATTTAGAGATTTACAAAAGCAATTTTAGATCCTACTAACAAAATTAGATCTTTAGATTTACCTATAATGTTGTAAATATGTCTTTTTGGGAGCTTTGGGTAGGCTAGCAGGGATCTTTGGGGAAAATTATCTACCATTAGTGACTTGTCTAAAGATGGCTAGCTAGCAGAGATTCCTTGGGAAATTTCTACTTATCCTAGCTTCCGGGAGGGGTTTTAAAGAATAAAGTTATCGAATTTTATAATTTAATCACTTCTTATTCATAACTCGGGCAAGCTAGCAGAGATCCTTTGGGAAAGGCCATCAGCACCACCCATTTGATCATCTTCTTAACGTTGGAGACGCACAAAAACACCCAAACCCCGTCCTATCCCCCAATTTAGCCAAGGGTGCCGGTGTCGCAGTTGGTGTTGCCCAGAATGCGGGCCAAGCCGTTGTTGAGGGCGCCAAGGCCGTCGGCGAGGGCATCGGTACGCCGCGTGCCTATGTACACCGTCCCCAAAAATTATCCGTTTTTCTGGCTAACCCTAAGGAGCATGACCCTGACGGCATGGTGTGAAGCGGAATGCGCGGAATTGAGAAATGATGTCGCGGGCTTAAAATATGCCCCTATTTTCAGCCAAGGGAGCCGGAGCCGTGGTAGGAGCTGCTCAGGATGCCGGTGAGGCTGTTGTTGATGGAGCCAAGGCCGCCGGAGACGCCGTTGTGTACGGTGCCAAGAAGGCCGGACAGGGCGTTGGTCAGTTTTTTCCCGAGATCTATCTCTTCTCTCGCTCTCTCTCTCTCTCTCTCTCTCTCTCTCTCTCTCTCCCTCGCAGTTCCGAATGAAGCTCGCTACCTCTCCCGCACTCTCAATCTCATGCTCAATTTCTCTGGCTTTCTCTCTTTCTCTCTCTCATTCATCTCTCTTTTCAGCTGAGGGAGCCGGAGCCGCCGCTGGATTCGTTGTGCGAACAGGCGAGGGAGCCGTCGACGTCGCCAAGGATGCCGGTGAACACGTTGCCGAGGGAGCCAAGACGGTCGCCCATGGAGCCGGTAGGTGGCAGGCAGACTAGCAGAGGGCCTTACGGAATGAAGGAACCTAAGCTCGTCTTTTCAGCCAAGGGCGCCGGAGCCGTCGTGGAGACCGCATCGCAGGGCGCCGAGGTCGTCGCTGATGGCGCGAAGGCCGCTGGCCGTGGAGTCGGTAAGTAACGGTGTCTATAGCTTCGGGGTTTTAAGACTTCAGAAATATTTTTACACTGTTTTGAGCGCTTTTTAATATAGCCTGGGGGCTTTAGCGCACGGCGCCAAAGTGATGGGGGACGCGGCCGAGGAGGGCGGCCAGCTCATCGTCGCCGGGGGCAAAAAGGCGGTAGAGGGCGTCGGTGAGTCGTCGTGAGAGTGTGGTGCTTCTAAATCCGGGAAAAGCTGGGTGGAATCCACTGGAAAGCGGGTGGACTACGGTCATATGGGCACATTTCAGCGTATGGTGCTGGAGTCGTTGGAGGAGCCGTCGCGAAGACTGGTGAGGGAATCGTTGAGACTGGGCGTGACGCGAAGAATGCTGTCGGTAAGTATTTTGATAGTTTTCTTCGAAAAATATACGTTAAAAATAGATACATTTGTCTTGAATTCCTTTTTATAGATAATATAGTTTAAAATTTATGTAAGTCCAGTTAAAAACCGCCTAATTTTTCCTCTGAGCAAAAAATACCTAGCATAACGTAATATTAAGTGTTTAAATAGTGTTTTTTCACTTTAAATAGTTTCAATACGCGAGAAAAAGCAACATTTTGTAAGTTTTTTCGAAAATCGACCACTTTAGCTCGGAAAATCAGTGATTTTTGCATTTTGTCGATTTTTCTAAAGTTTTTGCGTTTAAGAATAATTAAAACAAGAATTTTGCTGCTAAAACACTTTTAGAAGTTCATTTTATGCCCTTCTATCTCATGATAACCCTAAAAACACGCACTTTCCAGGCCGGGGCATCGAGAACACCGGCGAGGCCATCCAGGACTAATTTATCGTCCGCCTAGCCACAAACAACAACATGACATACCACCCACCCGACAACGAGTATCCCCTGTACATACCATCCCAGTGCTCAGCTTTAATTATTTTTCCCCCATTCACCGAAAAAAAACACTGAAAATCCTCCCCCAAAAAAATCATTTGCACCGATTGTACCCGATAATAAACGATTTTTGAGAGAGAACTCGCCAATTTGCAGAGTACGCTGTTACAGAGAACGGGCACTCGTGAGGGCTTATCGGGAATGGTTGGCGACCTGAAAAGCCGGACTTATCTTGCGGGGCTTTAGACGAAGCCGGCGGAGTGTGACTCAATGTTTTGGTCATCTTCAAAGGGATTGGATCAAGCAAAGCCTTAGGCTTAGGCTCAGGCTTAGGTTGGGCTTAGGTTTGGCCTTAGGCTTTGGCTTAGGATAGGCTCAGGCTTAAGCTTAGGCTCTGGTTCGGCCTAGAATTAGGTTTATACTTAGACTTAGGCTTCGCCAGGCTTGTGATGTGATTTTGAGAACATTGCCAAGGCTATACTAGCAACTCCAGAACTCCGGATATGCCCGAATATGACCGTTCTGCTGGAAAATAAGCGCCTGGCGCTAGCTGGTTATATACATTCACATCCGGCGGCTGGTTAGCCAACTCTTTTTGGGAGTGATGATGCCATAAGGTCAATTAATTAAAAGCATAACTCGGGCTCGCGTCGCTGCGCTTATCAAACCGAACCGTTCGGCCCCATGAAGCCGCTTTTATCTCGCCCTGCTGCAGTTTTTTGGAAAAACATGCCCAGTTAAGTCGACGGGAATTAGCAAAAAATGAGCTCACAGTTTAATTTGACAGGCAGAGTTGACTTAAAAATATATGTTTCACTTCTGCGACGCACAACGTATTAACTCTTATCTGTTTTACGGCGTAGTATGATGTGCGCCATTTTTTGTCCAGAAATAATTTATCTTTTTCCCGGGTACCACACAGTTTCATCAAGCCTAAAGCGGGGTCGCCAAAGAGCGCCCGGGCGATATGCTATGAGAAAATTACACAATGCCCACAGAAACTAATAGTAAACAAAGGAGAAGGATAAAGGGATTTGCAAGTGTGTCCGAATATTTTTGAGGAAACCTGTACTCGGTATCAATCATCATGTGGTGTGGCCAAAGAGCGTCGATCAGCGATGACGTGGGCTTCGAGCAGCCCGGCAGTGGCTCCCGGTCTTCGTAGTAGTTGTCGATGTCATTACATCTGTCACCATGACAGCAGCATATTTGCAACTTATATCGACCAGTCGTCGTGTCCTCGCATGTTTCATTCGAGATACGCTGGAAAAATGGCTATATTGCCATTCATAAATCTTTAGTATGCGACTCGGCTGAACTCCAGATACCCCCCCCCCCCCCCCCCTTCCGCCGGCACCCAACTTTTGTATCTCGGCTCCCTGTTCATCTACAGGTGTGTAAATAAACCAAAATGGTCGTCTTGCTCTGGCGAGTATTTTGGTATACTTTACACACATGTAGATGAACAGGGAGCCGAGATACAAAAGTTGGGGGCCGGCTGGGGGGGGGGGTATCTGGAGTCTTACCTGCTACTCACTAATGCTTAATTTTACCCTGTGAATATGGCAGTACATCGCGGCGCATCCCTGGTGATGACGTACAACGGTCTGCGTGCAACTGTCAAAAGCAGCAACCAACTCACAGCCACGCGAGCAAAGCTTCAAGCCCTTGTTGGCGCCATGGCAAACCGTCTTTTCCCCGTTGGCTAGCGGTAGTACCAAGAATGGCAACCTAGGAAAATTGTATGATATTGAGAGCACATGAAAGGGAACACATCTTAATTAGATACTTACAACAATATTGCGTAGTAGAATTTCATCACGAGTTGACTGATTAAGTATTGCGGTCAGGTTTTAGGGGCCAGCGCCTATTTCTCAGAGCCAACCTTATATATGGTATGGTTATATATTCTTACCACTGAAAACGTGACCTGGCGAGATAAAACGAAAATGTGTCATGATAAGGCGCCAGTCGATGAGGGCATAATATGCACGTGGTTTGTACCGACTCCGACTTCTTGAGGTCGACTCCCCATCGTCGACTTCCGCCGGGTTTGAAGAAGCTGCAGCAAATGGGAACCGCTGAGTCGGTCAGCCGACGGATAACATCCTCGTTTGTATTTTTTCACTTTTATCTGTTCTAGTGTATGATGTGTGCTAAATTTGTCGAGAAACAATTTATCCTTTTCGGGCTACTCGTCATCAAGAAGGAATTGTGGTGGCCAAACGTTACTCAGCACATTGTGCTTCGGGCAGCCGGGAAGCGGCTCCCGATCTTCATAGTAGTTGCGGATGTCGTTACATCTATGGCCCTGACAGCAGCACCAGCGTAATTTGTATCGACCATTTGCGCCGCTCGTCGTCTCCCCGCAGGTCTCATCCGAGAATAGCTGGAAAAATTAGCCTAAAGCTATTGATACGGCCGCAGTATGCTATTCACTAACGCTTGGCACATTACCTTGCGAACATAGCATTTCGTCCCGGCACAACCTTGGCTATGGTGGACAACGGTCTGCGTGCACTTGTCAAAAGCGGCAATCAGCTCGCAACCGTGCGCGCAAACCTTGAGGCCCCCGTCGCGGTCCAAACAAATGCTCTTTTTACCGCTGGCTAGCGGTAATACCAGGAATGGCATCCTAAAAAAATTATGCTATGTACAAGAGTAGACTGTAGGTACTTACAACAACACGGCGTCGTAGAATTTCATAGCTATAGGCGTCTTGAAGTCGATAGCGGTCGTGGAATGCGGGGAAATGTCAGCTTTTATCAGCTGTGGCTTCTGCTGCATCGGGTCAAGCTTATATACACGATATTCTTACCACTGAAAAATGACCTCGGGAGGGTAATAGAACGGAAATTTGTCATGATAAGGCCCAGGTCGATGAAGACATAATATTCGGGTTCTGTGGAGGCGTTGTAGCGTCGAAACAGGCTCGATGACATTGGTACCGAACCAATGAAAATTCTATCCTTGGTGCTAATGCACTTGGGGGGGGTAGTCCGGATTTTGACTTCAAGATGCTCGAAATGCCGTTGTGTAAACCCGAAGTCTCCGAAAAAAACTAAGCCAAGCCCAAGCCCAGGCTTAGCTTCTTACAAACGAAGTTCAAGCTTACCTTGAGCCAAGCTAAGCTTACAAGTTAGCGCTAAATGACCCGGTTTTGACCTCCTGAGGCAATTTAAAGCTCAAGTTAAGAGTAGCTTGGGCTTAAGCGTAAGCTAAGCCAAGGCTAAGCTTAGTTAAAACCCCCATGATGGGCTGAGTGAATCACGCGACACAAAAACAACGTATTCTTACGCATTTTTATGACGATCGGTCAGTAATTGAGCTACTAGCCTTCATCCGATAAGGGTTGCATATTTTACTGCCAAAAGGAGGGTATTAGTTTCAATTCGTCAGCTGTACGAAACCGGAAACTACCACTTGAGATGAAGAACTTTTTGGCGCTAGGGTGAGTGAATTTTGACACTAGAGTAGCTTACCAGTAGGTGATCGACTAAGGTCACGAACCCTAGTTTTAGCGTCGTGGTCTGCTTTTTGGTGTCTTCAGTAAGCTGTACGTGGTGTTATGAAGATCCGAAGACCGTAACGTTCTGTCCGTTTGGGTGTCATATCGGAATGGCCTACGATAGATGCTCTGAGGGTGTCGTCGTGTTGCAGCTTGGATGCGCGGGATTGGGATGTCTGATTCAAAAGGTACGATGCCATGAAAAGAAAAGAACGGCGCCTTGAACCAGGACACGTACCAGGAATATCAAGCTTTCCTGACAATTATCTTTAGTCGCTCGGGGTGAAAACATGCCTTGCGACGACGAGCGGTTCCGATGACCGGTACATCGTACGAGGATGCTGCTGTGTAGGATCAAGATGTAACGACCCCAGCGAATATTTTGACGGCCCCGTAGTTACGCATCCGAAGCCTGGATGCTCTACGCCAAGGCGAGGCGCGATATTGTTTGGAATGGTTTGGCCACCGCAATTTACTAAGGACCGGAAATGAAGCATTTAATACCAGCCGCTTCCTGGACTTCGGGATACCCCCCTGTGCGCTCCCTCCCCTTCGCCGAAACGCGCGCGCCACCTGGCTCACTATGTCCAAAATCACCCCGACCTCCGTCCCCACCCCTTTTACTTAGGAAAAAACTTTCAAGGTTAATTTTAATAATTTAAACAAAAACTTTCTCGTAATTTTTTTTAGCAGTTTGGGGGTTTCTGACCATGCTCTATCCGAATCCGAAGAGACCTAAGCTCTAGCTCCTTTCCCCTTCGAGTTGAATTCGGGACATGACGGACAGACGGACAGACAGACACCTCAAGAAAATTATTATAGTAGATACTACACTGTATTACCTTGTAAGTGCGTTGTACCGATTCATGATATTGTCTTTGTATGCGTCAACGTTGTAAGGCATTAAATTTGTGCTAGGACATTGTGCGATAAACGATAAAGTATCAAGTACACAATATATAATTTGCATGATCAAACTGTGGTTTTGACCTTTTGTGGCAGATCCCTACTGGTCCTCCATGTCGGTTTGTTTAGTTTAATATTCTGTTTTATGTACTAAAATCTGTCTTGGACTGTATAAGACCTCCACGTGGCTTCGATTGGCTAGTCACCGGCAAAACATTCGAAAAAAATGACGCCAGTAAACGAAGTCGGTTCCAACCCGGTCTTCTGCAGATAAGGAGCTGGCTGCACTGCGGCGTTATTTTGAAAAAAGCTGGTCTATCTAAGCCAATAATAAGCCCGGGCTTTTGTCTGCTGTATAAAGTGTAAAATGTGCTCATCATAAGTGTACTGTTTCTACACTTATCGTATTATACTGTTTAATGCAAGGGATTTTCGTGATTTCCCCTTCCACCGTCAGAATCTACTTCGGAAGGGTCAGCATTGGCAGAATTAAAGGGATGCCGACGGCATGGTCAATCGGTTACGCGCG